ACAATTTTTATAAGCTATATATATATTATTTACTCATATATATTATATATAAATAGACAATATTTTTTTCTCTCTCTCTTCTTTTCTATACACAAAATATATTTTATTTTTTTCTTTTCAAATTAAAAAATATTTGAAAATTTTTTAATTTTTATATAAATTTATTTATTTTATATAAATTTTTTGTTTATAAATAAAAATTGAAAAAAATTTGCTTAAAAAAAAGAATTTGATTTAGAAAAATGTTAAGTATTTTTAAAATTTGAAAAAAGAAAAAATTAACGAACAATAGAAAATAAATATATATATAAAAGAACAGGAAAAATATGAAAAAGAATATAAGCTGTATGTAAAAAAAAAACGATGAATATAAAATTTAATGTCCACTAGAGTGATGCATCGATATATATATGTGTAAATAAAAATAGTCTATTGAAGTTCTTATTTTTATCGAGAAAATTTTTTTTTCTCCAATTCTCTCTCTTTGGAATTTTTCAAGGAAAATTTCAATGAAAGAACATTCATATAAAACGCCCAAGATTGCAGCCTCTTTCGAAGCAGTATATAGTTCAACAAGAGAAGCACTAAAGTGGTTGCTTTTAAGCACCAAAAAAAAAAAGAGAAAGAGAGTGAGAGAGAGAGAAAGAGAGACTAGAAAGGAATATGAGAGAAAATGGATTATAAGTGTGAGAGAGAAGCAAAACTAAAGATATACAGGTTCTCCTGTTACTCTCTGCTGCTGTGGATCGATAAAATGGACCTGCGTGATAGTAAGAGGGTTTTCCACGTGTATAAACTACTGATAAAACGTTGCGAGAGAGAGAGAGAAAGACAAATAAAATTCTCACATTATATTTCAAGAAAAAAGAAAAAAAATTTTCTTTGACACTATATATACAAAAACTAATTATCAATTTGTTTCATAAAAATTTTTTTTCAATCATGAATTTTTCCACCATTTTCTTCCTCAGGAGAAACTAATTTTTTCTATAAATTTTTCTTTAGAATTACCATTTTTTTTTGTATTCAATATTAAAGAAATTAATCAAATTGGTTGCAAAAAATATTTTAGCAAAAAAAAAATTGAAAAAAAATTGCATTTTTCTTAACAAAATCAATTCGTCATACAGGAATAAATTATAATTATTATTCGCTGATATAACCGAGAACAATATATAGTTATGCGGACGAGCAAATTAGTTATCTCACTGAGAAAAAAATATTATTATTAATTCATATGTTTGATTTGAATAAATTTATCTGAAAAATATTTTACATTAATTTGAAAAAAAAATAATTCTATCAAGTAAAATAAATAAATTAAGAAAAAAAAAAATATTTTTAACTCCTTTTAAAAAAAATAAAATTCAAGGAAAATTGATTTTTTAATTAAATTAATTAATTTGCATTCGACGAGAATTAATGTTATAAATCAATGTTACTTTGTCAAATTCTGCTGATTCTTTCTATATATATATAGTATAAAGAGAACTTAAAAAATCGGGTGAAGGATATATAATAATAATTGGGGTCCTTCGCGAATTAACTGTCTTAAGATATATAAAAAGATAACATATGGGACTCTGAACTTCATAGCGCAAAGAAACATAAATCGATGCTCCTAATAGTTACTTAGTTGCTTTACCTTGACTCGAATTTTCTTGTTTATTTTCTAAAAGCTTAACCCTTCAATTCTATTAGCATATATTATAAATAAATTTTCAATATATTCTAATGCTATTATAAAACATTTTTAAAAAAATGTCCATACATTCTACACTGCGAAAAAAGGATTTGGTATCGTCAACCAAACGTTTGGTTGGTATTTAAGCAACCAAAAATTTTTTTTGTTGAATCAACAAAATTTTAATTGTCTCAATCAAAATTCATTTGACACAACCAAAATTAGAAAAAAAAGAATTTTTGTTGTCCTAACTGATTGGGACAACCAAAATTTTGTTGATTCAACAAAAAAAATTTGGTTGCATAAATACCATAACCAAACGTTTGGTTGTCAATACCAAACCTTTTTTTCAGTGTAGTTTGTTTCAAACAAAAAAAAAATGTTTTTAAATATTTAAAAAAATTACTCTCAAGTAGAATTTTTATGTATTTTTCAAAAAATTTAATCACTTCTTTCTCAAAAAAAAAAGAAAAAAAATAATACCATTGGAATTTTTTACACAACTAAATAATCAAAAACATTATTAATTTTTAATTTAAAAAGTCATATTTCACATGAAAACAATTTGTCAATTTTTTTTTTTAAATAATTCAAATTTTATTGAATTAAATAAAAGACACGAATAGTAAAAGATTTTTCTTTTTTTTTGCAAAACAATAATAATTTAGAAATTATTAAAGAATATTCTCAAAGAATAATATAATTTTTTATTGAATTAAATAAAAGACACGAATAGTAAAAGATTATTTTTTTTTTTTTGCAAAACAATAATAATTTAGAAATTATTCATGTATAGACTAGATGATGTCTGACGTAAATATTGGTTTTACCTTCGAAGGTAAAAAGTCTCCAAGTTATTTTAAGTATATTCTTTACATTAATAGGGCTGTTATTGTCACAAATGGATAGAAATAGATGAGACAAAGGCTTGAGTATAGGGTCTCTATAAGTCATGACGTAATATATGACCACAGTTCAACGGTCAGTAACACTGGTTTCTTTTTACTATATTATAATCTATATAATATTATTATAAATTCTTGATAAAAAATGGTACTATTAATAAAATTGTGACTTTAGTTTCATCAGAATAATAAAAATATTACATAATAAAAGGTTAAAGGAATCTTGACGTGGTCGTGATTTCATTACACCATTTTCAAAAGGGACATCCAGTAAATGACGTAACATATATATAGGAAGGGAAGTTAGTCTTCCTGCACTATTGATTTACCATATTTATTAATAGGAATATACCAACGTTGGAAATTACAAATATTTTAAGCAACCAAATTCATTTTACAATAATTATAATATCAAAATCAAAAATATTTAACTATAATTTTGACAATAAATGAACCAATGAAACAAAAAATCATAAAATAAATATAAGATTCAAAATAAAAGGTTTTTAAAAATTTAAACGAAATTTAAATACTGATTAAAAAATAATCACATTGCCAAGTGACTTGTGTAATAATAAAGTGCAATAATCTCACATATATATAATAATCAGGGAAAGTAATATCAACAAAGGCAATGTCATATTGAAAACAAAAGATCATTGACTTTTGGATATTAATAAATAATATTGGGTAATGTTCACGCGAATTTTAAAACAATTGGCATTTTGACAAATTGTTATACGTCGAAAAAAGAAATATTTTCAAACAAAATTCTTATAATTGACATGAATTTGTTATTATAAGTAAAAAAAAAATGAAATGCACAAAAAAAAACCTAACCTCAAATTTTTCGTCACGCTTCGGTTCAATGGCACATTATTATATCATAAGAAAATCAGTAAATACTCCTCAAATATTCATTCTTATACTTATTATTAATTTTTTTTTTTTTTTAAACAAAATAACTCACATTTTTTCCGATTTTCTTAAGTGACAAGTGGATCCATCGCTATCTCCATCCTCGGTATCCATTGGAATTTCCACAACATAACTTTGTACCGGCAGAAAAACAATACTATCTCACTGTTGATTTCATTATTTCACACATACTTCATATATGAATAATCATAATTGATCCAATTAATCAGTTTAATAAACTTTTATAAGCAAAATAAAACTTGTGTACACTTTTCTTGGTTCCATTGTTCGTTTTTCTTTACTTTCTCTGGCAAATTTTTCCCACCTAATGTGCGCATGCTCTGTAAGAACTTTTTTTTTTTGAATGAACCAATCAGAAGCAAACATCAAATATTCAGTAATTTCTGCGCACATTTTTATTGTTTTTTTTTTTTTGACGAAAATCGAAAAACATTTATTTAATAAAAATAAATAAATTTATTGTTGAATTTAATGATCATTTTATTAATTTAAAAATATATCTTTAGAAGCGTTAACAATCCTAAATGAAACAGTAAATTATGTGCGCAGATGGCGCCACTTACTGGACAACTAATTTTGAAAATAGATATTTAATTATTTATATTTAAAAAATTTATTGAACTTTCTTTTTTTATATTGTTCTAAACATTTATTTAATTATTAATAAAAGTTTTCTCCATTATCAAATAATTGTAATTATAAAAATATTGTCGATAAATGAGGGAATATGGATTTTTTTTTTAAATTATGGCGGGAAATTTTTGTTAATTTGAATTGATACTTTTAAATAATTAATTTAATAATTATCATTATAAATAAATAATTTAAATTATATTACCATTTTTTGCTTCTAACATAAAACGAAATAATACCTGAAAGAAAAAAAAGAAACAGTGAAATATTTTTTCATATATTTATATTTATAAAACAACGATCAATTACAATTCAAAGTTTTGTAAAACAAAATCTGTCTGCATGAAATATTAATAATTAATTCCTACATTCTAAAATATTTAAATAGTTGTTTGCAAAAATTACTCTTTTTCATTTTATACTTGTGTTTCTTTAATAATAATCTAGATTCTAAATAATAAATTTTTTTTTTAATTTAAGAAACAGATCAATATGTTTAATATATACTAGATCGACTAGTACTACTCTAATTATTTATAAATAGACACGTTCTTTATCAAAATACTATTTATATTAAAATAAAATTAAAAATTTTAATTAAAGTTTAATTAATTTTAATTTTAATTAAAGTTTAATTAATTCTAATTTTAATTGAAGTTTAATTAATAACACTGCAATTTAAATTTTAAAAATTTTGGTATCAAAAACATATTTGATTTTCTTTTTTTCTTGAGCATATTAATGATTCAAAGTAAATTATTATTATTTTTAATCGGAGAAATAATAAATAATTAAAATTTATCAAAAATGGAAAAAAAAACAATGTTTTAATAATTATTTTCAATAAGAAAAATTGTTTTGGGAATAAATTTAAAATTTTGTCTCATATTTCAATGATTACAATAAGAATATTATTATTATTATGAATAAATTCTAAGGACATAAATATATTTATATTTGTTTTAATAAATAAATTTATCTGCTATGAAGAAATAAATATATCTGTCATAAATAAAATGTTTCTATGTATGTAGTTAAATCTACAAATTCTATATGAATGCAGCACTGCTGCAAATAACGTTTTACAATAAAAATTCTGAAGATGATAATTTTTCTATAAAAATAGAGTATTAACCGAAGACGTTAAATTGATTTCTTTTTTTTTCCAATTGAAGACTATCGTAATGATTGTTTACTGTACAAACGTATACTTTCAATTAATACTTTTTTTTTTTAGGCTCATCTAAAATCTATTCATATCACGTGCTTAAAAGAACACCCATAATATTTCACAAGGTGCACTTATTATTATTATTATTATTTTTGTTTCTCATTTAAATAATTATTATATGTGGAAAGGCACTTGTAGTGAAATGCGCATTGAACTCCAAGATTCGAAAATTAATTTCTCCACATAACATATTCGAATTAAATATATCTAATATTAATTTGTTACATATATTGGCAGAAAAATCTGTGCTTAGAAAAATTTTCCATCATTAATATTAATAATTATTTATTAAGTTGCTAAAAATTAATATTTATCTAATAATAAGTTGCCAATAATAATCAATAACTAATAAATAATTATTTATTTATTAATTATTATTATAAATTATTTATAGATTGTTTTGCTAATAAATTAAAAATAAATTATATTTAATTTCTAAGCTAATTAGCTTTTGATTTTAATTTTAATCCTTTAAATACTAATGATAAAGATTTTACGTTAAAAAATTAAAAAATATTTTATGAGCCTTTAGATTAATTTTAAAAATTAAAAGAAAAAACAATTTGAATGTTAAGTTATGTCATCGAATTCGTTAATTAATTTTTGTTGATTGAATTCGTTGTTTAAATGTAAAGAGATACTATATATTTTACAATACTTGAACTTTTGTACTTTTTGTTTTTATCACTGTTTGCTTTATAATAGTTGAAAGAAATATTAAATTTCTTCAATAAAGTGAAAAAATTTGTTTTTCAAATTATTTTCAAGATAATTAAAAAAAAAAATTAAAATCGCAAGACTTAGGCACTGTGAGAAATATTTTTCATTTCTCTTTCTTTTTGGTAAATTTAATTTTTTGATTAAATTTCAACTTCTGGATAATTTTATCGCAATTTTCTGCTTGTTTCAAAATAGAATTAAAATCACAGAAGTTTACAGACCTTTGTTACTTTTTTTTCTATTTTTCTTTCTTCTCCTCAACAGGGAGAATTTCTTCATCTTTTTTTAAATTTTCAATACTTGCTTCTTCATCGTTTTTCGTTTCAGTGTTGTTTGTTTCTTTTTTCTCCTCATCATCAGTGTCATCGAGCAAATGATCCCAATCATAAGGATCGCCACCTTCTTGAACCCTTTTCAATTCACGTTTCAACATTTCAAGACACTCTCGTCTCTCCTTCCATCTTTCGGCCATTGTTTTCTCATCGAGTTTCTCACCTTCAGGATTCTCTTGATTTGAATTTCCATCGGGATTTTCAGATGATTTTTCACACGATTTTTCCACATTACCCTCGGTGCCCATTAATTTCTCCTTTTCCTCACACTCCATGACATATTTTTCATAACTATCCACCTGTAAAAAAAAAAAAATTCAAATTTATAAAATTAAAAATTTTATTTACATTTAATTTGAATTAATTTTTTTTTTAAACAAAAATTCATGAAGATTACTTTGTCTTGGAGCATTTGTTGAACATTATTTTGTTTTTTCAGATGTTTAGGAAGCCAAAAGCAAGCCTGAAGAAGCCTCAAAAAAATCCATGCTACCCCTGCTAGTGCCAAATATGTGCAGGCAGTAAACACCATGTTTAGCAGATCCACTGAAACCTGTTGATATTGAGTCATAGTTTTTTTTTTTTCAAAAATTGTCCGAGTCCCTGAAAAAGTGAAACAATATTAAATATAAAAAAAATTCAATAAGTTTTTAATTCAATAAATAATTTAACAACTATAATTTTAGTAAATTTTTTTTTTTTTTAATTTAATATAATTTGAAAAAATAATTAAGAAAATATAGTAGTTGAATTATTTATTAATGTAATTAAATCATATTGTATGTTTATTACATTATATTAGTAAAAATACAATAATGAAATAATTAATTGAAAACAAAAAAACAAATTTTATTATTTTTCATTTAGAGAAAAATAAAAATAACTGCACTGACATGGTTTATTAAAATAATTATACACTAAAAATGGCAGTGAGTGTATATGAACGTGATATGTCCCTATAACACATTTATTGATCGTGAGTAATAAAACAGAAAATAAACAATGAATAAGTAAAACTTGATTTTACTCACCATATAAATTTAAAATGGTGATAAAGTTTAACTATCACATCAGATGTTAAGTTACTCCAAAAATTATGTAAAACAAATTTCATTTTATTTTAATTAATATCGAAAAAAAATTGAAAAATCCAATAACAATTTTTTAAATATTTAATATTTAAATATTCAAAAAAAACACTAATTTTTAAAATAAATAATTTAAATAATAATTATTTTTCCAAATAGGAACAGTAACACACAGGAAGAAGAATGATCGTATAAAAAAAATAATCAAATTGCCCTTAACAGAAAAAACAAACAAAAAAAAAATATTTTTAAACAATAAAATATTATTACTTGAGTGAAGGAAAATAGTCAATTATTGAATTTTTTTTTCACCATAGAACCTTGAAGTGACTTCGACCTTCAGTAAAGTAAAACCAACCCCTTTTTCTTAAACATATAATTATGATTTTAAAAAAAAATTATATTCACAATCCACATAATTTTTAATTGAAAAATGAAATGAAAACGAAAATTAATTTTTTTTTTCAATGAAAATAAAAGCGTATATAGGAACTGAAATTATGTAGTTCTTATAAAGAAGAAATCGATCAAAGGAAATACTTCCGCTTATGAACAACCGGCTTAAAAGTAAGAAACTATTAATTTAAAAAAATTATAATTTCACAAAATTAATTTTAAAAAAATTCACAATACCTTTATGAAAAAATCAAGATGAATTGTTCATTTTCCAAAATCTGAAATTTATATTGGAAATATATGAAAAAATATATAATATATATGTATATAAATGTACTAACACGTCCGACAGTTAAAAGAGACTACACGACGTGTTGGAGTGAGAATTCATGTCTACTACTGACCCGTATCGAAATAATCGATATATGGATATAGTTGTACACAATACCATAAGTAATAAGTTAACAAATACCACGGTGAATCCATTATACATTTATAATCATCTTCCAAAACCATTATTTACATCTGAAAAAGAAATAATAAATTCAATGATAAATTAGATTAAATCACTTTGTTAATTTCATTTTTCTTTTCCTTATTTCTCCTGAAAAAAATTCAATTTTTATTAATTCAAATAATAAACAAATATGAAAAAAAAATTCGAGTTTCCTTTACTTACAGAAAAAGTAATAAACTGTAATTTAATTCTAATAGCTACTAACTTAATGATCATATATATATATATATACTTAATACAAATATTCCAATCGATACATCAAAAATTCTCAATTTTTATCACGAAAATAAAGAAATAAAAAAATAATTTTCACCATACTTTTTTGTTAATAAAAAAAATGAAATAGGTGAGATTTTTTAAATAATCAACATAAATCAAGGAACAATTAAATAGAAAACCAAATATCTAGAGTTAAATAATTTTTATTTTACTTTAAAAATCACCCAAATTTGCTTAGGCATCGAAAATAAATTAATTCACTGTTTCCTACTACTGAGAGAAATGAGATTCAAAATGAGAAGATTATATATATTTTTTTTTTTGTTTTGTTTTATAATAATATTAGAATTGCGCAAATACAGTCCACGAATTAATTCGGCGATTAAACATTTAATTTTTTAATTATTTCACAGGGCTACAATTATATTTGATATAATTATCACTGTTATATATATATATTTTTTTTTTTAAATCATTCAATTAATTAATTAATTTTCAAAAAAATCAATTTAAAAAATGTGCATATATTTACAAGAAGCTTTAGTCATAAAAATTAGCAATATCTTCCATAATTTAATAATTATGGAGATAAAAAATGGAAAAGAAAAATGCAAACACTACCCACAAACTATTTTTTAGTAATATTTCTTAGAAAATAATTTTTGACTTTACTCATGATTTTTAATAGCATTTGATTAATTTATTATTTTGAGACAATTATTCAGTTTCCACGTGTATTTTAATTCATTTCTCATTTAAAAAATAAATCTCAAAATCTTTTTTAAAAAAAAGTAGCCCTGCACTTAATAACTACATTCCATTTTTGCATTCTAAACATAGAATTTTTTTTTTCCCCTAAGTTATCATTTAAATAATTTAATACTGTGATTCGAAATTTAGTTTTCTTTTTGTAATAATGGAATCTGTATTCAGAATCTAAAATCATCATATATATTTTCCCTGCATTATCTCCTCTTGATTATCTTGGAAGTTTAGATTATTAAAAAAAAAAAGAAAAAAATATCCTATATTTGGAGCAACATTTAAATTGTTTATTTCTACAATTTTTTAAAATTGGGACAAAAATTATAGCGACAGAAATGTTTCTTTTTAAATTGCATTTTAACAATTCATGCCGTAATAATCCCATACTGGAAATTTGACAATCAAACTAATTTTACAACATTGATCTCTGTGACACATATAAGAGATATTTTTTTTTTTGTTTCTTTATATAAAATTCATCGAGCTTTGAATATCTTTGAAATTAAAAAAAAATAAATTAGAATATTAAATAAAAATCATCATCATAAATTGATAATAATTAATAAATAATAAATAAATAATTGATAACTGAAAACAGTGATAACAATTACGTCAATAAATAGATATATATTTTTTTAATGTAAAAATAAAAATCGATTTTGAAAATTCTTTGATAATCAAGCTCGACAAAAAGAAAAGCTATTTAAAATTTGTTTTGATAAAATGGGAGAAATTACAAATTTTGTTTTTTTAGACGTTTGGAATGCTTACGTCGTTGTGGTTTTCACATAGAAGAGAAGATAGGGTGTGGCTGAATTTCGTGGATTGTGTGCAAGTTTATCCTGTAGCTCTTGCACTTGAATAACGCGCACTGTTTCATCGTCACATTCCAACCACATACCAGGTCCAAGGGATTTACCATTATGTCGAATACCACAACATTCTGCACTACGACAACCTCCCTTCATTGATGATGTCTCTTTACTTTCATTAATGTTCGGTTTACTTCTACTAAAATATTTGGAAATAAGTGATTGATTTTTTGAATTGCTCGTACTGTGTTGCGATTGTTGATTTGGCCGTTTAACATCGCGATTACAACGACAATATTCTTGTGATTCATCAGGTAAACGTGAATATGCAACATAATGACCGGCAGTCATTGTTGCACCCTGATGCATTATCACTGAATAAAGTTGATATAAATGACGCGATTCACTATGAATTGTGCCACCAGTGCCACTTCTTTGTGACGATTGTTCACTATAGCACTCCTCGCAAAAACATTCAAGATCCAATGGCGTTGGCATATAATTGTTGATCTTTTCCATTGATCTATTTTTGTAAATTAATTTTATTTTTAATTTTCTCTTACTATTAAATTTGATTTACTTTTATAAAATTTACATATAAGACTACATTTTAATTTTATAAAAGTAAAAAAATTAATTTATTTTTAATTACCCAGCTGCTGTAGAAAATCTCTTTAGTTGCAATATCAAAAGCCGAGGTAGAGAAGGAAAGCAAACAGCCCGTCGAGCTTCATTAAGTCGAAGACAATGTTCACACCAATATTTATCTCTCTCGCAAAGTAACTCACTGGTTACAACCGCTCTTCTATAAACCTCACTGCTACTAATTTTATCCTTCTTTTTGTCATCGTCTAAAAAAAAAATACATATTTCAATAAATATTTCAAGAGTAAAATTTAATTTTACTATGAATACTCACCGTCATCATTGGAACGATCGATATCAATAGGTACACAAATATCGCAGAATATTTCCTTTCTCTCAGTGACTTGCTCGCACTCGAGGCATGTTGTTCGAAGTAAACTCACGCCTTCAAAATCCTCCGAAATAAAACATTTTCTACTCTCGTGTTTAATGTGCTGTTGAGAATTTAAATCGCCATTAGTCTCCGTAAATTCAGAATAACCATTTTCCGCTGGTTTCGATGATGACGATGACGAAACAGAAGGGGATTGAATTCCATTTAAATTTTGTATTACACCAATTGTACTGCCTTTTTGTAATACCTTTTTCCATGATTTTGTTCGACGTTTACTCGATGTTATACTATCGGATTGTGAATCAATTGCACGTTCAATGGAAAAATCTGCACCATTTGTCTGTCCAAATTGACTTTCACGATGTCTAACTAACAATTGAAATGTCTCTCTTATATTGTCTAGTAAACATACCAAAAGTTCGTGTGCATCTTGCTGTTGATTACCTTCAAAAATTGTATTCACTTCCCTGTTAAAAAAAAGGCAAAATTTTAGTTTTTCTACAAACAATTTTAAAAATAAAAAAAAAAAATACAAACCTTAATGCTTGTAAAAAAGCGCCAGGTTGAAAAGGTTCATTATTTTCTTTTACTTCCAATTCTCGTAGTGCTATGAAAAGTTCGTGTAATTTTTCCGTGGCCACTTGAATTCTTGGTTTATTATATTCATGAGTTGGGCCTGCCAGCGCTAATAAATCCTTGCTGCTCATACTACGATTTCCACTTGCCGATAAGGAAACTCCAGTTCTTCCCAACGATGATGATTTCATCTGTGAAAATTTTCCAATTTATAAATATCAAAAATTTTTTTTATCAAAAATTAAGAAAATAATCTAAAACAAAAAAAAAATTCGCAAATAGAACAAACCTTTGTTTGTAGATGTTTGTCATTTAGACTCGATAAATCAATTGCAAGATGATGCAAATTATGCAAAAATGAAGGAGTAAAACGTAAAGTATAAAGAACGCTATTTAAAAAACAGGTATTCCCCAAATTGCATAATGTTGCTATCCTTAAACCATCGGAACCAGGACCCATTATATCGTAATTAGTTGTTGGATGACTACTCGATTGATTTCTGCAGCCATTCAACATTTTGCTCGTACCTTTTAAAGAAATTTCTAATTTAATTTTCCTCCATTTACAAAAAAAGTTAATTTTTAAATTTATTTTCATTATTGAAAAAGAACAAAAAAAAGTAATTTATAAATTCAAATAAATAAAATCTTACCGAACGAAATGGATTGTCGATCCAAGACGCCCCCTCCGACAGTGGCACGAGGGGGCTCAGAATTAGTTTTTCCTAATACAGAACGACTGCGTCCTGATAGGGACAAACAAAACTTTTTCCTCGGAGGTGCAGTTCGTTCATCAGTGTCTTCTTCAGCTTCTAATACTGTCATTTTCTGCTAACCTAAAAGAGAACAAGAATTTTTTTTTTTTTTTTTTAAATTAAAATAATAATATAATTAAAAGAAATGATCGCTACTCAGGCAAAAGAACAAATCATTGATTTCGAGTGCGAAATTTCTCAGCATTATTATTGATAATAAAAAACAAAAAAGAGATAATTTTCATCGACACACAATTTATTTAAAATGATTTTCGTACAATAAAAACGAAAGCTTGTAAAAAAAATTTTTCATCCAAAATACTTACGTGTTATAAGGTGAAGAAGTCATGGAATAAAAATAATTGATTACTGTGAATGCAACTTATCCAAATAAAAGAGTTGATTGAAACGTTAAAACAGTATATTACTAAACACAGACTACATTTTCATCTTGTGAACCATAAAATTTATAAAAATTTTACGTTTTTTTAATGCATCAATGTGCATCAAGTAATAATTTCTTAGCATTGACTATAAATCAAGACAATTCTCATCTAGACGAGTTTTTATAATTATTATTCCCAACAATAGGGTGCGCTGTACGTCAATGCGTAAAAATTGTCCTTTTTTAAAATTTATAAAACAGAAATCAAAAAACATTATTGCGAAAAACACTCTTAATACTGATTAATGTTAATGTTATTGTTAAATTTATTTATTTAAAACAATAAAACTCTAAATTTCAATTTTTCCCTAAAAAATTAACGTTGGTATCATTATCGACATAAAATTCACCAGGAAATTTATTCAATATAGTGTTTTATTCTGAACCTAACTTCACAATATTGGATCATATTCACAGCTGTTATTATTTTCGTTCGTTTCAGTGATAAAAAAAAATTGTGTCGGCGAAGAAGTTAAAGACAATCGGTAAAACGTTGAATGTTCATTTAAATTTAAATGTAAAATGACTTCTGTAGATTCGGGAGTTGAAACTGGAAATGATTCCAATGATAGTTTAGTTGCACAACATGAAAATATACCCGCGGGACAGGCGAGCGTCAGTACATCGGCCTTTATGTCAACAGCAGGAAATAAAATGGAAGACGAAGAAATTCAATGTGATCCAATTCCAACAAATCTTGATGCAATTGCTTCAATACATTCACATTTTATATCAACAGATCAAGTAAGAAGAAGCAGAAGAAAAAGGCATCCACATTTAAAACATTATCTTACATCGAGAAATAATATTTCATTTAGTAACATACCAGGAACATCGGGTCCATTAACTTTCCATCCATCTGAATTCTTTATGTCACCATCAGAAAGTAGAATAACAGAAGATAAAATGGAAGACAAAAAAGATGAAAATGATTGTGATACATTTTCATTAAATCTTGAGGCACTTGCTTCAATTCATCCGCATTTGAAACATTATCTCACATCGAGAAATAATATTTCACTTGGTAACATACCAGGAACCTCTGATCCTTTGACCTTTCATCCTTCTGAAAGAGTTGTTATGACAACAACAACATCGGGAAATAAAGTGGAAGATGAAGAAAAACAAAGTGATACATTTTCATTAAATCTTGAGGCACTTGCTTCAATTCATCCGCATTTGAAACATTATCTGACATCGAGAAACAATATTTCACTACCGGGTACATCTGAACCTTTGACCTTTCATCCTTCTGAAACAGTTTTTATGACAACAACAACAACATCGGGAAATAAAGGAGAAGATGAAGAAAAAAAAAGTGATTTAATTTTGACAAATCACAGTGAAATTGTTTCAATTCATCCACATTTGAAACATTATAATAATTCGACAAATACTAATATTTCACTTAGTAATAGACCAGGAACCTCTGGTCCACTGCCCGTTTATGCTGCTCAATCACTTCAGGTAATAAACAAACAAAAAAAAAAAAAATTAAAGATTTGCACCATTTTTTTTTTCATGGTCAATTGACAGTTTTCAATCGAGAGGTTTTATTCACTTTCTTAATCATATTTTAATTTAGAATGTGACGAAGCACATTTGACCTTAATATATTTAATTTTTTGACAATTGATCATGACCTAGATTAACATTTCTGTTTTATTCGAAAACAACTTAAGATTATTTTTATATTTTTCACTGTTTTATCTTTGAAGATTTTTTTTTTTAAATATTTTAATTCTCAATAAATAAATGTGAAAAGGCCTTTTTGTTTGGAAAATTAAAATTCTTCTCAATTTTCAGTTTTTACATTTTATGTTTCTCTAAAATAATATTATTTTCATTAAAAAAAATATATATATATATTCTTACAGCCTTTCGTTGCATCTGAAATGTTTTTTACTCCCACTACAATGTGTTCCAATCAATTGTTATCAACTGTAGAATTTATAAAATCGAGTAAGTAATTTTTGAAAATTTCTTTTCAATAAATAGAATTTTCTTAATTTTTTTTTTTTCCAGTTCGTAGAAGAGCAGGACCTCCATTCTCCATTGAGAGTAATTCACATCAAGGTATTTTGTTTTTTTTTTTTAAATACTTCTTTTTTTTCCAAAAACTTTATTTACAATTAATTAAATTGACTTTGCAGCAAATTGTTTTAAGCCAAAAATGAGAATTTTTCGAGGTCGACATCATTGCATAACAGGAAAAGAGTTTCAAGGGCCGTTAAAGGAGCGTAAAATGCGAATGGCCGCTGCAACTAATAACGTAGAAGTAATGCGTCGACTGTTAGAAACTGGAATATCTCCAAATAATAAAGACGGACAGCAAAGAACTCCTCTACATTTGGCATCATGCAGGTAAATTTATTATTTATTTTTTTTTTGACTAATTGAAAAATTTATGTATAATCTTTTTTAGAGGATATACTGAAATAGTTCGATTGCTTTTGGATCATGGCGCTGATCCAAATCAACGCGATTGCATTGGCAATACACCATTACATTTAGCGACAGTAACAAGTAAAATAGCAGTGGTGACATTACTTTTAAAAGCCGGTACCGATGTATTATCATCCGATAAACATGGTCATAATCCATTGCAAATTGCTCAAACAAAATTGAAATTATTACAAAATTGTCATGGTTCGGACATGATTAAAATTAAAGAAGAAGTACATAATATTGTTGATATGCTTCTTGCTTATCTTGAAAAGCAAAAAAATGCCCAAGAACAAGTTGAAAATCTCAGTAATTTTTATTCACGTCTATCATTATCAAATACTTCGAATCAAATTCAAGATGACGTTAGAGATTTATTGGCCAATTTAAATTCCTTAAGTTTAACCAGTTAATTGCCTTAATTTTTTCCTTTTTTTTCGAAAAAAAAGAAATGCTCGTTTCTTAATCTTTAACATTTACAAAAAACTAGAAACACTTTTTAAAAATTATAAACGTATGTGAAAAAAACAAAACTATATTTTCTATCAAAAAAAAATACTCGTAAGCTCGATAAAAAAAAGAAGAAAGAACAATCGAATGCTGAAAAAAAATGATTTTATAAACAACGCTGTTTATATATTGAGTCAACGAACTCTATTTTAATCCCTTTTTTTTCAATTGTAGTTTTTACGACAGGTTTGGTGCCGAGGACAAATTGTCTTATTTTCCGAGATTTATATACAATACTTGTGAAACAACGTATTAATTATTAAAAACGAAAAAAAAAATTATAATATGAAAATCAATTTAAGTTTATCTTTAGGAGTATATATTTACATTATAGAACAATTTGTACTATTTCAGTGCTTTTCATTTCAGATAATTAAACATCATTGAGATAAATATGTATGAAACATATTTAATTCCACTATTGTGTAAATATTTGATGTAATTACATCTTCTGTAAATAGTGACAAATGTTCATAGTTATAGAATTTACAATGGTAAATAATTAAAATTTGAAAAAAAAAAAACTTATACACCGAAGGCAGTCGCCTTATTTTATAATCGGCAAATTGTTACGTATCCATTTAAAATAAAGTATAATATTGAATAATAATAAAATAATTTTACAGAATTAAGCAAAATGGAAGCAATCATACGAAATATATATATATATATATATATATATATAAACAACATGATTGTATGAATACGAAAAAAAATATTTATAAAACAAAAATATGATAAATAAAAAAAATAATTGTACGTAAAACTTTGTTTGTTGTACCTTTTTCAAGAAGGGTTTTTTTTTAAGAATCAAAATTATCTGCAAAGATATTATTTTATTTCATTTTTTTTTCTTTTTTTTTACTGTAACACGAGCGTAAAATTCGAAAATTTGAAATTACAACTTGTTGTCTATATAAAATGAGAACTTCACGAGTTTTTTTTTTTTTTTTTTTAAAGCATATATCTCGGAAGAATTTAGGCACATAAAAAAGTCTTATGGAAGATCAAACTATTTGAAAAAATAGAATTAACTGAAATATTTTTCATTTGCAAAAATACAAATCAATTAATTAATAATAATACTGAAGATATTTTTTTTTCACTATTGGAAATATTTACAATAATGCTATAACGAGAATCATTCTTGATATATCAATATTATTCTGTCGATCAAATAATTCTCGATAAGAATATAATTCTTTAAGAATAATTCTATAATAAAAAAAATTCCATTATAAGAATTTAATTCTAAAGAACACAATATTTTTTTTTTTTTAATAATATTTTAACGAGAATTTATTAAAAGCACAAGGTTTTTTGATTTTTGTTGAAAATTTAAATAGATTTTAAAATTTGTGTGTTTTTTTTTTTAAATAATAACTTTGATTGCCATAATAAAGATATGTAGCGCTTATTTTTGTGTGAATAAAAATAAATCTCTTGTTCCCTTTATATATTGCAAAATGAAATCTATAGATCTGCCTCTTTTTAAACTATTTTATACGAAACATGAATTCAATATTTACATTTTTGGTAAAACATCGTATTGTTTCATTGGAAAAAAAAACTTCTGTTTCGAAACAATAATTAACGAGATAGAGAGAAATTCCAAAAGATTATTAACATTAACGATTCATTAAACTATTGAGCGAACTACTTTGGCTCCTTTGATTTTACTTAAAATATATATATTTGAGAATTATGAAACGAAAGTTTACGAGGCTTAAATTGCAAAATTATTCAAATAACGTTGTTTAATATCAAAAATTTATTTCCAAACGTTTATAATATTTTTATTAAATAATTTAATAATAATAATAATACTTTAATATTAATTAATCAAAATGTTATTTTTAATTCATAGAAAAAATATTCAAGTTAAATCAAATGTTTATAAAAAAAAAATAAAAAAGTAAAGTTTTTAACTTTCACTATTTTTATTTTACTTTTTCGATTTTAATAACTAGATACCTAAATTTTTATTTTTGCTTTTTAAACATTGCAAACTTGAGCTTCATTATTTATGAGTAAGTCTTTTTCTACAAATTGATTCTAATGGGGATTTTTTTTTTTTTTTTTTTTTTTTCAAGTCGATTTAATCGAGAATTCCTTATTATATAATTAGGACAATAGAATCGTTTCTTTTTCAAAGAAACAGTGGTTTTTTTTTTTAAATTTTATATTATATATAAAATTTTGTTTTTTCAAAACGTTTGTCAAGGACACATAACATTTGCTAAAGAGGGAAATATTTCAGCTTGAATGGGTCCATAATCAACATTTTCACCATCCACTGTCAAGTAGCCATTAACACCCTCAGCTGGTTCTATTCGAAATGCTTTCACAGGAATCATTTCGACTCCAGGAACAGTTAAATGTGTGCCAGTACTCATACCCAATAGGAACTGTAAACAGTTTTAATGTTCCTTTAACTAATCCTTCGTTAAATTTAAAAACTATATTCTTCATATTTGACAAATTTTTTAATTTCCATTTTGTACCAAGAAAAAAAAATAGAGGGAAACAAACAAAATTGTAATTTGAATGATTTTAAACGAAATCAAAAGATAATTTATTACACTATTGTAATATGAATATTAATAAAGTTTGGAAGGTAAGAAAAAAAAGTTTCCGGGTATTATTAGGAAAAATAAAACGTTCTTTAAAAAAAAAAAACGTTCAATATGCTAATTACGAGGATGTTTTTGTCATTTTATAAAGCGATGAATGTTAATATTTAATGAAACTAGAACTTTACCTGAAATAATTGTGATCTGGAAATACCAGCTTTTATAATGAGAAGCCAAATAATTCCATCAGCGAGTCGCGCGTGCGGTGCAAAAATACAATCTTGTCCCAAGTGTGACTGATAGGCAGCATGAACCATCACAAATTCTCCTTTAATTAAAAGAATTGTTTATTAAAATATGCATCTATACATTAAGCTAGAAATTTTTTTTTTTTTAAATTACATAAAATGCAATTATTAAAAAAAAATAATTAAAAAGAAAGGGAAAATTTATTCTTATTGAAAAGTTTTCGAACCGTTAATTTGGGTCCAATTATTAGGAACCGGAGCAGTAAGAGCTGGTAACGAGGATGCTGGACCGTAAGTGACATTTTCATTTATATTCTCCCCTTCTATAAAACAAAGATTTGAGAATTTAATTTTTTTTTCTATTTTACAATACATTTTTTCTCTTTTTTTTTAAAGAAACGAGAAAATTATACCTTTCCCAAGAATTTCAAGATCGTCCATACTGTGATAACTGGAAATAGATCCGGTACTGAAATACGTTGACTTAACAGAAGTCGCTGAATAAAAACTATCTAATCGGTGTCTGGTTTGTGTTTGAGTTTCAGTTTCCAACTCAATGGTATCAGATAGTACTTCACTTTCATTGCAATTATTTAAAACGTGATTTAATCCATTTGTACCTCCATCCAATGTGTCATGATAACTTTTCGATTCACGAATCCCTCCAAATCTTATCAAAAATAAATAAAATTTAATAATAATAATAATTTTCAATTATTCAAATAATTCGAAAATTTTTTATAGAAAAAAAAAAGTATATTACCGATCTAATTCGTCGCCAAAACTCTTTGAATGTGGTATCTTAATGTCGTTATTTTGTTCCTTACAATAGATATTGCCATTATTTAAATTTTCCACAATTGGAACTTTATTGTACGGTAAATAGGAGACAATGCCCTTATAAGTGCGAAGTCCAATGAGTCGTGCGATACTCCAAACTGTAAATCGTTGACCGCCAATTGCGCGAAGATGTTCACTTTCGATATCAATATCGGCCAAAAAACCCCAACCAACTGACAAAAATGAATATAAAATATGATTTTTCGTTTCAACACGAACCAAATCCATTGGTGTTTGTTTGCATTTAACAACTGACAATGCGCTAATAAGCATTGGATTGCTATTGTACGGTTCTCTGAAAATAAAACAATTTTTTTTGTTTTTTATAAAAATAAAAAAAAATAATTTCGAATTATTAACAATTGTAATTCAAAAAATAAGGTAAAAAATAAATACTTTCTCATTTATAATGAGAATGTAAAAAAAACATTGATAATTTAGAAAAAAGAATTGAAAAATAATTTTTGTAAAAAAAATTGAATAATTAAAAAATAAAAACTCACTGTCTAGAATGAGCGATAGATTTGGCTAAACCATTACCAGAACCACATGGAATAATGCCAAGCGGTAATTCCTTTAATGCTTTCTCCCAATCTGGCCTTTGTAATAAGCCATTAATTACTTCAAATATTATACCATCACCGCCAACCATCAACAGGCAACTCCATTGAAATATGTCCTTGGTACGAACAAAGTCTGTCGCATAATTTGAATATTTTGTAATGTGCACCTCATAAGGTTTCTCAGCTTCCGAAAGAATTGGATGGATTCTTCTTTGAAATATTTCTCTCCCTCTTCCTGGTCCAGATTTTGGATTCAATAGGACTAGCAATTTTCTCTGTTCACCTGGACACGCTACAAAAAAAAAAAAAACAAAAAAAAACCAATTCATTAAAATATGTTTATAAATCATAATTTAATTAAATACAAAATTTCTAAAAAATTAAAAAGAACTTGTAAAAATTAATCACCAGTTTAATTTCTTAATTCTCATCGCAAATAATAATTGTAAATTGGATAAAAATTCTTAATTTCCAGCATATAATTATTAACAGCTAAACGTGTTTTTCTTTTTTTTATAAAAAAACATAATAATTTAATTGTATAATTTTTTTTGGATAAAATAGAGAGAATAAAAGTGTACATTAATCTCAGGAAGAAAATTTAATTATATCAACTTGTGGAATATTCTAACAAGCGAATTAAATATTCAATTAATATTTTTCAACTCAGTTTTTGGCTCTCTTATTGTCTGGATAGTAGCCAAAAAAAAAATTTTCTTGTTTTTATACTGCATTTGATATTTAAAATTTGAATAATCGACAGATACGCTCATCATCGAATTATTATTGACACATAATAAAATGATTTATAGTTTTATGTAAATTTGTTTTTTTTTTTCATAATAAAAATTACTTATTTGTAATATTTTTTTTGCGACTCATTGAAAAATAAATTTTTTCTTCAATTTTCTCTAAAGACATAAAAAAAATCATTTGCATATTTTAAATATCTCTTGACAAAAATTATATAAATAAATGTATACATAAAAAATAGCTATTAAAAAAAAACAGATAACTCACGAAAACGATGAAAATTTTCAATTTTTGAAAAAAGAAAATAGATAAATTAAATATAAAAAATAATATTGGAAATTATTTTATATTTTTCAGAAAAGAAAAATTGATTAGCAAAAAAATTTTTGCAATTTTATCAAAAATTATTATACACGTTATCAAAGAATATGAAAAAAATTCTTTTTTTTTTTATTGTAAATAACAAGAAAAAAAAATTTTTTTAAGAGGATAACAAAATAAGGAAAATTACAATTATTCTTGGTACGAAAGGTAATGGTTTCTGTGTATAAGTATATTTATGAATCATTCGTCTGATTAAAAGTCAAGTGTGAAATATTGCATTTGTCATTAAAATTGTTTTCAAAAATGATAAATATTTCTTTAAATAAAAAAATTATTTATTTAAATCTTATAATATTTTAAACCAAATAATTAATTACTTTAATTATTTGTAAGAATAAAAATTTATTTCTACGAAAAAAAAAAAAAAATGAAAAACAAAAATCATGACAAAATGTTTAGTTTCCTATCAGTAGAAAGTAGTAAAATTCCTTTTTTTACATTCCTTAATTATATTGCTTTGAATAATTATTTCCCCTAGCCATTATTTCACAACAATAACAAAAAATGGTAGTAATTAACAATTTAAAGTTTTTATGATAATTTTGCAATGACAAAATTTACAGAATAAATACAAAAAAACTTATTTTCATTGATTACATTATTCAATACCTAATTATAATAGTTATGAATATTGTATACTTTAACAATTGCATAATATATAAACAAAACAATTTTCGATTTAAATTTAAGAGGATAATTACAAAGTGCAAATTAATTTGTTTATTTAAAAATATTTTTTTAATTTTATTATAATAATTAGAATAAATTCAATTAAAAATTATAAAAAAAAATTTTTAATATAGAAAAGATATTTTGAAAAAAAAAATGATTTTTTATCTCAGTTTTATATATTCTATAGGCACATGTATATAAAAATATATATGTCAACCTCAGTTTCAGACTAACGAAGCCCTTAAGAGGCAGGTGAATTCTAATTTAAATTTCTAGACTGTAAAAAGAGTTCTAAGATTGCAGCTGCTTTTATTTTCGTAAAAAAAAAAGAAAAAAAACTGACAAGATTCTTATTTTACTTCGACATTCAGCTGCGAAATTGAAATATGAAAAATTTTATTTCTTTTATATAAAAAAATTTTTATTTCTACTTTTTTCGAAATAATTATTAAAATTTATTTTAAAAAAACTTCAATTTTCCGATTATAATTCATAAATGTCATAATGACTATACAAGAATTTTTTTTTTTTTTTTGAAATCATAAAAGTTGAAATAAACAAAAAATGTCATGATTTTTTTTATTTCCATCATTTTTTTTTTTTTGTAATAATTACAATAATTATTAAAGCTATATCATTGTAACTACATTATAATTTTATCCAATAATAAAAATATTAAAACATTGCTATTTATTATTATTATTAAAAATTGTCATTAATACTATTTCAATATGAAATTAATTATAGAAACTAATTATGAAATTAATTAGTAATTATAATCACTAATTAATTCAGGCAATAAAACTGAAATTATTAATTATTGCAATTATCATAGTTTTTAATTAGCATTAATTAAAATTTCTATTTATTATTATTGTTTGCTTTTATCGATCTTTACTGACATTTTTTTTTTTTTTTTTAATTTTTTTAAATATAATTTTCCATTGTGGTTTGGGAGTAATTAAAAAAATTACTATTATAAATATTCAAGAGCATTTTAGACTAGCCTTTCTGTGGCCAATGGTGTTAAAAACTAGGGCGCTTATCTCAATTATTATATGAGTGAATGTGAATGTATCCTGTCTGTGTTTTATAGTCTCACAACGTGGCGCAGATCACGAAACCCTAATCTCCATATGCATATTTACACTTTAAATATATATATATATATATACAAATATACATCTTATATGTTTGTCAGGTGTAAATTATTATTTGGAAACAAAAATTTATTCAACAATTAAAACAAAAATTTTACAATACCAATTGTGTCATTTTTTTTTTTTTCATTTTTACCTCTTTTTTCATTTTTCAACTAGCTTTTTATGTCTATTTTGTAATATATCTTATCTTTAATACCTATATGATGGAATTTTCCAAGAATAATTTTATAATTAATTTTTAATAACGAAGAAAATTAAAAAAAAACAACACGAAATTTTATTCATAAAAAAATATAATGAACAAATTTATAAAAAAAAGTCAAATATAAATATAAATAAATAAAATATATTTTAAATAAAAATATTTTAAATTGTTTGAAAATAATTTTTACCTTCTTAATTGGAATGATAATTATATAATAATTGATCGATCTCTCTTTGATCTTCTTGTAAGATTTTATAAAAAAAAAATAAAAATCTACTTGTTTTTCTAATCATTGAACTTCTGAATCTTGTAAGTGGTTTTCCTTTTTTTTTTTTTTTTTTTTTTTTTTGCAGAAAATTATCACTGGACTTTACTAAAAAATTGTTATTACAAAATATTGAGAAATATTTTTTTTTTTTTGTAAATAAATAGAAAAAAAATTTAATTTAATAATAATAATAATTAATAATATTAAAATAATGATAACAATAATAATAATAATAAGAAAAATTATAACAAAAACAATAACAGTAATATTAAAAAATAATAAAAATTTTGTAAATAATTTACGAAATCGTCAATCAAATTTGAATCAATTAATTGTGTAAATGTATAATAATTTTTATACTATTGGATGGGAACGAATTAACCATAAATTGAAAGGTCGGACAGAAATATTTTTCCATACGATTTAAAAGTCAATATTCTCTTTATCAATTATCAAGGCTACTTCAATTATTACAAAACTATTTAATTGAAGGAATTATAATTTAATTTAAAATAAAAACCAAAAAAAAAATAAATAAATAAATAAAATTATCTACTTGATTTTGACGATATTATACTTTGCATTTTGTATAACTATTTGTGACGTGGGATATATAAATATATATTATATAAAATTATGTATAGCAGAATTAATTTTTTTTTTTTTAATTTATGCTAATATTCCGTATGCGATAATGATGCAATGATAAAAATTTGTTCAAAGTATACTTGACAGTATTCAAATATTGTTTAAAGAAAATAAGCTGCACATATGTTGAAGGTTCATTTGTTGTTGTATAACAAAATGATGTTTCTTGATTACATCATTTTATAAACGTCACCACATTTATGGTATATTACGTTTCAATCAATTACAAACCCAATATGTGCAAATAATTTTTCGCCTCTTACATTTAATTTAATAAATTTTTCAAATTTAATTGTCAATTAAATTAAATGATAAAATAATTAAATTAAATTATTAAATAAATTTACAATTAAATCAAAGAATTAAATGGAAGACAAATTTTTTTTTCCAAAAATAATAAATATGAAAAATTATTGAAAATTCGATTTATAAAAAAAAAGATTGAAACGACTCGTGCATAAAAATGTGCAATAAATGCTGTGAGATTTGTTGTTAGTGATAATAAAATTCTTTTTTTAACCAAAATAAATGGTTGGAAGGTTCGTATTATATAGAAACCTCATAGATGTTAATCTATATGTGCTCGTCTTTTATTATAGAGCAACGTTCTCAAGCAAAGACGCGGTTTAAATCACAAAGATCGATATACAAATTGGCGAAGTAAAACGTTGACTAAGGTCGTGCGAGGTTAATATACAAATCTACATTGTGCAATGAAAATGAATCTCTTGAGATTGTCTGCCAAGAAATTTTTAGAGTCCATTGACTTCATAAAATTTTATTAAAATTGCCCATTTAAAATAATTTTATATTCAATTTTTATTTATAAAAACAAAAAAACTATTTTTCTAAATTGTTATTAACACGGAATAATAAATTTAAAAAAATAAGTTCTTTTTTTTTACAAACTCATTCACTGCACGCAAAAACGTAATTTTAATAAAATCATAAATAATCTTTAAATCTCTAAATTTCAACTCCAATTAGTTCAACATTTTTTTTTTTTTTTTTTTTTTTTTTTAATACGTCGCAAAAGCAAAAAAAATATTTTTATTTATTACAAAAATTAAGAAAAAATTGAAATTAAAAAATAAAATCAAATATAAAAATATGTCCGTCAATTGTTATTTTTATAAAAATACTTAATGAATCGTGAGAAAGTAAAATAAATTTTTTCTAACTAAATAAATAAATAAAAAAATACAATTAAATTTGAAGTATATATGGGAGAATGCATGATTATGTAATTGAACCATCGTGTTTCCAAGTATATGTATATATATAAGGCCAAAGAGGAAGAACAGCACGAAAAGCGATGATTAATAATATTGAAGTTTGCATTTCTAAACAAGGATTTACGCTTGAAACAATCCAATAATTTCATTGGTACTATTAAGTATATTTATAAAAAAAAAAAATAAAAAATTACGTCTCAATTTTCACTTAATTATTTTTTTCTCTATTTATCCTATACAAAATAATTCCGCGACTTACGTATTATATATTTTCCTCTTTTCCACTTTTACTTTTCTATATTAGTCGCCTAGTACTTACATTCCACTTTACAATCATAATATGTTGACTGGACATATTTTTATTTTTGTTTTATTTAGTCAACTTTCTAATATATGAAAAAGCCCCCTTGATTGAGAGAGATAAGATCATTATGGATTTTAAATATTCTCAATAAATTTCTCATTGTCATTGAATTCTGCAAAAAAAAAAAAAAATACACAAAAAAGCGTAATATGTAATTAATTTTCAATTAACGGTATTTTAATAATATTAATTTATATTTTTTTAATAATATAAATCAAATCCTCTAACAATTTTTTTCTAAAAACTAAAATTTCGATTATTATATCCTTTACGTCACTGTCTTCTTTATATGGAAGGCTCAAAATCCCAATTCCAAAGTTCAAAAATCATTAACAAAACTAAAGGCAATTTGAATATGAGATTAATTTTGTTCTTTTTTTTTGTGATGACGTAATAAAAAAAAATTTATCTTTGAACACAAAGACGAATAGATCAAGGACAATAAACCTTTAAAAAAAAAAAAAAGAAATAAGAACGCACCTAAATTTAATAAACATATTTTCATTAGCCTTGAAAATATTCAAACAAAATACGCTTATTTGGTTGAATACTTTTTCTCAAAACAGAAACATGAACGGAAATTCTTTACTTGAGAATAAAACGTGCAATTTGCGTGTAAACCAAGTGTAAAGAATAATTATAGAAATATTTCCGTCTACTCTACATTTTAATTTTAAGAAAAAAAAAAAATGTCTTTTCTTTACAAAATTTTTAAAATATCGTCTCAGCAATTTGATTATATAATATATAGAAATTAAATTCATATTTAATTTTGTCATTTAACTATTTGAAAAATTAAATTATATTAAAAAAAAATGTTTTTTCAAATCAAATAAATTAAATCTCTATTATTGTATCATTTGATTTAATAAAAGTCAACAGTGTGAACGCCTATTAAATTCACTTCTTCGCTGACAAATTAAACATAATTGTTTAAGTGTTAGGAATTAGAGTTGCTTCAGTAATTTTCCTTTAAAATAAACAATTTTGATTGAAGCCAAGAATTATCAAAATGTAAAACAAAAAAAAAAAAATTAAATTTAAAAATATTTAAATTACCAAAAATTATTAAAATACGATATCTTTTTAATTTTTTATATCACATAAAATTGAAAGTGTTTATTATAGAGGAACTAGAACAAACATCTTTCAACATCATAAAAACCTTGACAATAGTAATTATCTTTCAAATCGTAACAAACCTACAATTATGTATATTATTAGATTTAAAATTATTCGTCCCTAAAAAAAAAAGAGAGAACTATTTTTTAAAACAATTTTACTTATATATATATATATATAAAAAAAAATGATGATAAAATAAATTAAAAATAGAAACTTTTTTCTCTCACCATTGACAATTGATTCTAAATTCCCATGACTTGGACTCATAAGTGTTTTTGGTACTGGAATTTTTGAAATGAGGCACTTTATTGCCAATCTCCATCGGCTTGCTTCTCTAAGATTATCCTCGTATCTGTCAAAACTTCGAAAACGTAATGTTATTGTCGTTCTTTCACGTCTTCGGGCATTTTTAACTCTTGCCTTTTTAATTGTATACGCATAAATATATAAATAAGCGGAAGTATCATATTCATCGAAGGGTTGTGTCACTTCCGTTGATTCAACGAGTCTCAATTGACTTTTTGATGCTCCAGGTCGACAGGCACAGCTTCCAGCATTTTGTTTCTTTGATCTCATACATCGACATCCAATAATATCACACAATGGTATTAATTCAATTTTTGTTGAGCCATTACTTTCTTTTTGTAAACTCAAACCTTTTTCTGTTAATTTAACACGATAAATTGTATTTTTTTTCGATGTTATATAAAATGTCTCTTCAAGAAATGATGTGATACGCACTTGATTTTCTTCTTCCATTATTATTGAATAAATTTTCTATTTTCTTTATTATATATATATATTAAAAAAATTGAATCTCCGATATTTAATTACAACTACAATTGAATGAGAAGACAAATTGTCTTTCAATAAAATTTTCCTCGATCGATCAATAATTGTGGGTCTATCGTAATTGTTGAATTATTTGAGTCTGTTGATTTGTATTGTCGAGTTAGGATCATTTTTACTATTAAAAGTAAACAATTGGACGGATGTAATTCCTGGCTTTTATTTCATCTTCTTTTTTTTATCCTCTTCTCAACACTTGAATTTATAAATTTTTAAACACTAACTTAAAATTTCTTTTTGCATTATTTCATTTAACTTTTATTGATTTTTTTATTATATTTATTCATTTATCCTGTGCATCTAACACTGCAATTGGTTATTTCAATTTAAAAAAAAATATATATATAATTTATCACTTTTTTTAAAAAATTTTTTATGTACAATTTCTCTTAAGGAAATTTATTTTCCTTTATCGGAGAATTTTTTTAATAATCACATTGTGTAAACGATATCAGGAGATGAATGAGTTCGTCGCAAAATGCACCCGGCCACTGCTTGATCCTGTGCGCAAGGCATCCTTTTTTTAAAAAAAACAAAGGGAAACGGACTACTCCAAAAAAAAAAAAAATTTGTTGGAAAATTATCTTCGGAGTGATTGTAACACTTAAAATTATCAATAGGGAAATCACAAAAAAAAATTTTTTTTAATTTTTTCACGTAAACAATACACGTCACACTTAACTCAATTCTTTCCTTGAAATGTTTTATCTAACTCTGTTCTGCACACTGTTTATAAGCGTTTATAACCTCTCCCCGCCAACGACATATGTCAACTGTGTGAAGTTAAGCCTATAACCATAAACTATTTTTGACATTTCAAAAAAATATGGTAACTGGACAAACTTCATGAACATGGAATTCAACAGTGATGCCCTCTTTGATGAAGTAATCAAACTTCATGAACAATATTCTTAACGTACACACGTAAATTATCGTAATATACATTTTTCAAAATGGCGGCACGTTTGACATTTCATTCATTGATTTTGTGAATTTGTTAATAAATTTTAATGTTTAATTTTACAAATACAAAGCAATAATAGTGGAAAATAATTATATTTTACACTATAATTGACAAATTGTTGGATATATTAATATATTATTTTTTTTATGTATTACGTAAAAGCGCAATACACGTCAAAAATCAAGTTAAGCGTAACGTTTCTAGAAATTACGTGTTTAAGGCAAATGACAGCTACGGTGAGTGTACTTTTTATCCTTTGTTATTCTCAAAACAATAAAGTGATAATTCATGTTTTTATTGCAAATTATTATTTGCTATTATTTTACAAATTAAAACGGTAAAGTTTAAATATGTGTAGTGCACAATTTTTTCTCAAATAACGTCCTTGAAAATCAACTTGAAATGTAGCCAAGATTTTTGTTTGACCTTTGCTCAATATCTTCAATATGTATAGAGTTTGTTTAATAAACATTATCGAATTATGTAAGCAATATTTGCAAAGGAAAATTCGTTGTATTATGTTTTAATGAAAAAAGAAAAAATTATTAACACTTACGTCACGACAATAAACTTTCGCAATTTAGAGTTAATTAAACCTTACATGTATATATGTAATCGTTCCAAGAATTTGCAAATTTTTTTTTATTTTAACTCTAGTGATAAATAATACTATTCCTTGACAGTATTCAATTACTAAAGCATTTATTTTTCAATGTCTAAATTATTAAAATATAATTTTATTAGCAATATTTTTCTTTATTTAATTTAAAGAAATTGCAAAAAAATTATTTCGTAATTCAATAAATTCTAGTTTCAATTATGAATTTTTTTCAAAGTTGTTTCCTAATCGCTTATCTTTTAACGCAACCAAACTTTGACTCCTCTTACACAAACATGCAAAAAAAAAAAAAAAAATGATAAAGACATTATTCCCTATTTAGTTTTAAAAAGATAAGTGCACTTTATAGGCGTTCATTTGAGTTAGAACATGTAATAATTTCCTTTAACTAGTTAATATTTACAGGTTGGTTTTCAATGATGTATTTTAATATTTAATTATTAATGTTCAAATAATTGAAAAATTCAAAATATTGTCCTATAAAAATGAGACGAATATTCATAAAAACAATTATATCTGTTTTAGATTCCAGAGATAACAAAAATAGGCAATTTATATTAAAAAAAAAAAAAAAAAAAAAAAAAAATTAGAAGAAAAAATTTTAGAGAAAATGTTAGAAAACGAGGATATTATTATTGAGGATAAGATTGATTTAAAATCAATGGAAGAATCAGGCCTGAGACATCGAGTTCCTTGGAGTGATAGGATTTCATTAAATAGTGATATTCCTGGTTTGCACGAGGTTAAAGAATTACTAGAAGAAGATGACACTAGTTGTTTGGCTGAGGAAGAAGATGGAGTTGGATGTCCATTGCCATCCACTCCTGAAGATGATCATCTTTTAAATTGCGAGGTAAAGAAGAATTTGAAATTTTTCAAAATATTTCAAGAAACAAAAATTTAATTTTTACTTTAAATATGCTAATAAAATAAAAAATTGTAATTTAATTTACAAATGGAAGTTTAATAGAAGTTTTGAAAATAAATTATTTCGAAAATCATTTCAAAAATCATACTATTAAAGAATAAAAGGAAAAATAAAATAAAAATAAAATATCTGAACACGTTTTGTATATAGATAAGATATGCTTGAAGAAAAATTTAAAAAAAAAATAACTTTACGAAATAATATTGAAATATGAAAAATGATTATTGAAAATATTAAATTTTATTTCGGAAAAAGTAAAATAGATAAATTTTATTTCAATGACAAGAAAAAAAAAAGAAGTTAAAAAATTATTTTTGTTCTTAAATTATTTGGGAGTCTTTTTTTTTCCTGAGACAAACTAGCGGATTAAATTGACTATATAAATAAATTATTATTCTATTAATATACGATATAAATTTAATTCAGATGACAGAAGTCCTAAAAGCTGGTGTATTAAGCGATGAAATCGATATAGGTGCATTGGCGCACAACGCAGCTGAACAAGCCGAGGAATTTGTTCGTAAGGTGAATTTCGAATTTTTATTTAAAAATATTTACTATTAATAATAATAGTATAATAATAATTTTCGAATAATTTCGAATAATTTCGAAATCAAAATAAATTAAAAATAAGAGATTAAAAATAATTATTCACAGGTGTGGGAAGCGTCTTGGAAACAGTGTCATTTCCGGAATTTACCAAGATGGTTGCAGGACAACGATTTCTTACATGCAGGTCATAGACCTCCATTGCCATCATTTTACGCTTGTTTCAAAAGTATTTTTCGCATTCACACGGAAACCGGAAATATATGGACCCATCTACTCGGTAATATTTCGTTTATTCTTTACAACTTGTAATTTTTTCTTTTTTTTTTAAATATTTTTTAATATTCGCCAAAAAAAAAAGATTAAAACATGAAAATGAAAGGAATTCGAATTAAATTTTTATCAATTTTTAAATATATTTAAAATTTTTAAAACTTATTATTGAAATATTATTTAAAAAAAAAAGAGGTGTTAAAAAAATTAATATTTATAATTTTTTAAATTTGTCCAACGTTTCAAGAACGCTCTTATCAATCAGGGAATGATAAAAAAAAATATTTGATATATAAATAAATGATAATAGCACGGTAATAGTTATACATAAAATTACAATAATAAAATAGTTGGTAACAAAACAAAAAATAATTTTTCAAAAAAAAAGATTTATAATAAATTTTAGTAAATTAAGAAAATTTTAATTATTCTATTATAAAAATTTAATTAAAATTTTTTTCCGATTCTTTTCAAATCTGTTTTTTTTTTTTTAGCTTTTTGAATTTGTAAAAATTAATTTATAATTCGAAAATAAAATTCTTTCAGGATGCGTGGCTTTTATAGGAATAGCAATTTTCTTTTTAACACAACCGCCAATGGCAATAAGATTAGAGGAAAAAATAGTATTTGGAACATTTTTTGCCGGTGCAATAATTTGTTTAGGGATGTCATTCGCTTTCCACACATTGCACTGCCACAGCGAATGCGTTGGAAAGTTATTTTCAAAACTAGACTACTGTGGAATAGCAATGCTTATAATGGGTAGCTTTGTACCTTGGTTATATTATGGTTTCTATTGCGATTACCAGCCCAAGCTGATATATTTGTCAGTCGTTATGGGTCTTGGAATAACTAGTATAGTAGTTTCATTGTGGGAAAGATTTGGCGAGCCAAGATTTCGACCGTTGAGAGCTGGTGTTTTCATGGGCTTTGGACTTAGTGGGGTATGAACTTTTTTTTTTTAGTTATATATTTTTAGAGAGAAAGAAATAGAAATTCATAACTTACTATATTGAGAGAGAGAGAGAAAGATAGAGTCGTTGAGAGAGTTTCTAATTTTAAATTTTCAGATCATACCTGCTGTTCATTACTCCGTGGCTGAAGGATGGTTTAAGGCGATCAGTCAAGCCTCGCTCGGTTGGTTGATTCTCATGGGATGCTTATACATACTTGGCGCCATGTTTTATGCCTTACGCGTTCCAGAACGATTTTTCCCTGGAAAATTCGACATCTGGGTAAGATTTTTCGTTTTTTAAATTATTTTTTCTACTTTTAAAAATATTTCAATCTTGCTTTTTAAATTTTTTAATTAAAAAAAATTTTACAATTGTAAACTCAAATAGTTTCAGAGCCATCAAATATTCCATGTGTTCGTGATTGCTGCAGCATTCGTACATTATCACGGGATAACGGAGATGGCAATGCATAGAATGACTATCGGTGATTGTTCCGATCCTACACAAGTGATAACATTTTAATGAGATAGGCTGATTTCATAATAAAAAAAAAAATAAATAAATAAATAAAAGTTCATAAACATGTTTATAAAGAAAAAAAAATTGCCTTTTTAAAGGAACTTTGTTACTAAATCTATGGATAAATCTTTAACAAAAACCAAAAAAGAAATCTCATTTCTATATTAAAAAAAAAGAGAGAAAAAAAACAGGAAATAAATCAACTTTTAATCTTGATGGAATTAGGGTATGAGAAATACGTGGTTTTATTCCAAGTTAAAAAGAACCAAGCGAGTATATCTTGCCTAATTCAAAAAGGAATATATATATATATATATATATATATACAATAAAAAATTATGCACGTTTATATTTTTCTGATCTAGTGTAGATTTTGTCGTATATCTGTAAATTTTTTAAAATCAGACTATTTTTGTTATTTCAAACTTCATATATATATATATATTAATTATTAATAATAATTATTCTGTAGTAAAAAGCTGCTTCGTGATTTTTACTGCATTCATTCATAATTGTAATTTATTATTATTGAGAATTAAATTTTTAATTTATTAATAATAATAAATTATTGTTCATTACCGATATACTTGAATAATTGTATAACGAGTTTATTCGGTGTATCAATTCATTCGCAAAGCTAGATGTATTATAATCTATGATTGCTGCTTTAAACAATTTGCGAATTCTCTATTTATTGTAAAAGACAATCAAAAAAAAAAAAAAAAAGTCTAATTTGTTATTGTCTCATTCGAATACTTAATTTCAATTCAAAAGCGATTTAAATAGACGATGTTAAATTTTAGTTATTTTTATTTTTGTTTTTATATAAAAATCATTTTTCAGGAATATAACATTTTGTACGATATAAGGGAAAGATTCAAGAGATTTAACACTCGTGAGAGTGTTTCTTATCGAAAAATTCATTTATTATAAACAATTTTTTTTTTTTTTTTAAGGGCCTTTAAAATCATTTATCTTTGCGAAAAGTAATTTAATATTACAATTGAATTAAAATTTCCGACTGATAAATCTCAAGCTAAATTCATTTGCGATTATTGAGTTAACTATATATACGCTCAACTATTATAAAATCCCTGAACTCTGGAATTTTTCTCTAAATTTAAATTTAGTACCCTGAAAAAAGTTTCTGAAAAATGTAATCCAACATTTCCATAGTGGAGTGTTAATATTAATGGAATTGTAGATATCTAATTCTTAATCGACTGAGACTTAAGTTTTGTATTTAATATGCAGTGTTGATTATAAAAAAAATATTACTCGATAAAAAGTTACCTAACAATAAAAAAAAAGAGTAACTAATTTACAAAAAACTTATTTTTAGTAATTTAATTACTCTTTTTACTATTTGGTGGTTGAATTTTTCTAATTAAAAAATTAAATTTTTTTTTAGACCACCCGATACTCGACACTGATTTTTTATTCCTTTCACTTTTATTTTATTTTTTCTAATTTCAAATTTATGATCTATTTTGTAACTAGACTAAATAAGTTTTGCTTCTATATATATATATATTTTTTTTTTTGCTGTAAGTGTATATTCAATTAAAAAACTTTTTGTTGAGTTTCATATTTATTAGGACGAGAGTGTGCTGTTGAACTTTTTACACACAAATAAAGTGGAATATTGTTATAAAAGGAAAAGCAGACTGTTTTATTTTGCTGGCAACCTTTCCACAGCTTTTTGAAATGTAATATTTCAAAGTCAAGCTTATATATCTTTATATTCCGCATATACTTTCTTCGTGCGGAATACAGTACTTTATGTAAAGGTCGTCATTGACTTGTCGGTATTTAACACGCGCTCTCAAGACTAAATAAACAATTGGAAAGGCTCACTGACCGCGAGACGCCAAAGACTGTGGCCGGAATATATTCTTTCTTCACGGGGCGCCAAATTCGTACCAGAAATTTTTGTTCTATACGCCTTTTATCCTTTTAATGAGAGTAAAGTTAAAAAAAATCCATTAAAATAATTTGCAGATTCGTTTTAAAAAAAAAAAATAAATGATTCACAGAAAATTTTCTTTTGTTCTACATAATGATTCATAAAAAATCTTATATTTATTCACAAATACAAAAAAAAATTGTTTTCCGTTAAATACGAAATTTTTTTTTTTTTCTAGAAAATAGAAAAAAAAATGCTTTTGTTCTGAAAATATGATTGAGTTTTCATTCCTCCTATCCGTTTATATTTGAGGAAAAAAAATTTCCATCTTATCTAGAATGTAATTGACATTGGAAGTTATAATGATTCTTTATATTTTCTAACAAAGATTTATAAAGAAAAACTTTATTTTAATATTATCGCTGTTCACGCGTCATTAAAGAATCTTGCGAGTGCATCGTCTTTTCTTCTCCCCATATTGTGTGAAAAAAAAAGTTACATAAAACGATAATATTTATAATTTATTGTGCAATCTTTTTTGCAGAGATTTATTTATCTTTAACGGATTTTCAAGTGTGCTCTTCATTATTCCAGTGAGACATAAAACTTTCATTTGTTTCTTCTCTACATATATATATATATAATGAAGTATTGAAAAGGGGCGCAACAAAAAAAATATATAAATGAGAAATTATTCGTTTTTAATACAAAAAAAAAAAAAAATTCAAATAATTTGCGCGGGAGAGAAAAATATCAAAGAATATTGCAATTTCATTGAGAAAAATGATTCCAAAATGAATAATTTAGCCTTGCACTAAAGTTAAATTAACTCGAGATGCAATTGCAATGGAATTCGAGTACATCAATTATTTTCATTGAGTTGTACACCCCGATCGTTAAATGTTAAAATTTATAATCGCATAATTCAAAATATAGAAGTAATTTCGCATAATTACCGACATTTCTTGAACAGGTAATAAATAATTATTTTTTTACATTCTAATTATGATAATTTTCAATAGAAAAAAAAAAAACTTTAGTAAATAAATATTTCAAAAAAATAATTGTCAAAGATTGCAGAATTTTAATTTATTTTAGAAATGAAGTTTCTATAGAATTTTTATTAATTTAAAAAAAATAAAACAAATTCTTAAAAAAATTAAAGGTCCAATAAAAAAAGACATTCAACTATTTAAAATGACAAGGAATAGAAGTGAGGTAGAATAACGATCTTTGTGATTCATCAGCAAATATGCATTGAGAAGAAGTTGAATGAAAAGTTTCATTCAAACCACGATCCGAGATTATAGTACTCATCAGTTATGAAATTATAAAAACAAATATTATTTCACTTAAATAATAAAAACATTATCCAAGGTTATTTTCTTTTTTTTCGCCTGATATTTTTTTTTTCCATTCCCTATCGCCATATGTATTTAAATAAAAAAAAAACTGATTAAAATTTTTATTTTTTTTTTTCAATGAAATGGAACAAAAAAATGGAAAACTAAAGAATAAAATAAAAAAAATGAAAACGAAAGAAATAAAAATAGAAAAAAGAAATGAAAATTCGAAAAAAAAGACAATATAAAATAGAGGAGGTGATAAAAGAAACTGTATAAGAGAATTAAAAGAGAAAAAAATATTTTCTCGTCCAAGGAAAATTTTCTATATTTTATTTAATGTAACTATATTGCTAATCGAGGATTTAGTGATGGTGCATACCTTGAAACAAGTTTTGTCGCGCCTACGCACTTCCTAACATCAGAGTGTAACCTGTGAAATCGCATATATATATACGAGGAACTCGCAGAATTTATTCAAAGCTTCATTATATCCAAAAAATGCAACTGTCATCTACAAGCCTATCCATCGCAAAATCGTGGAAAAATTTTATTTCCTCAATCCTTCTCAGACATTTATTTACTCAACCTTCACTCCCCCTTTAGGTGATCAATCCACTGATTTATCACCACATTTAGTTTTTTGTAAAAAAAAAAATACAAGCTTTTATGAACCATCATAAATCAAAAACTTCAAAAGCTTTCTAATTTTTTTTTTTAATTTTCTATTTTACGTAATTTCCTCGAAAAGTCAAAATTCGTTCAAAACTTTAAAAAAAAAAAAGAAATGAAGAAAAAATAAACAAATTTTGCAAAAGCACTTAAAATGTATTTTCTCTCGAAACTGAGTAGTTTCCAATCCTCACCAAAAAATCAGTTACTGAATAATTAAAACATTTATAAATTAAAGTTTTTTAAAAATTATTTTTCAATAATCACGTGAGAGAGCAAAGTTTTTATTTTAGAAAAAATTCTATTAACTTGTGAGTATTTGTCGAAAAAAATGTGTTTAATTTGTATTAATAAAATTTTTTTTTTGCAAATTTCGAAGGGTGAAAATTAATTGTTTGCTTTCTCTTAAAAATTCTTTTTGCCTTTTTGATATGGAAAAAAAAAGAATATTTTTCTTTTATGTTCGTTTCACGTATAAAAGTAACTGATGTGGAATTTGCACAAAAGTGCAGTGCATCCTTGTACATCACTTGGCATTTATCCTTTAAATGCGTCACTTTTTTTTTTTTTTGAAGCATCTCTTTCATTATAATATTAAAGAGCGTGCGCAAAAAAGCACGCGATCGTGCAGACGAGAAATATATATATATATATACATATACGATCTGCCCATCATATATACAACATGGAGATTGAAAAAATAAACAAACTATTCCTCGCGGCAATAATATCGCGCTTTTAGAAGCTTCCTATGCAATTACTGATGTGTAACGAGAAATCTACTCGAAACTCTCAATGCAATTGAAATAATAAGAATTTCATCGACACAAAAATTACATTTCTATGTTATTAAATTTGTTTTTCAAATTTTTTTTCAAAATATTAAGAAAAGTGAAATGAATTTTCTTTTTATTTACCCTTTTTTTTAATCGACGTGTAAAATAATATTTTATAAATATTCAAATTTTAAACTCCTCTCTCTTTTTTTTTTTATAAACTTTTGGGACTTTCGTCAAATTACTGATCGTCAAATTTAACTTCCAGTGTCTATACTAATTTTGTTGAACTGAATTCTCGGTTATTTCCTCTTTTTTTTTTTTTGCCCCGACGTTAAAATTACAGTTCTTTTTTACTTTAAAAATGCATAAAAATATATCTGAAGCTGTATTATTTTCAGTTTTGAGAAAAAAAAAGAGAAGAAATTATTATTTTAAAAAATCCAATTTCAAAAACGATAAATATTTAAATTTTTTACTTTAAATAAATGAAAAATTAAATTTTTCGTTCCGATAACTCCAATAATTCAAATAAAATAATTTTCAATTAATTTATCCATGTTCGCGAAACAATTTTACAAATATTATCCCGGTAAAATTCTCTTTTACTTTTCTCAATATTTTTTGTAAAATTAAATATTATATAAAAAAAAGGAAAATTATTAAAATACCTGTAGAAAATTTTTCCAATCCCTCTGTCTCTTAATAATCTTTGAAAAACATAAAGAAATCTTTGAAAATCGCTCTCGAAAGAAAAATTCTTCTACACTTCCTCTCTCAGTATTTTTGCAGCATTGACTCATCCCCCATTATTAAAGTCCCGTAAAGTTCGTTCTTCCATACAGATTTATGTGTGTAAGTGTAAGAAAGGTTAATGACTGGAATAAGAAGATCTGCTACCACTGTGAATTTTCGGTAATACTGACAGCTGCAAAGAAAAATTAAGAAAAATTAACCAAAATATTAAAATAAAAATAAACGCAAGAAAAATATTGTAAAAATACGAAAAAAAAAATAAATTTATTTTTTAAAATGGTTCACCAATATTACGAGTAATGTTCAGGATGTTTCGTTTCATTCATAAGTTCTCCTCTCATTCACTCCTCTTCCTTCGAATTTCTCTCGAGAAATTTAACTCATCTTCTCAGGAACAAGCCCTTCTCCTCTTTATTCATTTAAATAACACTTGCGCGCAAAGAAAATTTATCAAGAACTTCCAAGAATATTCCACAGATTCATTTCAGGATCTTTCGTCTCTCGTCCTTTTGTTTACGAACAGGTTTTCTGTCCAACCTCCTAGAATTCTATATCACTGGGGAACAAAAAAAAAAAAAAACAATTATCGTGAAATATATTTCAAAAGTTCCAATTTCATTAATTCGTCCTGATTAGATAATGAGCTAAAATTAGGGGACCTCGTTTTAAGTGGAAATAAAATTCAAGCAAAAAAAAAAAAGTGACATTAGTAAATTATTTCAAAAAAGAGATAGGAATTTTTTTTTTTTTTTTTCCTCAAAGAAGTGTTGCATTTGCACTCAATTTTAATGGATAATTTTCTATATATATATAGAGAAAATTGTTGTTGTAATTGGTGTTATTTTTAAGTACACGTAAAATGTAATGATAGAGGTTCTAGACAGTTAAAATAACTTTTCTATATTGCTGTGAGAAATTGGCACTTTCGTGGTAGTTACTGCACGGTAGGGAGTAGATAATACTACCTCAGTGTGCTATAATAATTGTATATCATAAGTCTAATGCTTACAGATTAAGTAATTTGTAAGCAAACATGCAAATAAACGTATCGTTGCCTATAATATTTTGTAATTAAGGTAATTCATCATTTTCAAAGAATATTATTACCATACTTTTTACATTTGCCAGCTAATTTCATTGACAGAAGAAAAATTGATTTGAAAATTTATTTTCCTTTCTTCATCTCTTATCATCAATTTTTTTTTTTATTAAAATATTTTCAATTGTTTTTTCTTTTTTTAATATTTTATTTTTACATCATTTTATATCATTATTTTCAAAATTGAATAATAAAAATCTTGTAAAAAATAATTAAATCAATTTTAATTACTGCAAAAATATACAACAAAAATGTTTCAATATTTTATCAATGAAAATTTGTTACAGAAAGAACACCTTGATTTTTTTTTCTTTTTTTTTTCTCATTTCCAAAGAATACCCCTGGGGTTACTTTGTAGCTATACATATGCGATGCAAGGAGGACGTTGACTGCAGGTCATAAATTAAAAATAAAATTCTTTGCGGTGCAGTGCTTAAGAAATCACATTCGAAAGCTATCCTTTCGTATAAGTCAAATTATAAATTACGACGTTAACTATATATTTGCAAAAAAAAAAAAAAAATACTATAAAATTTTACTATATGTCGTGAAGAAGAATATTGTCAAACATAAGAAATCAACTTAGAGCGATAAATTATATAAATGTCCATAATATTTATTTAAAAAAAAATAATAATTTTACGATTTTTCTCCCTACTTTTGCATTTTTATGATTTAATTTTTTATTTTTCTCAAAGAAATCTCTTTTGGAGGTAAAATGAGAGAGAGAGAGAGAGAGAGAGAGAGAGAGAGAGAGAGAGAATTTTTTTTCACAACAAAGAAACAAATATTGTTAAACAAAATCAAAAGAGAAAAAATTGAGAATTTTTTTTTTCAAATAATGGAGTTTTCAAAAATAAAATAACTTTTTTAGAAAACAAAAATCTATACAGGATTTTTTTTTTTAAAGAAGAATTTTTTTTTTTAAATTAATTAACAATGTTAGTCAGAATCAATTTCTCAATAAGTTATTCCTTAAGAAAAACAATAATAAATTTAGCAAAAGCTCCAGGAAAAAATTCTTGTAAAATAAACATACAGAGAGAAAAAGAGAATAACAAACTTGGCAATAATCAAAGAGAAAAGGTGCACTCAGCAGTTTTATCGTTTTCCTCTGATAATAATCAAGAAAATCAATGGGTCAAAATAACTCCCTTTTTTTTCTATCATTAATGATGGACAATTTTTTCCCCTATATTTTTCTGTCTGCTTTTTTATTTATTGATTATTTATAAATAATTTTTTATTATTGTTTTTGTTAATTATTATTATTATAGTCATTATTATATTTTAATTATTGTTATATATCTTTCAAATGATTATTATTTATGGGAATTTCTTTTTTATTATTTTATTTATTTATTCTTATCCTTCAATTATATTATTTCTGTATTAATATTCTTGACTATTTTTAATTTTTCACCCCATTCGCTTTTTTCTCGCTTAATTATTTTTGATTTTTATTCTTTTTCTTCAATTGTTTGTAATATTTTTAAATTTTCCTTTCATTTTATTCTTTAATTTTTCAAAATAATGAAGTTCTCTCTCGATTAGAAAAAAAAAAAAAATCGAAAAAATTTTCTTTATCTTCTCTATTTCATATTTCTTCTTTTTTTTCATTTTCTTTCATTCTTTAATTTCCTCACCACTATTTTCTTTGAATACCTAAACTTTTTGTACTCTTCATTTTTTTCTCCGACTCCTTTGATTCTTTTCTTATCTTGTTATCCTTGAATTTCTTCATATCTCCCTCATTTCTTCATTTTTCTTTCACTGCACGTTTTTCTGTATACTCCTGCTCTATCTTGTCGCATCGCTCCCTCTCGATTCTTTCTTCTTCTTCTTCTTCTTGATCTTCGCCATGTATTATTTCCAGTCTTCGCTGACAAGATACGTTTGTCTTTCTTTTCACAATAAAGGAAAAATAATAACAATTTTCAATTTAAAATAACGACAATCAAAATCGCAATGGAACACGGCCCTGACTTGGAGAGGTTGCGTGCATGGTTTGCTATAGAGAGAATCCTGAGTGGGGGAAAACGTGTCGCGAAGGCGAGATCGCTGTCCGCTCCTTCGTTCGTTCACTTGTTCGTTCATTCGTTCGTCCGGCTCGTACCTCCGCTCGTGCTGCCTTTCTTCATTAGTTTCTTCTTTCATGTCCACTGAGAAGGAAGAATCTTCAACAACCCCATCGTATTTACTATATAGTTGAAGACAAGGAAGAATCAAACGCCGAGTGTGAAAAGTGCGCGAGACCACAATCGAGATTTAATTTTCAACCCCCTATTTTTTGTTCACCAATTGTTCTCCAAAAAAAAAAAAAAGAAATTTTCCTTGTCTTCTTTTCATTTTTTTCAAAAAAAAATTTCTCTACTGAATCTTTGAAATTATCTTTTATTTATTTAAATTTCATTTTTGTAATAATTTTTCTTTTATAATTCATTTTTTTGCAATTAAAATTTTCTAAACTAAAAAAAAGATTCTATTTTAAAGTTTACTTACTCTATTCTTTAAATTTTCCATTCCTGTAGTTTTCTGTATTGAACTTGGGATAATTCTCCTCAACCCTTTTCTCGATTCTCTTCCCTTCGCGCGGTCCTTTGATAATACATTCGCCAAGATTTGTGAAGGTGCAGCTTTTGTAATTTACGTTCTCCACTCTCACCCACTCTGAAGCAGAAGGTAACAACAACTTCTTTATCGTATTTTTTCATCAAAAATTTCATTCATCGTTTCTTTCTCCCAAGAATAATAATAATAATAAAAAAATATGGATTTAATTATAGAAAAAAAAAAATGTGTCAGAAAATAAGGAATGACACTTTTTTTTTAAACAAGAGTCAATGAATTTCGATTCTAAAAAATAATTAGGTAAACAATGCGTTGGAGTTGAAAAAAAAAATGTTTCCTTTTTTTTCTTACTCGTTTTTGCTAATCAGCTTCGAATTAAAAGAGTTGTCAACGTGTCACTTCATATCTTGCGACTGAATAAGAAAAACGTGGGTCGTCAATGCCAGTAGTGCCATATCTCTCTTTTCGTACGTATCCTCCCTCCTAAAAAAAATTTTTTTTTTTTTTGTTCGTACACAATTTACATTATTTGCATAAGACAAACTGATAGTGTGTGGGCTTCTTTTATTCTTTTTTTTTCCTCGTTTTCATTTTTTTTTCTCTCTCTCTTTCTCTTCCAGTACGCAAATGTCTTCCGGATTATGAAATCCTATTCAGCAAACTTACAGATGCGTATGTCAAATTTAAATAAATGTGAACCAGGCGACAATGAGATATTGTTCCTTTCCTCTACAGCAAAACGGGAATTAGTCCTGACATTATTGTAATTCATTCGCAAACAATAGAACTCTTACTTTCATTTAGTGCCTTGTTTCAAAAGTACAACTTTACCTATAAGGAAAAATCATTTATAAATTAAAAACAAAATAGCAAAAAAGAAAAAAAACATCAATTATTTCATATAGAAAAAAAAAATAATTTCATTGGCATTAAAAATTATAGTTTCTTTAACAATGATACACATTTGTACCCTTTGAAATTAATTCTATTTTTAAAAATAGATCTCAATAAAAAAAAATATAGTAATTTTTTATATATATATGTGTTAAAAAAAATAAATGCTTTTTTGCAATGAAAGAGAAGTGCAGTGAAATTATTATTGTTTATCAAAAACAAGAAAACAAACATTGTATTGATCTGACAATGCAAAACAATTACATATATTTGACATAAATATATAATACCTTTCTTGGAAAAATAATTATTGACTCAAAAATTTTATAATTCTCAGTATCAGTTAATTAAATAAAAAAATGGATTTTGTTTATTTAAATTCAACTTCAATGGATTCAATCACAAGCCCCCACCCCACCCCTTTCGTTGGGAAAGAATCACGTGAATTTAATTATTTGTTAATCTCTGTTTTTCATTTTATATCATATTGTATTTTTGGTTTTTTTTAATATGTATTTTTTTTAATTTTCTTTAAAAAAATTTATCAATTTGCCTACAAGAAATAATGAAAATAAAAAAAAACCTTTTTGTAATCTATATATATTAATAATAGTAGTTTTAGAGTAAAATATAAATAATCGTAATAGTATGAATCTATTTTCCCTTCAATGTAAACTTTGCAACACCCTCTTTTAAATTTAAATATAAAAATTTTGTCTAACATGATTCTTAAAAGTTATCGCCAGACGTCCTGTGCTACCAACAAGTGCCCGCACCGCATCAAATACATCTCCCTCTTTCTTTCAAAAGTGTAGCGCGCGCGAACAAAATAACCTTTTTATGAGAGCCCATTTTCTTATCTGTTCACTTCACTTCTTGGAAATGGAACACACTGTAGGATCACATAATATTTTAGACACGGATCATAAATTCGGACAGTTTGTTGCAGTCTGTTGCACCTCTTTAATTTATTTGAGTTATAATAGAATTTTCGCACAACTTTTGTCAATTCGATTTCAAAATTTGTCCTTCGATTTTCAAATTAAATTATATTTCTCTCTTTCTTTATCATTTTTTTTTCTCATAAAGAGGGATTTTTTCTTTTTATTATTTTACTCTTTCAACCTTCATTTCTTTTTTCCTCCTCATTATTGCGACGAATTCTTTTCATTATTTTATTTTTTGTTGAATTTTTATATTGTTTTCTTTTTTAATCAATTATTAAAAATTATTTTCAAATTAATTAACTATGTGAATTATTATTTTTTTTAATTGTACAAACTTTCTATAAATCGTTAAAAAAAACAAAGTTCTATAGATAAATTAAATTGCGAATTAAAAATATTTTCTATTATAATTTATTAATTTATAAAAACAAAAAGTTTTGATTGCAAAATTTATTTATTTTTTGTAATTTCATTGATAGAATTAGAAATTATTTGCAAAAATTATTCAAGGTTTTAAAAATTAAAATTTTAGAAACTATTATAATAATTTTATTAATTTGAAAAAAAAATTTATCGATACTTTATTATTGAAAAATGAAATTTAAAGAAAATTTCAGTTACGAGGTAATTTTATTTTTGAAGTTGTAAAGGTGATATAAACCGTGCGTAAAGATAGATTTTGCAGTTATACACGTTTTGTTTTAGAGCAGTAGTTATACATATCCTCCTCTCCATACGATGATACTAATTTAAAACGCAAGTGCATCAACATTCCGAGAGAATGAAACCTGAATCCAAGAAATTTAAAGATCCTTCCGCCTACGTGAAATATAAATTATTTCATTTTCGGAATCATAACTTGTGAACGCATCTTCATTATTAATTAAATTCATTTGTAATTTATAATTTACAATTTACAATTTTCAACTTTCAATTTTCTGTTATAATTTCAAAAAAGAAAATAAATTCTAGTAAAATGAAGTATTAAAAAAAACTCTTTTTTTAAATAAATTTGAAAAAAGCGGAAGTTTGTCGAAGGCCAGGTTTACCGGAAAGCAGAGACCAGATGCACGATTGTTATTTTTTACAATCGCATATATATATATATATATACTCTTTCTTAATTTGGCACTAGTTCTAAATTTAGTTCCGATTATGATTTCATCAAGTTTTTTTTTGCAAATGAGCACTATTTTTATCATATTTCAGTTTTTTTTTTTTTCATTAAAAGAATATATATCCGGAAGTAGGAATAATAAAATTATGTAAATTTCACTATCTAATCTTTCTCAGAAAGTATAGTATATAATACTTTCATTGATAGCCAAAAATTATTCAAAATAGAACTTTTCTTTTATCGCAACTAATTTCTTTTTTTTTTGTAAATCGCAAGAAAAAAATTCCTTACAAAATTTTTCACTAAAAATCTTTTCTTACCCTCTGACAATACAATAGGTATCGTTAAAATATTTGTTTTTCTATACATTCTTGTCTAATTGATTATAAATATATAAGCAGTCATTGTTTTCTCTTTCTCTCGTAAAAAAAGAGATTCTCATTGTTTTTCGAAGATAAAAAAAAAATTGAAAAACATTCACTGATTTTAATGATAGTATTCAATATTATATTATAAAAATTGTAACTTTACGAGTTTAAATAATTTATTATGCAATTAAACTCTTATATTAGCCAACAATGTTTATGTGTATATATATTTTTTTTTTCCTTTTTTTTTTAAATTCTTTTAATACACACAAATTCTAAATCATTTGATAATTTTATGAGTCATTTAATTTCCATCTTTTATCGGCTTCAAGCCATTCAAGAACCTGCTAAGACTTCATAAAATCGATTGGATACAGTAATGAAATCAAAGTATTTTTTTGCACTTTGCATTTATAATGTCTTCATAAATGTAAATGATTGCCAAGTGTGAAGATTTAACATTCAATTCTCTCTGTAATATTTTTATATTTGTTTTTTTTTTTCAATTTATAGAAAGTTCGTCAATCTTAACGACAATTAAATAAAAATTATTTTCTATTAGTTTTTAATTTCTAATTTTACTATTTGAATAAAATTTTTAATGAAAAAGAAACTATTATCAGTAAGAAAAAATATCAAATTAAAATTAAATCGAATTGATAAAAAAAAATAGTTAAATAAAATAATTTCCTTTACCTTACACAAAAACCGATGAATCAATCATTTTTCCCGTGATAAAGTTGTCTATCCAAAAAAAGAAGTGAAGAAATCGATTCATAATAGTTTTTTTTTTTTTTGCTGTGGTGTTGATTTTATCAGCTTTTCAATTCAAGCGCAAAGAACTCTTCGTGGAGTGGACCACAAAATTTTGACGCCTCGTAAATATTTAAATATCTTGACCCGAAGTGCTTCCAAGAACTGACATGCATGCCACAACGAGTGTAAGAGCATCATACACAGCATCCCAATATATGCAACATGGAAGATACATCTGCATAGCCGGTTATGGTGTAACAGCCGTATAATTGATCTTGAAAGTCCTGTCGTTCCTCAAGCTTTTATTCATGAAATCAGTATATGATAATCGTGTGATATTTTTTTTTTTTTCGACAGTTCGAAATGATTCCCCCGCAGGCAATCCATTTTTCCAATATATGATGACCTCCGGGACCCATCAGAGGTTTGGCGCCAATCGAACGATTTCTTTTTCATTCGCCTGCAGAATTCTCTTTTATCTCTAGATATTGTGTGTTATTTATATTTTGTACTTGTATGCTACATGATAATCTACTCCAATCTCACTACTGAATTCGTCTTTTTTTTTTTAACTCTGGCTCTATCAACGAGCAGTCTGTTTTTAAAAATTGCCTCTTGGACCTATTGGACAGAAAAAAAGGAAATATTAGCAAATTTTTATTTAAAGAAATTTGTTTCTAAAAAAAAAAAAATCTAAAACACTCATATTTAATTCATTGAATAAATGTTATTTTCTAATTGTCATTTTTTACACTATCACTCAATGAATATATTTAATATTCGAGAAAAGTGTTTGACGTCCATTTAGCAGAAAAATTGTCATTTGCATATACAAAGTTCGTAATCAGACTCTAATCACAAAACAGAAATTTAGAATTAGTTGAGGTATAATTAATGAATAAAAAGAAAGGGAGGTATAAATTATGTGGGCGTTTTAAACGTGGGCAAGAAAACTTTCCGCACCATGGGGGGGTTTTCTAAATATAAAAATTGCAAAATGCAATCTTTCCGAACATTAACTTTTTTTTTTTTAATTATATTGCAATAATTAAATATTTTCCAATGTGAATAGATATGAGATAAGAAAACAATACATTGCTTTTTTTATTCATATTTCACATGGATAATTATTTTCTATTTTTCTCATAAAAACTAATCAGACTTTTTGAAAATTTAAGCTAAAATATTATTTTTGATAATTTTATAGTAATTTCTATTCTCACACATTGTTAAAAAGACATTTTAAAAAAAAATTTAGAAATCGATTTGATTAATAATATTAATAAAACATTTTAATATTGATAAATACTCTTCTCAGTTATTTAAAGTAACAAGTCTTCCCAAAAACAGAAATCATAATCGCAGATATGATCAAGCGGTTAATGTCAAAAGATTGTAAATGCTATGTAAAGAGAGAGATTAGATACTTGTGACTGTGATTCGTGACAGCGTATAATTTAATAATATTAATGAATCGCAATTAATATTAATGTTTTTCTTTGGTCAAGTGTAGGAAGCTAATTTTTGAAAAAAAAAAAAAAAATTTCTTTACATTTTTTATTTATCATATTTAATACCCACTATTTTTTTTATACTTGTCATTTTTTGAAATCCATTTTTTATATGTCACTTGAGGCCCACTTGAATTTTTTTTTTTTTCGAGAAAAAACACCAAATTGACATTAATACTGACAAAAAAAAAAAAAAAAGATTTGAAATTAAATTATTTTTCATATTATATTAATATACAATTTCCCTGAACTGTGCGGAATTTCTTTTGTATATAGTTTATAAATCTTAATTCATCAGATTTTGAAACTGGTTTTAAGAATTATTATTCTCTTAATGAGTAAAAGCGTTACTTTATAACCCAAGACCTTGTTCGCTCAACCTTTTCATTTTTTATTTTAAAGCCCCTTGGTGCATCGAGAATTTTTTATTTTTTTTAAATCGAAACCACAACCATAGAACAAATTATTGAAAAGAATATTAAAATAGTGAAAAATAATATTGAGAATAATTAATTCCAAAAAAAAGGAGAAAGAAAATGTAATAAAAATTACAAAATTATTTAAATTGTTAAAAATTAATAAAATATTTTAAAATTGAAAATAACGAGATGTAAATAAATAAAAAAGAAAGAAAACTTAAAAGAATTATAAAATAAAGGCAAATAATATTTTCTGATAATAGAAATCTATCACTTTGTGTCACTACTAACCTTTTGAATTTAGCTTTTAACCTCGAAACAAACTGGAGGTTTAAGGAGATAATTGACAAAGGAAATCGAAGTGCGAGAAAGTATATAGCAGTCCGAAGACAAACAGAAATGGTAGACAATTTGTCTGACTCATTCAGCAATTCTTCCTGATTAGGTTACTATGTAAACTGCTCTCTTGTACTCCTTTTTGTCTCTCTAGCTTCAAATTCCGGTCAGCACACACACATAATTAACCCTTAAAAAAGAAACAATACAATATTAATTTTTGTTTTTATCAACCTAATAATTATTACATAATGGATATACATTGTAAAATTATTAACTTTTGTCAAAATAATTTTAAAAAAAAATTTCTATTAATCATTGACAATATTAATATATTTATCATTAAATATCAATAATTCACATTTAATGATTGTTTCGCAAAAAAAAAAAAAAAAAAAATGTTTCTTATCTCTTCTTGTCTTTGGCGACTGTCTTTAATAAATTCTAATAACATAAAAATGCACAAGATACAATTTTATGATAAAATCAGAGATGGCTGATAAAGAAAATAAATTTGTATTACTTGGGTAGATTATACGGTTGAATCAAAGGCGTAAGAAAAATTTTCACGAAGGTTCAAGTTCAAGATCACTTGGCGTAATGTTCAATCTAAATACAGAAAAAAAAAAAAGAATTCTGTCTCGTTATCTTTAATGTTACCCGCGGCGACAGCTCGTATTTCATTTTGATATTTATCCAGTTGCTCTCGCGCTTTTTTGCCATTACAATATATATTCAGCCCTGTTAAAATGATTTCGTCTAATTGCATTCTCGTTTTTCGAATCTAAACCATATTATATATGAATTTTACTTTATTAAATGCAGAAGAAAAAAAGATACTATAATAGTTGATTGGATAATCATAGGCGAGAAGATTATCCTGTCATGTCATATGATACGTCCTGTCTTGAATTAGAAGCGCCAGCAGAATGCAATAAGATCTAATTATTTCACACCTCGATGTCTTCACTTTCCTTCGGAAAGATTATTATCATCATCATCATCATCATCATCATCAAACCGTAAAGAATTATTTTCCCCTCCAACAAATTCTCATCTCCTTTCAAAATAATCTTCTTATTAAAATCACGAAAAATTTTAATCAGATTTAAAAAAAAAAAAAATAAAATAAAAAAGATCAACAAAAAGGGTTAAAATATGATTTAAAAAAAAATGAAGAGCTATTCATACCGGATGAATAGTTTTTATATTATGACAGGAAAAATATTTTAAGACATGTAAAATCAACAATGTCTCGAATATGTAGGTGTATATATATATATAGTAAAAACTTCGTCACTAGTAGTCCGATTAAAAGAAGTTTAAGAAATGAAAACCAGATGTACCTATTTCTTACATTGAAACAACAAATAAAAAAGTCTCAATTCACCGAGGGGTCTCAATTTTCGATGTTTTTCAAATGTTTTAAATTCTACTTTATCACAATGCTCGCGCCTCCTTTTTTAACGATATTTATAATAACAGATGGTTAATCGATTGTCTAAACAATTAGTCTGATTTTAGTCTTCTTTATTTTTAGTCCCACGGAAGTGAGTACTTCTATTTTTAAATTTTTCCTTTCAAAAATCCTTCACATATTATACAATCGCGTTACAAAAAAAAAGAAACTCAATATTTTAAAAATATTATAAATATTATTTTCTTTTTATAAATGAAAAATATAAAATATATATTACTATAATTTTATCGAAATTTAATTGATTTTAACAAAATCGTCCCTGACTTTTTTTTTCCCGATTTTCGAAATTTTATGGCAATTGGATCTCATCAATAAAGAATATCACGGTCATCAACAAAAACCGACTATAAATACGGATTATGCTTCACATCATGAATCAGCGTTGAATCAAATCAAAGCTCGCTTTACTCAGTAATCCATAATTTGTTCGATACATATGCCAGAGAAGATATCTGACAGGTTTATATTTTATATATATACGAGAGAGAGAGAGAGAGCCCCCACAGGTGACGAAAATAACTTGACCTAGACCTCGACTCTATAGAACCAGAAGTCTTTATATACAAGAAGCCATGCCTAAAATGCCATTAACTCCTTACTCGTCGTTTTGCCTACTTCGTCCCAACAAGCCTTCACAACGTCCTATGCCGATACCCTATCTCAGATTTAATAGCAGATTCGAAACCAACACAGAGGGGAATTAAGTGACTCCACCAGTTATGTTATCCTCATGCAAAAGCAAAACGAATAAACATTTCCCTTCAATTAATTACACGAAAATTCCTTTCATCCTTTTTAACAGACAAAAAAAAAAAATTTCAAAATAAAAATAATTTTTAATTACTTTTTTTAAAAAAAAAAATTAATTTTTATCGAAATTAGTAAAAAAAAAAAAGTATATTAATTTTTTTTTTCGAAACAATTTCTCTAAAATTTGATTATAATAAATACTAAAACGAACATAATTTAATTTGAAAGTTCCATTCTAAAGAGATAATAAATTAATATAAAAATGAGTGAATCATCCAAGGGAGGAAATTTTTTTTTTCCAACGAGATTTCCTCTTAAGAGAAGAGCATCGCTCCTTTTAAATTTAATTCAATAGGGTACTTACATGGCCTTTTAAGGAGAAGGGGGAGGGCAATACGATGTCTCCCGATTTATTTTACTTAAGAAGAGAGGTCAATTCCTTGAGTTCAATCCAGTTAGACATTCTATTTCTGAGTCGTTTAATGTAGAGGAAAAAAAAGAAATGGGAAGTGAACATTCACTCTCTATCGGCACCTCTCTGCTTTCTCAGGTTAAAGTTACATAAGATGAATGATAGATCCTTATCCATCGTTTAATTACCACATTCACCATATATTTCATCTCTGAGACAAAATTTTTTTCCACATTTCATTGAAATAAATCAATTTCTCCTTGTGAATCTGCAAAAAATATTAAAAATTTACTATCTAGACATAAATATTCTAATATATAATTTAATATTCAAATAATTCAATTATTAATTAATAACAAAATTAGGCAAAAATTAATTTATAATTAACATAATTAATTTAGAAAAAAAAAATTAAAACTGAAATTATATAGAAGAGAATTTTATATTCCTCCTACACATTGATTCACCCTCGTCAGAATAGAAAAAAAGCCTTCTCTCGACCCTTATAGGAAAAAGAATCCAATTTATCATTCCCAGGGAGAAAAAACAGTTTAAGAGGTCAGACTCGCGGCTCCTCTCTCGTAGACTGAGAAATATTTGAAAAAAAAAATTTCGCCTTCTTTTTTCTCGATTTATCACACACCCGCTTCAAAATTCTACTGTTTATTGTTTTAAACTGAATTCGAATTTGAAAATTTATCATTTTAATTTATTATTTTGCTACTATCCCGACACTTGTTGTCTATACAATTTATTCAACACAGAATTGTTGCCCTGTCCAGTAAACTTGTTAATCCAACGTAGACTGATAAATGCCACATATTTTATCCTCCGAGTATCACATTATTTTCAAAACTTCATCACGATTGCGGTTAATATATTATTTTCATTTTCGTATAATAATTTTCAAACTTGAAAAACAATATTCATCATTCTGTTCTATCTATCATTTTTCATCATAATAATAATATTGAAAAGCATAATTCAAAAACAAGAAATTAAAATTGCGAAAATTTTTGAAATTTGTAAATGCAAATTTTTTATTTCAATTTAATTATTAATAAAATTTAATATTTCGAAATTTTATTGTAATTTTTTCCCCGAAATCATAATTTACATTTCTTTTTTGTACACGAGTTGAATCTGAGAAAATTGAGACGATCCTTGAAGAAATTTAATACTTTTGTTTTTTTTGTGAAATTTATTCAACAGGTGTCCTTTTATAATCCCTTTATATAAAAAAAAAAGTGTAGACAGTTTTTGAAAATCTTGATTTTGAAATATGAGAAATTTGCAATTCCTATAAGAGAAAGTATTATTTTTTTTTTTTTAATTACGGTGAATTCGGTCTTCTCTCTATAATAAAACAAAAAAAAAATATATATCCTCTCGTATTTCTAAAAATATATATATACGAGCATTGAATTCTAATTTATCCATCTTCCTTTTCATCGTATATATACGATATAATCTCGCGCTTGAAGTTAAGTTTTGCAAATAATATAATAGTGAATAATTTCATTCGATTATCATTTTGAAAGATCCGGAAATTTTCTTATCACTGATTTACAACTATTTTATGATTAGCCTCGCGAACGTTGTTTTGTGCGCACATCTGTAAAATGTATCTCGCTATCTTTATCATCAAGCTTCTTGGCTGTGTTGCGATGCAACTGCCAATTCTGCATTCCGGAAACTTTGAGAGCGTCGTTTACGAGAAAGTTTATGTTTTACGCTCTGGCCTTCGGGGGGGCCTCCCAACTGCCAACCTCTTGGGGATTTTCGCAGACAAGGATTTCAAACAGTTTGCATCGACTACTATATAAACCGTGTGATTGATGCTTAATTATTTCCAAGAGTTGCAACAGTTTTCGGAATCAGTTTTTTTTTTGTTATTTTCATTGGAAGAGGCGAACATTTTTTTTCAAATAATAAAAAACGATTTCTCTCTCGTAAATAATAATATGTATTTTTCAATTGACAAGGTCGTAAAATCTTGCGGAACAAAAAAAATAAGAATGCGTTCACCATTTTATAGCGCCTTCTTCAGGTGGATGTGATTTCAAGTCTCTTATTGTTTGTTGCACTTATAAGGGATAAAAAGATTTATTTTAGCAATCAGATTAGAACCAACACGGCAATCTCATTGCGTGTCGAGTTGGGGCGTTTCTAGTCAAGCATTCCAAAAAAGGAAATCCTGAATTTATTCGTACGAGGACTTATCTTATCCCATTCATATATGAGAGTAAGGCGACTTTATTGGTCGTCTTATAAGTAATATATTCATCTAAAGAAATCCCACGTTGGAAAATTTAAATGGTCAAATAGATCAAAAAAAAAAAACTAAACACGAGTTTCTTGTTCTAAATAAAATTTCCTTCTCTAGAAAATGTGATACAAGTTCCTATTTTGTAAAACTCGTAATTATTGACCTTATTTTCACCTGATGAAGAAACTACAACGATATAATTAATCGAATTAGAATAAAAAAAGGACTTTCGATTATTTGAGAGAAAAAAAAAAATTCTAATTTTTAATTCAAATAAAAATTTAAAACTTAGAAAACATTGATACCCGGAACTGATCAGTTTTCTCTTGTGTCTTTTTAATCTGTGCATTCATCTGAATAGCAAAAAATATTTTACACACAAAACTTTCCTCTCAGCGGGTTATATATATATATATATTTTCAATACCAAATTTCTTTATTCGCATAAATATAAAACTTTTACTTTATATTAATGAGATTATAAACATGAAACTAGCTGCATAAATTTCGAAAAATAATTTTCAATACATAATAAAGAATTAATATTTGGAAACAATAATTAAAAACAGAAAGACAAGCAATTAAAATAATAATTCAATGTGGGCAAAACAATTTTCACATGAATAACACAGTTTGGAAAAAGAGTGATGCAATAAGATAAAAAAAAATTTTTATGCCGAATCAACAAAAATATATCTAGTCGCAATTTCAATATGTTAATTAACTGTTTAACACATTTAAAAAAAAGAGAATATAATTTTAGTAATTAATTTTATGATAAAAATTCGAAAATTCAAACGAAACTTTTAATTGATTTAGCCGAAAAAATTAACATTCCTTTCAAAGTAAATTTTGCAAATTTTTTTTATTTCTCTGCTTTTTTGTGTCCTTTTTTCATTCCTATAAAGAATATAAACGAACGTGACAAATCAGATATGTAAGGAGAAGATAAAAAAAAACCCCCCTTCCCTCGCCATCAAAAAGGCTCAAGTAATAAACTACCTTTATGCCCCTTCTCGACACTTGGTACTCCTCAAAGTAAACCACAGAATGGCTCTTCATGAAAAACATCAACATAAGTCTCCCCCCTGGGGGCTTCCGCTTAATCTAAACGGCTTTTCATCGTTTCGATCCTCTTTCACCCTTGTAAATAAAACGATTAAAGAACGATAAAAAAAAAAAAAAATAAGAAGAGGGGGGATAAAAATTCGAAAAAATACACATGTCGGAAATTGTCGAGTTTAATGAACCCAAAAATTTCTCCACCCTAATAAATCCAAAAATAATTCTCTTCTTTTTCTGATCTCTCTTTTATACCTTTGTCTTAGGAACGGAATTTGAAAAGTGAAGCAAGTCATCGAAGATTGTAACAAAGAAGAACAAGAAGAAGAAAAAGGCAGAGGAGGTGGCACGAGTCGAAAGCCTCACAAGGTCTTTTCTCAGTTTCTCTCTCCCGGTGTGTTTTCAATGTAAATACAATCTTTCTTTTTCTCTCTCTCTCTCTAATGGACCAAATTTCGGAACATTTGTAAAAATGTACTTCCACGTGCTCGAGATTGACATATAGAAAAAAAAAAAGAAAAAAGAGAGGCATGATAATATTTCAAATCACGACGATCACAAAAATTTGCACCGTTTATAGAGCAAAGATTTGAATTTGCGATGACACACGATACCCAGTTGGGCATCGTGGTCTAGACATTGACCGACGCCAAGGGAACAAACTCGCGGGACGAGTTCTCCGATTTCTGTCTCGGGCATTCATCCATGCGGCAGGAATCGCCGACGCGATGAACGGCAAGGGCTTTCAAACCTGTCGTTCAGTGTATTCGACTTCTTGGACGAAAGCCGTGTTTTTTGACGAAAAAAGGGAGATCCTTAACGCACCCGTAATTTTTCGGCTGCATTAAAAAAAAACAAAAAAAAAAATTACCCTCCACAGAGAGCAAGCATGTCTTACATCTCGTATCGTCTCGCAACGATCACTGCTGCGGTTATTTTCGTTTTGGTGATACTTTTGCTGATTCTTTGGACTGGTTTCTTCAGTAACACCACTGGTATTGCCGGGGCGTTTGACAAGGATCAAAGCGCCGCTCCCATCGTTCATCAACAATCCAACAACACTGACAAGCGACACGAGGATGAACGCCAGGAATCGCTTGTGTCACATCGATCTGTCGCCGCCACCGTCGCCGCTCCCCTGGAATCAAACACAACAGATATTAGCAATGAAGGTAAGTCTCTTTTTTTTTTTTTTTCATTCATTGATATTCAATCAACGACCGCCAAGGTTGAAGTCGTCATTTAAAAAAAAAAAAAAAAATTACCATTGTCTAAAATATCAATAAATCACATAATTCTCATAATCGAGAGATAAATGGAAAAAATAGACAAAAAATCTTTCGCAAAAATAAATAAATAAATCTACCTCAAGTCCCAAAAGAAACCAAAAAAAAAAGTTTTTATACTAATTTTAAAACTTCAAATTTTATTATAAAATATTATATTTCCTTATTTGACGAAAAAAAGGTATATGAAATTAATTTGCCTAAATACAGGCTTTTTTTCGACTTATTTTTAATAAAATGCGACTTTTTCAATTTTCTTTTTTTTTCAAAATTTTTAAACAAAATACATTTTTTAGTATACAATTCAGATCTTCATTATTTCAATTATTTATCAAATTTTTAACAAAAATTCTTCACTAAATTAATTATTTTTTAATTATTTTAATGAAATTCTTAACAAATTCAATTATCTTAAACTATTTTTCAAATTAAAATTTTTATAAAATTTACTAATTTTATTTACTAAAAAAAAAATTAGTAAATAAAATTAGTAAATAAAATGATCAAAAATTCAATTATCTTAAACTATTTTTCAAATTAAAATTTTTATAAAATTTAATAATTGTTTATAATTAAAAAAAAAATTAGTAAATAAAATTAGTAAATAAAATTATCAAAAAAATTTTTTAATTCAAAATCACTTGAAATTTCATTATTTGCAAAAATTTCAATTATTTTTAATGATTTTTATAATATTCTTCGAAAATTCAATTATCTGAAAGAATTTTTCAATTAAAAACTTTTGGAATTTAATTTTAATATGTGATTTCTAATAAATTCTTTATCATAACAGAAATCATTAGAAATTTCTCTTATTATAATTATTCTCTGAAATTTAACACAATCTTTTGAAATTCAATTATTTTCAAATATTTCAATTTTAAAAGCTTCTTTTTCTATCATTTTAGAAATTTGTCATAAAATTTTGAAAATTTATCTTAAAATTAGTTCAATTCTGAAATATTCGAAATAAATTTTTTTAATAATATTTTTATAGAATTATTCTCATTACAAAATTCATAAAAATGAATTCTAATATCTAATAACTAAAAAAAATAATTTTTTTTTTTGCATATAAATCGACTAAAACGACTTTCTTTGTGCCTTAAAGTCTAATCGAGACCTGTAAATGTAATAATATAAATTTGATGTCAAATAAAAATTGTAAAAGTGAAATTTCATTAATATTCAACTTTTTGAATAATAATGAATGTGAAATTGATCGTGAATTAATTGAAGCGCCTTTTAATGAAAACAAAAAATTAATTCACCTGCAATTAGATACTAATAGTTATTATTAAGACGTCTATCTGATAGTTTAATTACCATTCTGACTGGAATTTTCAATTGACTGACTTAATTCTGAATAATTTACTTAATCCAAAATTCAATCTCTTGATTTAATTTAGAATCACATAATTTAATTTCAAATCGTTTTCAATTTAGAATTAAATGATTAATTCAATTTTGAATTATTTAATTATGTAACATGTAATTTTTCTCCAAGAACCAGGAAATTTAATTGCAATTTATTGAAATTAAGACAAAATGTTATTGACATTATTTTAATCGCATATAACTCGTGAGAATAAATTATAAAGCATTTTAATGAATACCAATCATATCTATATTATGATAGTTTTGCTAATTGAATTTATATTTGTATATCGACAGTGGTAATTTTCAGTCAATGGAATCGTTTTACTCGTCGTCAATCATGAAAATCATTGCAAAATATATGAGAGTTCATTATTCACAATTCTTAAAAGGTTATTGACAGAAAACTTGTTGATAATTAAAAAAAAAAAAAAAAGAAAAAAAATGAGGGATGAAAAAAGCGAATTCAATATTCTTGACCTCCAATGGCAAAGATTCAAAGGATTATTCTCACGCAGGAGTTATATAGTATGCATAAAAAGAACATAGGAGCTTAACGCCAGACGTGACTAAGCAACCTTTCATCAGATGAGTAAGATTAAGTCCGTTTGCAAGGAAATCATCAAAAAAAAAAAGAAAGTATATAAACTGCAAAAATTTATCCTTCTCTCCTGCGGACAAATAATAAAATAGGCTTAAAAATATAATAAAATATTTTTTGGCAAAAACAGTATAAATAACAATAATAATAAAAATAAATATAAATAATAAATGTTATTTCCATTTATTGTAATTTTAGTTTAAAATATTAAATATTCAAACGTAAAAAAATTAATTTTCTTAAACTTTTAATTCCATTGATTTGTTTGAATTAAAAATAAAAAATTAATTAAAATTCCTCTTTTTATGTCACATTTCTTTCTATATGTAGAAATATATTTCACAGCTGTGAAAATGAATTCTCAACTATGAATTTAATTGCAGTAAATTATCATAATTCAGTTACATTAAAATGCTTTTTCTCTAGTTTATATATAAATTGAATTCTATATCGTTCTCACGAGGTATATGTAGATGTAAAAAAAAAATTTTTTTATCAACATTTTTTTTATTAAATTATTATTATCATCATTCAGATAAAATTGCATTAAATTATAGATGTCATATGTTGCAAATCAATTTGCAATATGCACTTTGTTTTATTTTCATTCGTTTCTTAAAAAAAATGTCCTACTCATTATTGACATTTTCCTAATAGATAAATTCCAATAAATTTAGAAATTTAGAACAATGATAAATCGTATTATTTCATAATTAAAATTGAATATTATCATTTATAACGAAAAAATTCATGTAATTAGAATTATTTAAGAAAATATTTTTCAACATATTTTAATAAATACTTTGTATTTCACAAAAGAATTAAAAATTGCCAAAAAAAAAATAATTTGCTCTCTCTCTTTCTCTCTATTTTAATCTAATTTTAAATATTAAAGGAAATGAAATATTAAGCAGAGATCAGCGAAATTACTTAAATGCAATTAAAATTTAATTTGACATGAAAATTCAGATCACGCAAATGATTCCCATGGATGAATATAGCATTTGAATTGAATATTCCAGTCGCGCATATAGTAAAGGTATTTATATCGATAGAGTAAGTAAATAGCACGTTCATTATTTCCATTTAAGGTCGAAGGTAAAATAAACTTACATTTATGATAAATCGAGATCAATGTAATCGAATTTAAACGAATTATCATCTAAATTTGTCATTTTAAAAGTTAATTTATGAAATTATTGTTTCTATACAAAAATCTATTTTAATTTTTTAAAAAAAAAGGAACCAATAATTAATAATAATTTAAATATTTTTAAAAAATGATAATTAATTTCTTAATTATCTTTCTACATTGATCAAAATTTTCATATTTTGCTGATATTTCATTATTATTATCATAATTATAAAATATCACCACTGACATAAATTAATTAAAATGAATAATCTCTAAAGACAGTAATTGTTATGATATTATATGAATAATACATGTCTAATAATAATAATTAGAATGTGGCGCGTGTTCTTATTTTTGTTCTTTTGTTACTTAAAACAGCGCGTGACAAACAATAGTCATGATGGGAAAAAGAATTTTTTTTTTTTTTTTCGAAACATTTGAAAGGAGAATCAAGCTACCACTTGGGTTTTTGCTCCATGTAGAAAAAAAAGCTTACGGCAAGGTAATCGGATATCGTGTCGTCCGAGCTGCTGTTCCTATACCACGACGACTCTTTACTTCTATATATATAGAGAATAAGGATATACATTCTATACAATTTTACTGAAATAACTTCAAACGAATAACAAGACAACTCCTTTTTATAATGAACAATAGGAAAATATCAAAAAGACAAAAAAAATTCACTTATTTCGTGAATTTTAAATGAGAAATTGCTTTTTAGCGAAACCGGAAAACAGGATGCTTTTGTTTGAAACTGGAACATTCAATTTTAGAAAGATATTTTTAATTTTAGTCTAAGCGCATCCAAGTTTCCATCCTATATTTAGGATTGCAAATTTAAAAAAAAAGAATTCATTTCAATTTGAAAAATCATTCAAAGAATGATTTAAATTAAAAAATAAATTCCAAGCAGCAAAAGTGTACCACGAGAGGATTTCCAAGATTTTTCTTTCAACATTTACTTTCGTAATTAATAATAAAGAATCGTATGTGAAAAAATTTGATTTACACAATGAAAAATATTGCAAGACGATATCATTTTTGATATTAACTCATCTTGAATTTACCCCCCCACACGTAACTAATTATGAATTTATTATTACATATATTATTAACGATCGTCTCATCGTTTTAATGACTCAACAAAATTACCTTCAACTTTAACTGACATCATGTGAAAAGTTAACAAAAACATAATCCGATCTCATTGTTTGACTTAGAAGTCAGGCCATGGCCTCTTTTTACCCCCTAAATGTTAAGTACAAATAATTTGTATATACGACATGGCAGTGAGACTTACTCGCGACGCGACGGTTTAATTTTAACTCACAGTTTATCATTTCGGCACGCACGGCTCAATTGTTGTAGATTTACATATATACGTCTTAGAGGGATGATATTTGATGATCGCGTAACAATTTCCGGAAACTTCATTTATCACTTCTGTTTGAATATCTTTTTTTTTTTTAAATATTTATACAACGATGTGTAAATAATTCTGAGCTAGATAAAGACATCTTTCGATGACGGCAATTGGTAATAATGTCATCAGTCGATGACAACATTATAAATATTTTATCCTGCTTTGCAAGTCAGGAAATTGTCTCAAGTTCGCGCAAGAAAGGAACGCGAGCGATAACGTGCTTTTTTGATTTGAATTTTTAACTGGGGAATGAACGACCTTGTTTGCTGCATCTTCTTACCCAAGCTCCAATTTCTGCAAAAAGAGCTCATTTTTAGTCACCTCACACATATACACATATCGACAATGTAATTTCTTTGAAGAATTTAAAAAAAAAAGAATTTCATTGTTGCAAACAATTTTCTAAATTTCAACAAGATCAAATTGAATCAATTGATCTACCATCTTTAGATTTGTGAATAAAAAGATGAAAAGGAAATAAAATAGAAAAATAATTTTTTTTTTATGTATTTTTTCTTTTAAATTAAATTAATTTAATTTTCTATTTAAAAATAATATCCAAGTAATTGTCCTTGGTGATAAATAATATTTTAGCAATAAAAAACTATTTAGTACCATTTTTTTTACGATTCTAATTAACTAGTAGAGAATTGCTTAGTGCAATTGAAATAATAAAGAAGAGACGGCAAATTTAATGATGACGAAGAACCAAACGAGAATAGTAACGACCTAGTAACGAATCGTAAACCAAAAAAATATATTTGTCACATAAAGAAAGAGAGAAAGAGAGCCGTGACTAAGAAAATTTTAACTTCTTCTACATAAATGAAATCGTGCAAAAGAACTCAAATACAATTTTTCATTACTTAACATTAACTAGAATCGAGAAAATATTTCCCCTTCTAGAATTTTAATTTAAAAAAAAAAAAAAACTGTCTAAACGTTCTTTGTAGTCTAAATTAAAAAAAATATTTTTCCTTTTGTAATATAAATAATAAATCAACAGAATGAATTATCAATAAATAAATGAATTAGAATATTAAATGTAAAATTGAATAAATTTATAAAATTTGAAAAATAAATAAAATTTATAAAGATAATTAGAAATTTATTATATTAAAGATAAATTCAATTTCATGGATTTAAGTTACCTTTAAAAAAAAAATGCATAATTTATAAATGGAATGCAGAAAGTTACTCACACGTTTAGAGTTCTGCATAAAAGTGCTTCATCCGTAAGTTTTCTGAGTGTAAATGTTGTCTTATCATTTTCAATGGCAGTCTTACGTCAACCAATAAAAGATGCCACAAGAAGACAGGAAAACAGCGACGCAAAGTTCACATTCAATTCCAAGGGCGAAATTTTACCCACCAATAAAGGAGACCTGGAATATGTCAATTTATTTAAAGTCAGCCGAAATCGTTACGAGGATCCACGTAAGTTTTTTTTTTAATAAACAATTTTTATTTTTTTTTACTCTTTTTTTTTATTCTTTTATTTAATTATTTACCACCTTCTATTTTATCTAATTTCTTCTTTCAGCTGATGAATATTCATCTCATAAAAGACATCACAGTGGTCATTTTCGGCATAAAAGTGCAAAAGTTTGGGATCCACATCCTCAATATGAATTCACAGCTTTTGGACGACATTTTCATTTGCTTCTCTCTCTTGATTCTAGTTTCGTTTTTCCAGGCTTGAAGGTAACTTAATAAAAAAAAAACAAGAAAAAAAACTCAATTAAAAAAAAACAAATTTCAGTTTGATAAAAAAAAAAAATATTAAAAGTAATTTTCTAAATTTAAGATCACGCACGTAAGAAAAAATACAAGCAAGTGGGAACACGCGGGTCAACACCTGGATTGTTTTTACAGAGGAGAAGTGGATGGTGATCCTAATTCAATTGTAGCTGTTAATTTATGCGGTGGAATGGTAATTAAAATTAAGACAATATTTTTTCAATGAAATCTTTCTTTTTTGAAAAGATTTTTGTCTTCATTTTTTTTTTGTTTTTTTCGTGAATAAATTACTGTTCTCATTTTAATTTTGTAAAACGAATTATTGGAAAGAAGTTAAATCAACCAGGAAATTGGCTGCAATTCAGAAAATACATTTCCTCAAAGGAAACAGTAGTTAGGAATATTGCGAATAGTACTTAGAATTAACGAACTTTTCCAGGGAATGATCTATAATCCCAAAAAAAAGAGAGAACAAACCGTCTGGCGTAGTAGTCTTGAAAAAAAAGCAAAGCAGTTCCTGAAAATTCGTTCCAAAAAAAAAAAAAAAAAAAAAAAGAAATTCTATTTTTGTAGACTAAAAAGAAAGAAAAACAGACATTTATTTTTTTCTCGCATTTCAAGTACGTATGGCTCTGTATTTCGCAAAATGCTTATTTTTGCAGAAAGTTAAATATTCCTTTCTAGAATTCGCTGAAATCCTCGTATCACGAATTCATTAAATCTTATTTCACAACTCGGAAGAATTGATTTATCAAATAGATTCTAAACGCGGGAGAAATAAATTATTGTTTTTTCTTTTCTATTTCGATCTTAATTTAAAAAAAAATATATATATATCTATAAATGGAAAAATTATAAAAATATTTATATTTCGAACCTTGAAATTTTATAAAAAAAAAAAAAAAAATTGCAGACACCCGGTTCTTTTTTTTATCAGGACGAGAGAATAATTCAAGATTTGTATTTTAAAATGAATCGCCATATAGGTAGTGATGCAGAACGTATGTGAATATTTACAATTTCCGTTACAGACAGGACATATGACAACGTCAACAGGAAGTTACCTCATTAAGCCTGCGAAGCATTGGAGTGACTACGAGGAAACATCCACCGAATCATCCTCATCATCATCATCTTTGCAACATGCGATCTATAGGACTCCATCCGCGGATTTGACTCTTACGAATGATCTGCCAAGAAACCACGAGTGTGGTGTCATCGGTACGGTATATATCACAGGTTGTGGTTCACATAGCCACGAAAATTATCCTTCACTCTTTTTTCTTCAATTCTTTCTCTCATTCTTATCGACAAAGACTGATTCACCTTTTTATAAATTCCACTTGTTGATCCTGAAACAAAAAAACGAAATTTATAATTGTAAATATAGGAAATCAAAAAAAAAAAATTGTCATAAAAGAATTTAATGAATCATAGCTTTTGTTCCTTTATACAATTTATTATTTTATTTTATTCCTTTTTTTTATACTTCCTAGAAATTTTGCGAAAAGGAAAAAAAATTATGGCAAACGAATTTTAGATAATTATCCTAATTGGACTCAGGGTCTAAAGAAATTTAAACTATGAAATTAAAAAATAAAACACTGCAAGAAAGAATCATCATTATTCTCTGTCAAAAAAAAAAAAATTTACTAATGGATATTAATTGCTGTTTAATTTTACACTTTTTGAAAAATTAATTTAAAATCTAATTATTAATTTTACATTCAACAATTTTTTTTACTTTTTTTTTTTAATTTACCAATGGATATTAATTGCTGTTTAATTTTACACTTTTTGAAAAATTAATTTAAAATCTAATTATTAATTTTACATTCAACAATTTTTTTTCACCATTGTATCTCGCAACAATTAACATCCTGAATCGAATAATAAAAATTTCAGAATTCCTCTAGATTTTAATTTACAATCAATAATTTCTCATTTGATGGGCAATTTAAAAAAAAAAAAAAAATTAAAATTATACGTTTAGAGTTGATATTAACCTGAAGAAATCATATATAAGGTTTGCCAAGTTTATTACTATACCCATTTGCTTTAATTAGGGAGGGAACGTTAATAACTTTTTTTTTTCTTTTTTATGAAATCCATAAAGCTCAACATCTGTTTGGGATTAATTAAAATTCCCGTAACATATATATATATATATTTATATTGATTTCTATTAAGGAATATTTAGAATTGCGTCATTGATTTTCACTCGACCTCGACTTGCATTCTTTCTGAAATAACGGAGGTCGAAAGGAAACGTCCATGTAGGTCTATATAATTCTCAATCGTATAATATAAGTGCTCAATCGAACACCTGTACATATAGCAAATACGAGGGAGATAAACAGGTGGTTTACAGACGTGTGCAGACTCTTACGTCATTCGCAGCCTCCGGCCAATTTCGGGTCCAGTCGATACGACCAGAGAACTTGAACAATGTTTCCCCTCAAGGTGTATCATCTCTCCGAGACAGGTTGGCGTCTTCCGGGGATTTAACATTCCAATCTTTATTTTATACTTTTTTCCCCCTCTCCCTTACTCTCTCACTTCTTAAATCGAATTTAAATTTTTATTCACTTTTCCCTTTTTTCTCTTCGATTATTACATAAATATTTTAACAAATTCAAAACTCGTTTTCTTTCTTTTTCCCTATTTTTTTTTTTTTAGCTGAGAAAACATTTTTTGACAGAAAAAAAAATTCCATTTTTCTATTTTGGAGAAAATTTCCTAAAAATTTAATTTCTTCAATTTTTTATAAAAAATACTTTCTTTTTTTTTGAAATTGCTTTTTGTACCACAAAATAAAATTTTATTTTTATTCACTCGAGCCATTAAATTATATTCTTTTTTCATTTTATGCTTCTCCTCATCTTTATATTGTCGTCCTTTATCTTCGCTTTTTATCTCGAGTGCAATTAATAAAAATCATAATAATAATAATATTCCAATCGTATAGTACGTATGAAACGTAATTTTAATGATTAATTAACTGGATTCATATTCTACAGAGATGTACGAGTTGATAAAGTGAATCAAGCTTGAAAAATAAAATGAATGTAAAAAATAATATAAAAATTATCTTTTATATAGATAAACAATCTTTTTATATATATATATACTGAGGAATAATTATTATGATTTTTTAAAAGACATTCTTTTCAGAAAATAAAACCTTGTAATTTTAATCTCTAAAAGATACCCGAAAATTTAATTGAACTTGGAATTCACACTTTTATAATCGAATTCTTTTATCAAAATTTAAAATCTTCCAACCCAAACAATTTTTGTTTATAATTTGTATTAAATTTTTTCACCAATAATGTTAATTTGTTATTAATTTGCAGTCCAATAATAATGTATATTTAAATAAATTAAATTTAGAAAATAATTAACTAAATGTGAAATTAAATAAATGATAGAAAGTTAAAAATGATTAAATATGAGAGTAAAAAAAAGGGGAAATTTAAAAGATCGTTAATCTTGTCTTCTTCGTAAAAAAAATCTTAATCAAGAAAGAGATTTATCTTTGTAGAAGCGTTAAATCGGTAACATAGAAGACTAGTCGCGATAAAAAAAAAAAAAAGTGGACATACTGACCTACTGTCTAAGGACGTCTAGTTCTGCCTCATTTCTGTTAAAACAGAATTAAAGTGTAATAAACATGAAACAAAATTGCTTTTCAATTGAAAAAAAAACACTTTTTGATCGAAAAAAGAAAACTATTTTTCCCCGTGAAAATTTTTTCATTCATAAAAAAGAATTTTTTTTTTTTTTGCATTTAAAAGACCTTGGCATTCTAAAATCTTATATTTGAATATAAAGTGTCTCGCACATTCCAATGGCGAATATTTAAATTTAAATCCTTAAATCCCCAAAACCTGACGCAAAAATCGAGATTCTGATCTCGTAAAGTTTTTAATTAATTAAAATTAAATTTCTTTTAGAATTTAATTTTCCAAAAAAATAATTCCCATTCTCTGTTTAAAAAAAAAAAAAATAGAAAAAGAATTTCAAATGAATTTTTTGAAAAATAATTACAGATTATGCGGAAAACAATCCAACTTTGTCTTTTGACGACAGTTCTGAAAGGAGAGTTTACGTTGGAGATCAACAACACCGGAGGCGGAAACGACGACTTTTATGGAAGAACACGTCTTCTGATGATTTTGAAAAGCAGGACACTCCCATCCGGAATCAAAGTCGGTAGGAAGAAAATCAACTTTTTTTTCTTTGCTTTTAAATTATCATTATGCTGATTCTCAGTATTTGAAAAAAATTTTTTTTTTGTCCTCTATTATTGAGGTTGAATGAACTTTTAGCAAAATATCATCATCATCCAAGTAAACTAATTGGATCGGAAGAAAACTGAGACACATATTTTTTTTTTTTTCTTTTTACATACCTATTTTAAACGAGTTTCACTTTGTCCACAATTCTTAAAGGGATTGGTTTTTGTTGCAGATACGAATTGATGGGGCGAAGTAAAACTTATCCAAGCGAAAATGATCGTAACTGGAGTCACCAGTCAGACGAGGCCGATTTCGATAATTATGGTGGCTGGAGAACACGCAGGGCTATTTCACGTGAATATTTCGTTGAAGTTCTAATTGTCGCTGATTCCATGATGTCCGAATATCATGGAGATGGTCTTATCAGTTATATTCTCGTACTTATGAATACGGTAAGGAATCTGTAATTTAAATAATGGAATTAATTTTTTTTTTTTAAATAAAATTTCACGAAAATGATTATAATAGTAAAAGAAAATGTAAATAGAAATTTGGAATTTCGTCAACCAATTTTTTGGCAGAAACACAAAAAACCTTCAACAAGTGTTGATAATCTAAATAAATAGTTGAATTTAAAGATTCAATATATAGATCAAACTTGTCAAGAAGAGTTCTTTAATGATCTGCGAGTCATCGAAGGATGCTGTCTAATCCAATCCATCAAAATCAAGTCATATTTTATAGTTCTATTACGAGATACGAATATAATAAATTAGCAAGTCATGAATTTCATATATGAATACAGATATCAAGTATAAATTTAGCTGATCATGTTTAGTGATTGCTATCACTATTTTTGTCGTTCGATAAATTCTTTTTTCTCAATATTTATTTTAATTCACCTTTATTTAACTATTCGTTTAAATAGAAATTATAATAGAAATTTTTAAATAGAAAAATAAATAATACACGAAATTTTTCTTAAAGGTAACTCGTATTTATAAAGATCCATCGATTGGTAATCCAGTAAGTATTGCAGTGGTGAAAATAATCAGTACAGACGAGGTATTTTTTACAAAAAAACGAGATGCCGATGGAATCTCTGCATCGGAAATGTTGAAAAAATTTTGCTCTTGGCAAAAACGTAACAATCCTGATGAGCCATCGGGTGAACATCATGACATCGCAGTTCTTCTGACAAGGTTTGTGTCTATTTTTTATTTTTTTTGCTTTAAGAAAAAGCTTCTGTATTTTTTTTTGTTGTTTTTTTAAAAATAATTTTTTTTTTCCAGGGAAAATTTGTGCCACAATATTGACAATAAAAATTGTAATACACTTGGTCTTGCCGAACTTGGCAGAATGTGTTCACCCGGATCCTCGTGTGCCATTGTCCAGGACAATGGATTGTCAGCTGCATTCACCATCGCTCATGAAATTGGTCACGTGTGAGTGTAGCTTTTTTAAAGCACCCGTTTGACAACATTCCTGTCCATAATAAGTCGTTCGCTTTCGAATCTTTTGTATGTGGTAAATACAACCAATAACTACATGTGCGTACGATGTTCAAACGCCTACACCTCAGCAAAAAAAAAAAAAAAAAAAATCCATCTAATACCAAATCTCCCTCTATTCCACGTCTGACAATTACAAGACTGATTACAAATTGCAAATAAATATCCTGACATTAGAAAACACGTAACAACTTCTCCGAATGGCATTTCGTTTCATATAGCGAAACTCAATCTTGTTTTCCGCATTTCACAATTTTAATTAATTTTATTATTAATTTAATTTTTATGAAATTAATTAATTTAATTTTTTTTTGTTTTTAATGAAATAATATTTATTTGCTTGCTAGTCGAATTTAAGGAACGCATGAATAAGTTCTAAAAAAATTTTTTTTTAGAATTATTATTTGATAAAATCTTATTCTGTAGAATATTTATTTATACGAAATTTCGAATATTAATGTTTTAGAAAATGGTCAAAAATCAATTTAACAGAATTTTTTATTTAGACGAAAATTAATTTGAAATAATTCAATTTCATCGAATCTTAATATTGACCGAAACTTTGTCTTGTGTAGAATATCTATTAATTTTGCAGAATTGTAATTTAAAATTAAGATTCTTAAAATTGTGAAAAATTTTTTTAGAGCTTATTCATGCGTTCCCGAATTAAAACAATGAAAACTGAGACGAAAAACCAAGAAAATTATATGAAACCGATTTTTGATTTAGAACAAAAAAAAAAACGAAATAATTTTTTTTTAGATTCAATATGCCACACGATGATGATAGTAGATGTGCAAGATTTAGAAATATGTCGGGCAAATCTGAAACCTATAATGTCATGTCTCGAATGATGGATGACAACTCTTATCCATGGGAATGGTCCAAATGTTCACGTCATTACATTACTGAATATCTCGAGTGAGTTACTTTCTGATTAAATGTAAATTTCACAAAATTAACATTATTTTCACTTGTTTCAATATCTTAAATTTCGTTGTTCGATGATGAATATCGAAAAATAAAGTACAAAGAAGATGCATCGGTGAAATTTTAGGCCATTGAATTCGTTATTAATTAATTAAAAAAAAAAAAAGAAATCTAAAATCAACAAATTTAGTTTTAATATAAAAAAAACCAACATTCAAGCTTAGGAAATTTAGATGAAAATTATTAATTAAAAATTAAAAATTTGTTTAATGAAATTTTAATTTTTTTTTAATGAATATTTATTTGAAGATAAATTTCTTTTTTTATAGCGCAGGATATGCACAGTGTTTATTAGACGAACCGAGTAAAACAATATCAAAATGGAGCATTAATCGTTTTCCTGGCGAAGTTTTTACCGGAGACGAACAATGTGAATTAATTTTTGGAACTGGGGCAAAACTCTGCTCCCACGAGCCTCAGGATGGTAAGGAATGTCTGTTCCTTTAGAATAAATTTTTTTTTTTTTTTTTTTTTTGCAAATCCAATTAAAATTTGAAGAAAAGTAAATAAAATTAAAAAATTTGAAAGTATAAAATTAAATTAGAAAAAAAAAATGCAAAAGATGTAATTTCGTTGACCGTATTTGTTACTGGCCAGGCAGTGTGCAAGAGATTATGGTGTACCGCTCCGCTCTATGATACAACGGAAGACTGTCACACGCAACATATGCCTTGGGCCGATGGAACAAATTGCGGTGAAAATAAATGGTGTCATCGGGGCGAGTGTGTATCACGTCAAAATTTGAGACCCATTGACGGCCAATGGGGTAATTGGGAAAATTATGGAGAATGCTCACGAACATGCGGCGGTGGAATTAAGAAAAAATTTCGCGAATGCAATAATCCACCACCACAAAATGGTGGTAATTATTGTGTAGGAGAACGTGTTAAATATAAAAATTGTGGAACAAAAGAATGTCCATTGGAAACTCCTGATTTTCGGTAAGAATAAATAATAATTAATATTAATTTCTCCTAGAGAGAGAGAGATTTTATATAAAAATTGATTTCAGAGAAGAGCAGTGTGCAGCGTTCAATAATGATAATTTGGATATTCGAAATCTTCCCCGCGATGTCACGTGGCATGCAAAGTACACGAGAAGTAAGTAATTTTTTTTAAATCATTTTTTTTTATAAAAAGTTTTTAAAAAATGATTTTCTTTGCTAGTACTTCCGGAGGACAGATGTAAATTGTACTGTCAAGTGGAGAGTAATCAGTACTATATGCTACGAGATAAGGTAATAGATGGAACGCCCTGTGGACCAGATACCTTTCACATGTGTGTCAATGGACGTTGTCAGCCTTCGGGTTGTGATCACATTTTAAATTCATCGGCGAAAATGGATTCATGCGGTGTTTGCAAAGGTGACAATTCATCCTGTCAGAGAATTACCGGTTCGTTTAATTCCAGCTCCTATGGATACACAAGAGTCACGAAAATTCCCGCCGGTAGTAGCTTCATTGAAATCAAACAATACGGCTGGGAAGGATTGCACAATGATTCCAATTATCTTGGTATTCTTCGTTCTAAAAAAAAATAATTATTTTTACAATGACTATTAAATAAATATAAAATAAATTATTTAAAAAAAATGAAATTTCAGTTTTACGGTATGCTGATCGAGAGGAATATATTCTGAATGGAAAATTTATGGTAATGAATCGAAGAGTAATAATGAGACCGGAAATGACAATTGAATACAGTGGACCCGAGGCAATAATTGAACGTCTCAATAGTTCGAGACCAATTAAAGTTGATTTAATTTTGGAGGTAGATAATTTTAAAAATCATATTTCTAATTTAATATTTATTATTATATAATTAATAATTATTTATTAATCAGGTGCTTTCGGTGGGAAAAATATCACCACCTCAGATTACTTACGAATACACGGTGCCAAAGAAAGTCCTGGAACGATACACTTGGATTCTTAGCGGTTGGTCTCCATGTAGCTTGAGTTGTCAGGGAATGAAATATCGTCGCGCCGAATGTAAAGGTACTGAGCGCAAAGATGTCGTTCCCGATGGTTATTGTCGAGCTGATGAAAAACCCAGAGAAGAAAGTCAAATCTGCAATAATCATTGTCTCTTTCAGTAAGTATTTTGTTTTTATAAAAAAAAATAATTTTTTAATTAATTATATTTATTTCATAATTAATAAATTTCATTTGATAAAAAAAAAAAATGATGAATTTTTCAGATGGCAAATTACATCGAAATCAGAATGTTCAAGTCATTGTGGCAATGGAACGCGATCAGTCACCTATCGTTGTGTTCATATTTTACATATGAGTGACAAAAGTAAAACGCATCAACTTCCTGACTATATTTGTTCACATTTGGAACGACCAAAGGAAAAAGAGCCATGCATTGGATCGTGTCACGATCTTCGTTGGAATTATGGTGCTTGGGGTACATGTTCGGTGACATGCGGTGGTGGAATTCAAAGAAGGTCAGCGAACTGTATTGACTCCAAGGGCAGACCTGTGCCTGATGAAAAATGTTCAACTCAAGAGAAAATAGTGACAAGTGTCTGCGGACAAGAAACGTGTCCAAGATGGGACTTTGGTGAATGGAGTCCGGTAAGTTTTTTTTTTTCACATTTGTTCCGTGTTTCTCTTATTCTTTATATTTGTTAGTATTTTGCTTTTTTAATTTGTTTATAATTTTCTCTATATACGTAAATTTCTATTCATTTGTAATTAGTAATTAGTAATTAGTAATTTGAAACTAAAAAGAAAGAAACAAAAAATTTACTATTGTTTTCAGTGCTCGGTTACCTGTGGATTAGGAAAACAACAAAGGCCTTACTGGTGTCAGGTGGAAAATCGTGTTGTTCATGCAAATTATTGTAGTGGATCACCTTCACAGATATCGAAAGTTTGTGATGCAGGTCCTTGTTATAAGTGGCACTCAACTGAATGGACACCGGTAAATTTCTTCTTAAAAGCCTAGAACAAAAGAATATTCTAAAAAAAAAAATGCCAATTCAAAATAATTATTTTTTATTTATTTAAATATTCATTTTAAATTCTTGATTTTAGTGTTCAGTTTCGTGTGGCGAAGGAATACGTAAACGAGAAGTTACATGTCGAGATGCAAATAATGTGATTATGAAAAAATCAAATTGTGAATTTGCAAAACAACCAATGGAAACATCAAGTTGCGTGATGAATCTTTGCCCTACTGTTGTGAGTGTTGAATATTTTTTTTTTCTAATTTCCAATTATTTAAAATTCAAATTATTTTTTTAAAAATTATTTTCTCAAAATAAGAATTAATATTGAAAAAAAATAATTTCTAGCAAACATTGCCGTCTATTATTTCAACGTTAAAATCACCGCTTGACGATCCATCGGACCACGATAATGATGTGAATCACGAAAGTGTTCCTTCTCACAAAATATATAAATGGCATTCGGAATCTGTAGACGAGGTGAGTTTAATATTTTTTTTCAAAATATTAATAAAATACAATTTAAATATATATATTTTTTAAAGGTATCGAGAAGAAGACACTGTAATGTTTATCCGTGTCCTCTTTGGAGTACAGGAGAATGGAGTCAGGTAAATTTTTTTTTTAATTTAAAATCTGTCCTTTCAAAAACTATTTTTAAATTTAATTTGAAAATTTAATTTAAATAGTGCGACGTGGCGTGCGGTGAAGGTTATCAGTATCGTCAAGTTCGATGTCGAAGTTCAAGAGGGACAATTTTACCAGACAAGGAGTGTGTAATAAAACAAAGACCTCGTCATTTGAGAAAATGTGAAAAGCCACCATGTAATCCATCGATGGACAATTCTTTTCACAGATGGCGAACTTCCGATTGGAGTACTGTAAGTTTAGAAAATTAATCACGAAACAAATTCATTGAACTCTTCATAATGAGAATATATATATATATATTTTTTTTTATCAATTTTTGATAAAAGTTTATTGAACTTTCAATTTATTTTTCAAGTGTTCGTCGGAATGTGGAGAAGGAATTCAACGTAGAAATGTGACATGCCATTTGGTCAATGCCTATGGATGGCTTGATTCAACTCCAATTAATGAATGTCCAACAACTGAAAAACCAACTGAACAACAGTCATGTAAAATCAAAGATTGTGAATATTATTGGACAGCTGGCAATTGGAAGAAGGTGAGCCTCAAAGGCATATTTCTGGAGAATTCAATTAAATTTCTCTAAATTCAATTTCAGTTAGATTGTAAAAATTAATTTTTATAATTAATAATTAATTAGTTATAATTTAATTAAATTTTCAATTAAAAATTCAATTCGAATAGAAAATAAAAAGATAGAATAAAAGAAAATTGTAAATCTCTTAACAGTGTAGTCATCTTTGTGGGAGAAAAGGTCGACAAGTGAGACGATTATTTTGTCACAATAAAGATGGAAAAAAAGTGCCACGATACAATTGTCCCAAGGAATTAAAACCACCACGAAAGAGAAAATGTAATCAACGTCGATGTGGTCCTACAACATGTACAGAAATGCAAAAAAGATTTAGATCAACAAGAGATGGTGAATATAATCTTATTATCGGTGGAAGAAATATGTCTATTTATTGTTATGATATGACTGGTAGAGAACCTAAAGAATATATAACACTGCCTGCTGGTGATAAGGAAAATTTTGCCGAAATTTATGGCAAAAGGTAAAGAGAAACAAAAATTAGATCAAATTAATTTCCTAAGAATAGAAACATATTATTAATTATTGTTTAATAATTTTTAGATTACGAAATCCCCAGACTTGTCCCTTTGGTGGACAAAGAAATGAAAGTTGTCACTGTGTGACAGATCCAGGAACTATTGCTGGAATTACAGCATTCAAGCGAGTGCGAATAGATGTCAATAAATTTTTTATCATAGGTAAACAAAATTCAAATTACTAAAATTGATTAAAAGAAAAGAAAAAAATTACAAAGCAAATCTTTTTTTTCAACAGAAATTTCACTATAATAAAAAGTTGAATTATTATCAAAAATTCTATAGTTTGAAAATTTGAATATTTATTTGTATGGAAAATATTTGCTTTTTTTTCTTACCTCCAGTGAATATTTGTGTTTTCTTTTAGCTGATGACTACAGATTTTCTTGGACAAGAGGCTCAAAACGTGTGGAATTTGGAAAGGCCGGCGATTGTTACAGTTTGGCTAATTGTCCTCAGGGTCGATTCAGCATTAATTTAACTGGAACTTTCTTCAAAATATCGCCTCAAGTTTCATGGAGTACACAAAAATCGAGAGCTTTCCTCTCAATTAACCGAATAGTAAGTTCCTTCAATTTTTATTTATCTGCAAAAGAAATTTTTAAATTATTCACTGTACAATAGTAAAAAAAAAAAACAAATTCAAATACTTAATTAAATTCAAAAAAAATTCAATTGCAACTTAATTTATTGACTATTTTTCTAGAATGATCAATTAATTGTTGGTAAATGTGGAGGCTATTGTGGATTTTGTGCGCCTATGTCTGGTTTAAAACTAGATATTCTGCCGCCATAGAAGTTAAAAAAATTTCTAGGAATTTATAATCATTTTATCAGGATTAAAGAAATCCAACAAGAAATTTATACTGAGAAGTCAAAAAAAGAAAAAAATATGAAAGAAGCTCGAGAAGCAGACTGCACGTCTTTATGGCGAAATGTACATATTCGTGCCATATAAGTCTTCACCAAAAAAAAAAAAAAAAAAAGAAAAAAAAATGAAAAGTATGAAAAAATGAACTGCGTGCGTGTTCGTGTCGAATGAATAATGAAAAAAATACCAGTTTCAGAAAATAAGAAAGAGAAAAAAAGCTCCAACTTCCATTTCTTCTTGTAAAAAGAAGTTACTTGAATTTTATTTACATTAATCGCTCTAGAAATTGTAAAAAGGAATCATTAAGTACTGTAAAATATTTCAAATATTAAAAAAAAAATTCCAAATGCGCCCATGACGTCGCACAAGCAATCATCATTCTTCAGAATTGCGCTTTTTTCATTTTTTATTTAAAAGATTTCTGAATTTTTCAAAAATTAGTTACAATTAAAATTTTTATATTTATAACATTGATCACATATTTAATTTTTATTTTCAAATCGAATTTAAAATTTTTTTATCAGTTTTTGATTTTTGTAAATTTTCACCCACTAAAGTAAGTAACTGAAATGACAATAATAATAAGTAAAAAAAAGATAAGCGCATTTAATTTATATTTAAGAATGATTTTTGTTCTCGTATTGTTTCGTTCTTAACTATTATTTTTACTATTTAACATTTTAATAGTAGTTTAAGAACAACTATACGCATATACATATTTGCTGAGACCGATTTTTTTTTTATCGTCTCTTTATTGCCATGAGTACTTGTAATACAAATTTCCAAGTAGAAATTCATTACAAGAATGCATTTGTACTAGTCATTTATTTACGAAAAAATTAAAATATCTATTTTTTTTTCAATTAGAAAAATTGTCAGTGTCATATAATGCGATACTTTAAAATTTGTTTGTATTTAGAAAAATAAGAACAATTAGTAAACTTAAAAACAAAAATAAATCAATTAAACAAAAATTAATTACTTTTAAATTAATTAATTTAAACAAAAAAAAACAATTAGTTAATTGAATGTTGTAAAAAAAAGACTCTCTTAGCGAGTAAATTGATAAATTATTATTTAGAACCTACAACAAAATAATACACTGCCATATTTGTTTATCGTGGCCTTTTGGCCCTATTAGTATTTATTGTACAATCGTCCATTTGCGCTTTTAACAAAAATTATACATGTATGCAATCTTGTATAAAAAAAAAATCGTTAGTTTAATTTTAGATTAGAATTGATTTATGTAATTTTTTTCATTACAAGAAAAATCATGATTAATGTTTCTCCTTTTTTCCCCCACAAAAAAAATGTCCGTAATAATGATAAATAAGTACAAAATATTCTTTACTAAATGTTATAAATTATAACAATAAAAAAAAGTATTTAACGTAATTCGAAATAATTAAAATTTCAATGTTTATTTTGTATTGCAATAAAAAAAAAATTGTATCGATTTTTAGTAACAATTTTGTTAGACTATCTGACTTTTTCTACTTGTAAGTGAATCTTTTTTTTTTTTAAATAAAAGTAAGAATCATTTTTTTTTTTTTATAAATGAGTGTACATTATTTTTTCCACTATATTCCTAAAATTGAATTTAAAATTTCAATTATTTTCCCAGGTCAAATGTAAAATTCCCATATTTAAAAAATAATTATAATTATATAAAAATAAAAAAATTAATTTAAATTTAGCAAGGGGAAATATGAATTATATTTTTTAGACTAATATTTATTTTATAATTGGTAATTAAAAAAAATAAAATAAATGGAGCGTTAAATAATAATAAATTTAAGAAAAAAAATTAAATAGATTATAATTTTAAAGATTATAAAAAAAAAAAACTGAAACTGAATATCAAAACGCATGCGTGTAATGTATTTGTAGTAGAGACCAACATCAATACACAGAAAATCATATATCTATCTAAACTAGAAATTCCGTTTATCCAGCTGATCCAGAAGCTTTCCCTTCCCTGAAACACATTAGTATTATCAAGTGCTTTCAACAATACTGTAATATATTTCTGACTCTATAGGACATTGTATTTTTTTTATCAATTATAACATAAATCAACAACAAACTGTTGCTCTTTGTGACTGTCTTCGAAAGACTATATTTCAGTAAGTAATGATAAATATTATTTTACACATTTTTCATTTTAAATTATATAAAATAATAAAGAAGTGAGGTTATAAAATTGTACAAGAGCTCAAGGTGACTTTCATTTAAAAATTATTCAATGACTTAACAAATAAAATAAAACAGGGAGTGTCACAGGAAAACAAAATCGATTCACAATAATTAAAAATCAATAATTTATCATTTTTAATAATAAAAAAAAGTAAGCTCCAAAATCATAAACTGTAATTTTATTTCCCTTGAAAGTTTGTAAAAAATTTTGTTCTTAATTTTTTTTATAAATAAACTTATTTTTTATTAGTATTGTGATATTTTACCCTCTTAAAGAAAAAAAAAAAAAAAAAAAAAATTAAAAAAAAACTACTTTGTGGAGATAAAAATCACGTGCTGTTGCAAACAATGAAATCAATCAAATAATGACAACTACTGATTATTTTCATTTACAGAAAAACAGTGATCATGACTACCAGATTCTCTGACATTAAACTTGGACCTCCCATTGAAGTTTTTGCCCTTTCAAAGGCCTATGTGGATGATACGTTCGAAAATAAAGTGAACCTCGCTGTGGGAGGTAATTTATTTTAATTTATTTTCAAAAATTTCATTTTTCTATTATACGAAATTGAAAAAAAAAATTTTTATTCATTTGTTGAAACTCTAATAACCCATATAAATAGATGGAAGTGTATAAGTTATATAACTCTTTGGAGACTGACGTCAATAAACGTGATCACACAAATATGGCTTTGAATAACTACGAAAAATACTTTACATAAAAAAAAATATATAGAAAAGATATTGCCCTATTTAAAAATATGTAAATAATTTTTAAATACATTTTTTTTCTACCTCAATTATTCAAAAATTCTAAAATTCTAAAATACAATTCTAAATTTACTGCTCAAATAAATTTTAGGAAATTTTCATTTCATAAATAGATATCAATTATTTTAACGATCATAAGATAAATTTATATTTATACTTCCGTCAATTGGCAAAAATTCAAAATAATTTCGGCAAATATAAATTTATAAAAATTAAATGATAAATTAATAAAATAAATAAAAGATTTATAAAATTATAAATAAGGTAAATAGGTATAAATTTATTTTTTTTTTTTTAATAAAATATATTAAATTTTGAAATGAAAAAAAAAAATTCTATTTTCAGCTTACCGAACAAATGAGGGGAAACCATGGGTTTTGCCAGTGGTTCATAAAGTTGAACAAAATTTAGCCAATGATAATTTACAAAATCATGAATATTTGCCAGTTCTTGGTTTGGATTCATTTTCAAAATCGGCAACAAGTATGTTATTAGGCGCCAATTCATCAGCAATATTGGAGGGTCGTGCTTTTGGAATACAAACATTATCTGGAACTGGAGCATTGAGAGTGGCCGCTGAATTTTTATCTCGTATTCTTCATTACGACACATTCTACTATAGCACACCAACCTGGGGTTTGTAAAATAAAAAAAAAATAACGTGTAAATTAAAAAATATAAATAGACAAAAAAATAATAGTAGAACAAACATAAATTTTCTTATATGATAAAAAAAAATTTATCAGCGATTTTCAACTTATTTAGATATAAAAAAAAGGTTTTTTTTTTTTAATTTCCATTTCTGATTTGTATTTAATTTTTTGTAGAAAATCATAAATTGGTGTTTATGAATGGAGGATTTAAGAAAGGATGTGAATACCGATATTGGGATGCGGAAAAAAGAGGAATCGATTTGGAGGGTATGTTAATGGATTTAAAAAATGCTCCCGAAAATGCGGTTATAATTTTACACGCCTGTGCACACAATCCAACTGGATGTGATCCTACTTTAGAGCAATGGGCAAAAATTGCCGATGTGATTGTTGAAAAACGATTGTTTCCCCTTTTCGACAGTGCTTATCAGGTTTGTAATTTTTTTTTTTTTTTTTTTTTTGTATTCAGATTTGATTCAATAATCGATATTTTAGGGATTCGCTAGCGGAGATTTGGAACGAGATGCTGCGGCAGTGCGCATGTTTGCTGATAGGGGTATTGAATTTATTTGTACTCAAAGTTTTGCAAAAAATTTTGGTCTCTATAATGAACGTGTAGGAAATATGGCTTTGGTTTTAAATGACACTAAAGAAATAGTTGAAGTAAAATCGCAAATAACATTAATTATTCGTGGAATGTATAGTAATCCTCCAAATCATGGGGCACGAATTGTTTCAACTGTTTTAAATAATATCGAACTTTACGAGCAATGGTAATTTTTAATTTTCGATAATTTTTTTTAAATCCCTAGAAATTGATATATTAATTCTGCGAATTAATTACAGGAAAGATCATATTCGTACAATGTCGGATAGAATTAAAAAAATGCGATCAGGACTACATGAGAGATTAGTGAAATTAGAAACGCCAGGCACTTGGGAACATATTGTCAGTCAAATTGGAATGTTTTCATACACTGGACTCAATGGTAAATTGTAATTTAAAAATAATTTAACATTTAAAATTATATAAATGTATTTTTTTTTTCAGAAAAACAAGTAGAGCACCTGGTAAAACACTATCATATCTATTTACTTCGCAGTGGTCGCATTAATATGTGTGGAATAAATGAAAATAATATCGACTATGTTGCAAAAGCTATTAACGAGACAGTTAATCGATTCCCAAAAATCGAAAATTGAATGCATTTAAAAAATGTGTTTTGAAAAGTACAAAAATGAAAAATACAAATCCTATGGACATTTAATATTTCTAAAAAAAAAAACAATTACTAATGTCCAAAAAAATTAACGTTAAGGACAAATTTTTATTTGTATTTAGATTCCTTTGGACCAAATGAGAAAATAGCAACAAATTAGAATTAATAGTGTATATAATAGAAAATTGCGCAGCATTGCAACTATTTTAATATATAATTCGTTAGCTAAATGTTAGCGTTGACTATATGTAAAATTTGATTTTTACAAAATTTAAAAAAAAAATCCATTTTAATATTCTCACTCTTGAGAAGCTATTTTATCTTAAAAACAGAAGTTTTCATGATAAAAGGTCCTATGAGAGCAAATAAAAAAAAAAGAAAAATGACGTATCATATTATACAATCAGTATGTGCCAAGCTGATTCGTTGACAATATCAATTTAAATATAAAATTCATTAAAAAAAAATTATTTAATCAATTTATATTCTATCATTTAAATATTAAAAAAAACAAGGTGAAAAATTGAATTGAATTTCAAATCGGAATTTACATTCTGTGGCCTTAAATGACACAATGAAAGAATAAAATTTTTAGCCGATTACTGCCAAATGCAATATTAATTAAATAATGAAAATTTCGTCTGATTTTTTTTTACACTATGGAAAATATATTTTTCACCGATTCTTTTATTTTTTAAATAAACTTATTTTTAATATTTACGATTTGATCAAATGAAATAGTAAATTTTTTTATTTTTGATAAAAATCACATTATCAAACGAAATATTAAAACTTATCAAAAATAATTATATCAACGAAAATTAAAAGGATTTGAATATTATATAATACATTCAGAAGATGCTTTTTAGCTAGTAATATTTTTTTTAATTCTAATCTTAATCATTATACTTCGAAATATATTACAAGTGTGAAATTTATATTTGATAAACAGAAAAATATCAAATATATTATTAAAATTATTCCTTTTTTTCATTAGCGCATTTACTAATCAATAGTAGTTTGCTTTATAAAATTGTAGTTCAATTTGAAAGCTACATTTGTACCTTTCGAAAAATTAGAATTTTTTTTTTTCAATAAATGGACATTCCAAAGATTTTTAAAGATAAAAAATATCTGTGAATCTATAATAGTTTTAAATTGTATTGTCAAATATGTTTAATGCTCAAAATTTAATTAGCTGAGAGCATCAAATTTTATTATTAAAAAAAAAAAAAAATATATGTTACTGCATTTGTGTAATAGATTAGATGTACTTTATAGGCATCAATTTGCAATAAAGTTCAACTATGTTAAAATTTTGTTTTTACTTAGAAAAAAATTTGTTCTTGGAATAAAAAACTAAAATTATAAATGAAAATTTAGTCACAATGACTGATTGCGTATAGAAAAAAAAAATAATAAATAAATTTTATATCTACGTAATGATTATTTAAAGACTAAAAATTATATTTACATTTCGTAGAATATTTAAATATTTACATTGTGTATTTGGCGTGGCAAAAAAAACGCTTGCTAAATACGTCATTCTGTCCATTTTGAAACTTTCTTCTTAAACCTTTCACTACCATCAGAATCCACGGCAGTATAAAATCCCATTGCTTTGTATTTTGAGCGCATGTAAATTATATAACCAGCGCATCCTGTTATTGCAACAGCGCCAAGGGCCATTATCACTATATTCTATAAAAAAATAATAAATCAATCGTTACTTTATTTTTTCCCCCCCTAGAGAAATTTTAAATTTCACTACTTAATTCATTTTTTTTTTTAATCTGGTTTATATTGTTAAAAATAAGAAATAATTATTGGAACGCACGTTCATTTTCTTTTTTTTTCTCAGTTTTATCCTAAGACATATTATTAACAATTTAATGAATTCTATTATTCAGAGTTTCTATGTTCTTTGTTAATATTCGAATAGATTTACCTCAATTTGAAAACAAATTTTTTTCGAATAATTTTTCTCGATTTAAAAATAATAATCAAATTAATTTTTTTTTTCCTAATTTATAAAAAATTACATTTTTCCAGAAAAATGGATATTAAAATAAATGAAAAATAATTACCGGTTTAGCGTAGAGTTCGAAGTTTATAGCGCGAAATATAGGAGTACTTTTTAGAGAACGAATTCCTTCACCGGGTGCAGGATCTTTTGCCGGTTGACTCATTTTGATTCTCTTTTTACTGAAATTAAAGAAATGTACACATAAAACTATCTATAATTTTATAATTGACCTTTTTCTTGTAAGTTAAAATATCAGTTTTCAGTATGCGAAAATTTGACTTGTTAAAACATGATGAAACCTGAGTTCTGCGACACAAAAGTGAGGTTAGAATTTGAGTTTCATTGATTTACTTGTTAAAAACCGAATGATATTGCTCGATAGTATAATATCATTTGAATTAAGAGTAATTTTCACTATTATAGCATTTAAGTGCATTAAAAACATTTAAATAAGTGAGTTTGAAGATAAAATGTAACAAAAAAAAAATGTATCTTACCGGAGGAATGTTGAAAATGATGCAAGTACTCCCGTAAACTGAAACTTCTACAACTAAATACTTTTACCTTCTTCTTAAGCAAGTTTAAAACAAACACTTTTAACTTTTACAACATTTTCTTTAATATTTTAAATAATATATATAGACATTTAAACAACTGTTTGGTTTGCTGTCTTCTTACATAATGGCGTCTTCACTGGAAGGAAGGAAGTCACTTAATGAATTTTGTCCACATTCCACCAATCAGAAAACACGTCTGTTACAATGCACCAATCACATTTAAATATACGGTCAATTTTAATAAAACGCGGTAAATTTAAATGTTTTTCATCAGTGTGAGAGAGAGAGACCTCTAACAGTGGATATTCAAAATAAATTCCAAATTTGATTCCACTCTTTTTATGTGAATTGATTCATGACGTGACATGGTGGATTGTATGATCTAAAAAAGATGTTAATTTATCAGAGAAAGCGTTTTAATAAAATTAGATAATGATTCGTTTATAATTTTGGTGCTCTAAAAATCTGCTCATTATTAATTAATTAGAACGTGAAGAATATATTGTTTAAATCAATGTGAATAGTTGAAAATGTGATTATTTTCATTCTTTTGACAGCTGGTTAACAAGTAAGATGGCGATCATGTCTAATATTAAATTTACTTGTTTATTTTAATAATATCATTAAATTCGATGTATTTTTTTTTTTTTTAATTTAATTAAGACATTTATTAAATTTATTTTCTTTTCTCTTTATTGTCAATTAATTGAATAAAGTGATTATTGTTTTTTTGTTTGCAGTAAATTATCCCCTGTGTTTTTTTTTTTTTTTTTGCAATGAGAACACAGAAAGAATTCAATTTACAGATTGTTTTGTACAATAGAAATTCATTACGTAACTGTCACTTAAAATTCTTGCTTTTTTATCAGTTTAATGTTAATTGACCCGAGTCGTGAAATTCTCTTTTACTTTTCAATTCATTTAAATTGGAAAAATTCTGCGAAATTTTTCGAGAAAGAATTCAATGATTCTTTTATTAATAGAACTCTCTGGATATAATTTATAAAATAATAAAAAGGATATTAAAAAACATTTTTTTTTTTTTTTTCATAGAGTAAAAAGTAAAAAATGGAAAATTATTTAGAATTTAAGATGTATTTGAAGTTTTACTTGAAAATCAGGTCGTGACCTTCAAAGAAAATTGATTTAGATATTTTAATTTTTACGTCTTATATATGTCTTTGTTACTTCCTGTTTTAATAATAGTATGAATTTAAAACTTCTTTTTCAATAAATTTTGAATTTTTTTTTGCTGGCCTTGAATCATTATTTAGGTCGATGGTTCCGGAACTTGCGAGATGTACAAAAAAAAAAAAAATACGGAATGTTTTTAAGTAAATTTTAAGATAAGATTTTTTGCAAATAAAATTCCCTTAATAATTAGGACGTGACTTTATATTTAATTTTTTTTTTATATAATAATTGTTTTAAATGCTTTTTATTTAATTTTAAATACAATTCACACTACGTAATTTGAAAGATAAAGAACAATACAATTATATCGCCTTCGAATTCATTACCTATGCTAATTTTATTCTAATTTGAAATTATAAATATTTAGAATTTGAATTACATTAATGATATTGAATGAAGTTTAATATTAAATTTTCTTTCTAGAAAATGCGGTAAAAAAAGAAAAAAATTTGAATTCTAAAAGGATTCGAGTATCCAAGAGAAGTGAGCAAAAAAGAAAATGATGATGCATTCCTAAACGAGAAACATCTACGACTAAAAAAAAAAAAAAAAACAACAAAACAAATATGTTCGAATCACCAAGGAGCTTGCAGGAAGTCTGCATGGACTTTATCTGCGACAATATCCTTGCGTTGTGTGATGTTCATCCTGGTGAAACTGGTGGTCGACCCAACAGTTGTTCATCTAACTCTTCCAATGGTATTAGAATTTTTTGAAATAAAACAAAATTTATTTTTAAATTAAAATTGATTTTTTTTTTTTGTAGAACCTTCTGCAGGATTTTTACCGGCAAATACTTCAAACAACAATGTAACCTCAGGTCTATCGACGAGACTCAGTTTCAGAGATCCCGATACATTCTTACCAGAAGAAATTTCCGAACAATTATTATATAGTCTTTGTGAGCGTAAAGTTTTATCAGATTTAACAATAACTTTATTTGATGCAAAAACAACGAGGCTTAGGCACGTTAAATTGAAAAATGCCTCAAATCTTTCTGTGAAAGGTTTAAAAATTTTACGTGAACATAAAGTTATAGATTTAGAAGTTAAAGGTTTAAAAATTGCTATCAATGATCTTATAGCTTGTTTAGGTACATGGAGTTTACAAAATCTTAGATCATTAAGTGTCGCCAAGGGGAGTTTTATGGATTGTTCAAGGTATGGGAGAAAAATTTTTTTTTTTTTAAATTCTAATTTATTTAATTATTTTTTTATTTATTCAACAGATATTGTGTTCTTGTGGCATTGAGTAATTTAAGAGCACTACAAACATTAAATGTATCAGGAACAGAATTTAATAGACATGGATTGGATATTGTTGTTGAGGATTTACCACTATTAGAGAGTTTGGATATTTCTTGTACTCAAGTAGATGATATAACGCCATTAAGAAAATGTAAAGATCGTTTAAAAACATTAATAATGTACAATGTAAAAATAAGTACGTGTGGACATGTAGTTTCAGTTTTACTTATTTTAAATGAATTGAGAAATTTAGATATATCGGATGATCGTGATTCTTATGTTTTTGAAATGTTTGCACCAGTGAGATCAAAAATTACCGATTTTCTCAAAGCTGTCCATTGTATGCCTCATCTTGTTAGTTTAGATATATCAGGTACGCTTAATTATTTTTCTAAATATTTTATTTAATTTCAAATTATAGTGAAAAAAAAAAAAAAAAAACTTTAATGTGAGAATTTAAAATTCTTTTTAAAAAGAATTTTAATTCTTTTTAAGGAAAAGACGAAATTGAACCAAAGGACCTGAAAAAATTTATTCGTGCTCATCCAAAATTAAAATTCCTGGGACTTGTGCATTCAGACGCATGCTATGAAGAGAGTTTAATAAATCCTTTTAATAAAAATTATAATTCTGATTTAGTGGTGAGTTGAAATTAACTAATTAAAAAAATTCATTTAGTTTATTTATTTATTTTATTAGGTAAGTGGAACAGCGACGGAATCACAAATTCTCGAATCACTTAGAAGGTATTCGTGTAGGCCAATTTATGTTCAAAAATGTCTTTACAATTTATTTCGTTTAACATCAAGTTCCGATGAAGTGAGAGTTGATATGATTAAATTAGTTATTCCTGGTATGAAAGCACATCCACAGGAATTTCGAATACAAATAGCCGGCACTGCTTGTCTTTATAATCTTACAAAAGGTGAATTGGCAAATAAAATTCATCCCTCAGTGCTGAAACAAGTCGTCGACGTAACATTAACGGCAATGGAATCTTATCCGAATCATTATCAAATGCAAAAGAATACAATTCTCACACTTTGTAGTGATAGAATTTTACAGGACGTTGGTTTCGACAAATACAGGTATTTATTCTCTATTTAAAAAAAAAAAAAGATATTAAATTTTGTATTTACAGATGTGCAAGATTAGTAATGAATAATTTATCGGCGTTCAATGATTCATCGATGAATCGAATGTCGGTGGCGATTTGTTCAATATTGGCGGCGAAAATTTCGACAGTTGAAACATCAATGTTGGGAGCACAACCTCAATATATGTCGAAATTATTAACAATGGTTAGATCAAAAGTTGAAACAACATGTGTGGATATAACAATGAAATTTACATTGTCCGCACTTTGGAATTTAACCGATGAAAGTGCCACAACATGCAAAGTGTTCTTACAAGAAGGAGGAATGAAACTCTTTCTCGAAGTGCTCGATACATTTCAAGGCGAGTCAAGTGTCGAAACAAAAGTCTTGGGCCTGCTTAATAATATTGCCGAGGTAAAAAAAAAAAATCAAATTTTTCTAAATTTTTTTTATTAAATAAAATTAATTTACAGGTTGTACCCTTGAGATATCAATTGATGCAGCCAAGATTTATATCAATGCTTTCATCTCTCTTGGATTCGGAGCATATTGATGTGTCTTATTTTGCGGCAGGTATTGCTGCACATCTTCTTAGTGATAGTCCGGAATCATGGTCGAATTCGTTGCTTCGACCAAAGAGAATTCGTTTATCAGAACAATTGGCACGCGCTGTCACCAATTGGAAAACACCACAAAGTGAAATGGTTGCTTATAGAAGTTTTCATCCTTTTTTTCCACTACTTGAATGTGAAGAAGTTTATGCAGTACAATTGTGGGCCGTTTGGGCTATTCATCATGTCTGCACCAAGAATCGTGAGTTTCATTTTTTTTTTTTTAAACATAAATAGCAAAAATTGTCTATTTTATTTATATCTTTTATCGCCATTTTCTTTGCAGCGAAGCGATATTGCGAGATGTTGATCCGCGATGGAGGTGTAAAGATTTTGGAAACTTTGGAGAAGGAAAGACCTAATTTGGAAACACAGCCGGACGTTCGTACATTGTGTCAATCAATTTTGGTAACACTTGCACAACATTCGTGCTAACAAAAAAAAATAATTCCGAATGAACGGAAAGTACACTATTGGTACGCTAGTCAATTTTATTCATGTGAGAATTTCTCCCTGCATCTAGAATTTTATTTTTGAGTTAAAATAGCGACGAAAAAAAAAAAATTATGCTCGATAAAATTTTAGCTTTTGCGTGAATTTTCTTTTTTTTGAAAAAAAAACACATTCTAGGTGTGGGTTGAATTCCATGTGTTCTTAATATTTTGTTCCGTGTCAAACATGTCGCCAGATATATAAATTATTCAGTATAAAAAAAAAAAATCTAAAAACTATTTAGTAAAATATCCTCGAAAAAGCAAATTTTTTTTTTGCTTTTATGAGTTTTCACACATATACACACAAAATGATATTATAATTAACGATTCGGCCAGCGATCGTTTATCTAGGTTTTAGTTATTAAAAAATAATTCCCAGAATCTCAATTAATTTTGATTGTATAATGAGATTTTATGTAAATTCAATGTTTTTAGGGTATTTTACTAGCGACATTGACTGTCAAAAAAAGAGAGAATACTAGAAAACTAGAGATTCAAAACAATGTCCCGGTATTTTTTTTTTAATTTTATTAATTAATGTTTTAAAAACATTGCAAGTTTTAGAAATTACAAAGTTTAAATGGAAGTTTTTAATTCTTTTTTATGTTTTAATCAATTTTCGTTTTATTAGAGATTAATCTCATATAAACGTTTACGAATTTTTTAATTTTCTTTTAAGAATTAAAAAGGATAATTAAATTTTCTTTATAGAAAGAATAAACAATTGGTACAAAAATATTTTTAATTTTGAAAATTATATAAAAATAATTATTTAATTTTCATTTTAAATAAAAAAATATTTTATAATGATTTTGAAAATCTATGATTTCTAAAACGAATTTTTTCGACAAAATTTGTTACTGGTGAAAGTTACCTTATAAAGCATAATTTTTTAATTTATTCAATCCTATAGAAGTGATTTAACAGAGACCGGTTAATATTTTATGAATAACCACTAATGAGATCAGAAACTGCTAAATATGAATTAAAAATGAAAAGATTCATTTCGAATTAAACTTAACTTCCTGTAAAAGTTCAAAATGTTCAATTAATATTATTACTATTATTAATAACTAGTTATTAATAATAATATTATTACTATTACTATTATTACTATTATTATTATTATTATTATTATTATTATTATTATTATTATTATTAACGTAGATTTTGAAAAAAGTTCTCGTAATTTTTGATGTTGTTTTAGAATTAGAGCATATAATTAGCCAAGATTTTACAATATTGATTTTCTTTTTTCTTTCCGAAAGCTGGTGTCAATTGAGTTTATTCATTTCCTAAAAACTGGTGTTAATGTTTTAATTTTTATTTTAAAGCGTTTCAATTTCCCATCAACGTGGATCAATATTGTCTAACGCTTCAGAGTTAATGAAAGTTTATATAAAAAATAGAAAAAACAAAAAAAGAAAATGAAAACAATCATTAAAAGGGAGGATATCTTTGTGAAGTTAATGCATATTGAACTTGACGACATTTTTCATATTATTATTGTTTGAAAATGTAGTCAAAAGTAAAATGCAAAAAACTGTGATCTATTGGAAAGAATAATACACGAAAAAATGTTATGTTTTATGAAACTTCCGCACTCTTCTATTTTTTTTTTTTTTTTGCTTTTGCAAAAAATTCATATTTCTTAAGTAATAAGGATTTATTTTGAGTGAAATGATTAACTTTTTTTTTAATCTTAACATTAATATATAATTATTATTTTCTTCTCCTGAGTTTTACAGTAATTTTTTTTTTTTTTTTTTTATAATATTGAGATTCTTTTTTGTTGATGCTTCATAAAAAATATAAGTCTATATTCTTTATACAAATCTTTGTACACGGAAGTTTATATACGTTTAAAAAAAAAAAAAAAAATGAAACATGCGTTGTCGCTCTGTACGCGAAACACTTTGATCACTGTATCAAATTGAGTCCTAAAAAAAAAAAATTATCTAAAATCGTTACTGCGACTGTCAGCATTTCTTGATAAAAAAAAAAATGCACTGTCTTGGACACCATTATCTTTATGGAAGTGGCCTTTGTGAATGTTCTTGTTGGGAATAAAATACTGCATCGTGAATCGTTGCGAAAATTCTAAAACTAGGCTTCCCTTTTTCGTAAATATCACATTTTTGTATATTGTCAAATACCGATACCGTACAGGCAGCAAGATAAACTGGAATTTCAATTTGACAATATTCATCAACAATATCTCGCAATGTTTTAACGCCAGTCGGATCAATGTAAGTTAATGCGCTCATATCAATTATTATAAATTGCACATCCAAACTATCACAGTCATCGTCAGTTAAGTATAAGCCTCGTTTTGATAATTTTATTCTACGTTTTAAAATTTTTCTTGGAACAATACCAATGGCTTGTTGAATTTCACTACGAAATTGTCTTTCGGTGACAAAATTCAAATTTCCCGCATAGTGAATTATTTTTATTCCACTGATTTCCTTTGTCTGCAATAGTATTTTTTTTTTAATCTTTATTTTTTATAGATAAAAATATTTTTAGAAAATTTGATTTGAAAAAAAATGTTTTTTTTTCAATTAAGAAAAGAGACTTACTCCTTGATAGCGATTTTGGTCCAGGTACAAGTCAGTATTTGGTACATTTCCTAAAACGCAAGTGTATGATTTGACACTTTGCAATAAAACACTTGCTAGTGACATTAAAAGTCCCACTAATAATCCAATATCTAAATCAATTAAAACTACAGAGAGCACAGTTACAATCCAAATAATTCCATCAATTTTGTTCAATTTCCAAAATTTCGTCAATGCTTTTGCCTGAAGTAACATTCCTTTCAAGGCGACCTAAATATTAATTAATTTTTTGAAAAAAATAAAATTAACTTTTTTTTTTTAAATAGAACTTAAAAATTAAAATTCATTATTGTTTTTTTTGTGTGAAATTATTAAAAAAAATATTTCAAATAGAAAGAGAAAAATTGACTTACCACAATAATAGAGGCCAACACGCATCTTGGTAAAGGCTCGAAAAATGGACCAATCCATAAAAGAATGCAAAGTAACAAAAAACAGGAAACAACACTAGCTAATTGAGTTTTTCCTCCAACTGTTTGTTGAATTAATGATCTACTAAGTGACGCCGAAACTGGCATACAAGAGAAAAATGATCCAAAAATATTTCCTGCTCCCTAAATTTGAAATAAAAAATTTAAATTTCTCATTAATTTTTAATTCTAATAATGTGAATTAGATTTTAAAAATAAATTGATTTTTTGTTTTAAAAAAGTAGGAAAAGAAAAATTATCTTCTTACCATTGCAAATAATTCCTGATTTGAATCAACGTCGTATTGAAGTTTTTGAGCGAATATCAAGCTCATTGACATTGTGACTGTATAAGAAACCATTGTCACTGCAATACTATCCAAGGCAACAGTTGACAGTAATTCAAAACTTGGTATCTCAGGATTTGGAAGTCTGGTGAATCATCAAATTTACCTTAAAAATTTTATAGGAATATTACATCGCAGATGACAAACATTATTTTCTCACTGTAAAAACTTGACTCACCCAGTTGGAATATGTCCAACGGTTCGAATTTCATAGACTGATGAAAGATTGCAATAAGTTGATATTAACGTTCCACTAATTACCGCTATCAATTCAATTGGAATTGGAAAATTACATAATTTACTAACACGAGGCTAAAACAACAAATTTTCAAATAATTTCTAAAAAAATAATAAAATTTATTTAAATTCAAAAAAAAAAAAACTTACTTTCAACAATTCATTATTGAAAACCATAATAATAATTGAAACTGATGATATGGTGAGAGCAGCAAAATTCATAGTTGGCAAACGAATAAATAAATCTATAAGAGTCTGGAAAAAAAAGTGGAAAATTAATTTTAATTTTTCGATTATTGGTCTTTATTTATTTTTTTTTTCTTACGTGCACAGCCTGAAAATATCCCGTTCGTTTCGGCAATTTGACACCAAAGAGGTCAGCGAATTGAGAAATAAGAACTTGAATAGCTGCTCCAGTTGTGAAGCCATTGACGAAGGTCTCACTTAAAAGTGTGCTTATAACTCCCAATCGAAACACATACATCAACAGCTGAAAAAAATAATAATTAAAAAGAATTTCTATTAAAATATTTTCATTTGAAAAAAAATTAACATTAAATATTTCAATAATTAATACTATAGAAATTAATATTAACATTAAAGAAATTATTTTTATATATAAAAATATAATTGAGTTTCCGGATCAAAGAAAGGCAGATAACCCATTTGAATTACATTAGTTATGTGCCCTTCATTGATCCGGCAGCTTAATTATAAAAATTAATATTAAATTATTGATTTTTTTTTTGTAATTAAAAAAAAGTGATTAAATCACCTGTATTAATCCAACCATGAAGGTAACGGAAGTGGCCACTTGTATATTTGTATAGCCACCTTGAGAATTAAGTGATTGATTTTCATTTGACAAAGTCGTCAAATTTTTATTTGATAAAGTACTATCTGCATTTGATAAAGCTGTTACAACTTTACCCGTCATGAGGCACGCAACAGCAAAAGTTCCTATTTTTAAAGAGAAAAAAATTTATTAAATCGCCTTTAAAAAAAAAAAGAATTCTATTTCAAATAGAGGAAAATTTCAACAAAAAAAAAAATTATTTTTTTCCTCATAAAGTAATTATATTCTTTACGCGGAAACACGGAAAAATCATGATAATTATTAGAAAAACTAATTCGCAGAAAATAAACTTAATTTTTTTATTTTCGTAAAAAATAAAATCTCACCCATAGACACGTGTTTCGATGTTCCCAAAAAAAAATAAATAAGTACGGGAAAAAATGCCATATAAATTCCAACAACTGGAGGTACATTGCCCAACATGGCATAAGCCATGCCTTGAGGAATGTGCATAATTGCAACAGTAATACCGGAAATTATATCACTCATTATGTCTTCTTTCCAATTATAATTTTTCAGCCATCTAACCACTGGTATTGTATTTGCCGCATATGTTTTAAAATTATTTGGAGTCATTGTTTTTTTAAATTTAGAAGTAACTGTAAAAAAAAAAAACGAAAAAAAGTAAAATCAAAAAATACAATTATTAATTAATTATAGTTATAAAAATTTTGTTGCATTCTCACTGGTTGCTCTTGGTTTCTCATAATTGTAAATTTCATTTAAAACATTCTGCTCATACAATGGACGTTCCACATGGAGATGTAATTGTGTCTGCTTTTCCATTATACCTTTAATTTTATTAAACAATTTTGTTAATTAAATAAAAACAGATCTCAATTAAAATAATTTTCAAATAAAATAAATTAATTAAAATATTATACAATTTAATAAATAGTATCTAGTTAAAATTTTTTTTTACAAAAAGAACAAAAATCGTAATTTTAATATAAATACTGCATTCGACTAATAAGTAAATTACTCTTAATTTATTTGCCATTTACTTATTTCAATTTTTTTTTTTCTTGTAAATAGAATAACAAATAATGATTACAATTGCCTCGGTTATAAAGAATATTTATGATTTCTTAGACAAGCAATTTGTTTTAAAGTATATAATCACATGTTTTACAATCTTGCAAAAATTAATTTTTGTTTGCAGAATATTTTACAACTTTGAAATTTAAATAAATGAAAATAAATACTATTGTGTAATAAAGATAATAAGAAATCATATAATTAAGTAACAATGTTTTTTTAACTGTTATATAAATTTTCTTAAAATTAAATTGTAAAATAAATAAATTTTCCAAAAAATAAATAAATTCATAATCGTTTTGAATACATAGTTCTAAATTGTTAAACTGAATATAGTATATGCCTTCGAGATAATTCTCGAATATTGATAGAAGTCATTAAAATAATTAACATCAATTTGTGTGTTGTAATCGCAAAAAATTTAATCACATGAAAAAAAAAAAAAATTGTCAAATAACCTATAAATTTTGAACAAATTAAAATATTCTACAATTTCTATTGACAATTCAATTATTACTATTAGAATTATTAGTAGAAAATTTAATTAAATTCTCACTTGGTATTCGAAGTGCTTCTTGAGAATCATCCATCCTGATAATGTTAATAAATTGAATAGCTTACTCCACTTTTCCCACACCGCACACCAGCTGATGAATATTACACAAATACATAAATGTAATAAAGAAATAATACTATTTTTACATAGTTTTAACATTAATCAATAAATCACTAATTATAGACGCAGATATTCAAAAATATATCAACTTCTTATCTACCACTGTGTCAGTGTTTAAAAAAAAAAAAAAATTGGAGAAAATAAAAAATGTTTACATCAACTCAGCATAATAAATAAATTTAAAAAAATATAATATAATTAAATAAATTAATGACAAAAGTAAATTACAAAATGTTATACAAATATAAAATAGACAACTAATTTGTTAAATGAAGATGTATATATATAACAAAAACAGAAAACTAACCTTTTTAACATAAATAAAAATGTTTCAATATAAATTAAAAAAGAAATAAAAATTCATCAATCGTGTGAAACCTTTAAATGGCAACTGCTACAAAATTGAGGCATGATTTGTATTTATCTTCCTGTCATTCAAGGACGAATATTAATAAAAGAAACAAACTTCATTGACATGACACAATAGTGTAGACATTTCTTTTCACGTGCGTGCGCACCTTGTTATGAGTCAGGACTGGTCAGAGCAATAATAACCAATCAAAACTAAAAATTTAAATTTTTAATCAGAATATTGATTTTAAAAAAACTAATTTTTTTTTGTAATCCACAAATCCCGAGTTGTTTTTATTTGTTTCTTATATAAATAAAATACACAGTTTCATATTCAATATTTTGTTTTATATTGAATAAATTTTTGTTTAATTAATAAATAGCCCTGATATTAATTATATTCAATTTTGTTTCGTGTAAAATCACAAAATTAATTAAAAATGTAAATTTTAAAAACATTTATATCTCAATATATTTAATTTTTAAATTAGTTGACAGAGTTAAAAATACAAAAACTAGTTCTTTTTTTTCTCTATAATCTATGTGTGTGCGTTTTCCTTGAATTTTTTTTATCAAAACTCAATTTTATGTAATCACAGTTGGAGCATCTCTACCCGTGCACTCTTTAAGTTTACTCAATTGTAAAGCAATCTCAACTAATGGTTTTAATATTTTTTGTGCATCTTCATTAAATGTCGATGGATCCGATTCATAACTTTCAATATAAACACGAATCGTTGCTCCTGAACTTCCAGTTCCAGAAAGTCTATAAATAATTCTCGAACCATCTTCAAACAAAATTCTTAAACCCTGAAAATGAGATTAAAAATTATTTAATTATATTGTAAATTATTTATTTAATATATTTAATAGTAATTTAATTTTCTACCTGCTTATCGGCGACACTATTATCAATTGGATCTTTATATGAATAATTATCAGCCTCTTTGACAATATATTCTTTATTTTGAAAATTCAATTTTTTACCCAAAAATTGTGAATTTTGAAATTTTTCTTCAATATCCTTCATCATTTTATTTGCACTTTCAGCGTCACAATTTTCATAATCATATCTATAATAGAGAAAAAAAAACATATAAGCTCTCTCATTTTTTAATTGTAAAAATTAATACAAACCTCGTAAAGAAATTTCTTCCATAACTTTTCCAATGATCCATTAAAATATCCTCAACGGATTTTCCCAAATTTGCAACAACACTTAACCAAGCGAGTGCAGCCCAAATTCCATCTTTCTCACGAATATGATCTGAACCTGTTCCAAAACTTTCTTCACCGCAAAGCGAAAGACGACCGGCGTCCATTAAATTACCTGAAAATTGACAATATTAATTTAATGAATTAATTATTTAATTTTTCAAATTTTAATAATTTAATAAAAAAAAAAGAAATAAATGTTACCAAAATATTTCCATCCAGTGGGAACTTGAAAACAATTGACTCCAGTTTTTGCCGCAACTCTATCGACGGCTGCACCAGTTGGCATAGATCGAGCATAGCCTCTGATTCCAGTTTTTTTGAAATACGGTATCACGTTTAAATTGGCAGCCAACACCGCAAGAGAATCCGAAGGTGTGACAAAAAATGCTTTCTTTCCAATAATCTAAAAATAAAAGAAAGAAAATAATGTTTTCTCTGCTTCTTTTTTGAATATCTATATTAATTACTAACCATATTTCTATCACCGTCTCCATCAAATGCAGCGCCGAAATCATAGACTCCATTTTTTACAGCATTCACTAAATCCGCCGCATAAGTTAAATTTGGATCTGGATGTAATCCACCAAAATCCTCTAAAGGTGTTGTATTTATTAAATTTGAACTCTTAACTCCTAAATCAATCTCAAAAATTTGCTTCACATATGGTCCAGTCACTAACGAACATAATTTTTAAAAATTAATTTTTCATTCTTTTTCACACAAAATTATTATTTTATTTCCAAAAAAAAAAAAAATACCTCCGTTCATTGAATTAATAAGAACTTCAAATGCAGAACGATCGGAGCTACCGAGTAATAATTTCTTAATACTGGAGAAATCAAAAATTTCTTTCATCAAATCAACATAATCTTTGACAGAATCAATGATTTCAACGGTAAATTGTCGTCCATCAACTTCTAAATTTTGAATTTGAATTTTATCAATATCAACAGCAATTTCGGGTATTATTTTATATTTTTTAATTGTTTTTGTTAATTCAAATATTTTATTTGTAACAGCATCGGGCGCTGGTCCACCATTTTCACAATTAAATTTAATTCCAAAATCCCCATTTGGTCCACCTGGATTGTGTGATGCTGTGAGAACAATACCACCTAGAGTTTTGTATTTACGAATAATTGTCGATACAGCCGGTGTTGAGAGAATACCATTTTGTCCCACTAAAAGTTTTCCAACCTAAAACAATTTTTTTTATTAAAAAAAAATTAATTAGTAAAAAAAAAAATTAATAAAATCTGTAATTTAATAATTACATATTTTTATTATTCATATTAAAAAAAAAAAATAAAATAAATATTAAACATTTAAAATAAATTAAAATATAATAATACAATAATTATACAATAATTATTATCGGAAGTTCTATTTTATATCAACAAGATAATAATGTGGAAGTTCGCATTCTTATCTCTCGCATTGTCAAAAGTTCGAGACCCTTGTGACTGAAGATAATGTAAGATAAGATATGATATATTTTTCTCAAGATTTTTTTTTCTTTTTTTTAAATAAGAAACAAGAAAAGTGTTTATAATTTTAAATATATAGAAAAGTTTACTTACCCCGTTAGCGGCGGCAATTCGAATAATTTTTGCAACAACTTCTTTTCCATAAAATCGTCCATCTCCACCAACAACCAATGTACATCCAGCTAATTGATTATCCAGAGCATCAAGTATTGCTTGTATGAAATTTTCCGTATAATGTTTTTGTTGAAAAACACTAACAGCTTTTCGAAGTCCTGAGGTACCCGGTTTTTGTCCTTCAAAAACAACAGTTTCAACAACTGTACTTGCAACTTTAATCGACATTTTTCTTGGAAATAGTAACTTGACAACGTTTACAGTCTTATATAATGGAATATCATTTGTTCACTTTAATTAAAAAAAAAAATTAAAGTCACTCCTCAGTGTACCGATAAGATTTTATTTATAATGCATGCAAGGTCATTGCAAGGGCAAAACAGACATCTAGCAGACGACACATTTTACCACGAGGAGGGCTGTCATCAGGGTTGGGTTGATGCACATTATTATCTTCTTTACTTACTTACACATAAAAGTAATTACAAATTATTAATTATTTATTACATATAAAGGATACATATAAAGGATTTTAATAATATTTATTAAAATAGTGAATTTTTTTTTTGAATATTTAACTTGTCCGTAACGATAGATGTCACTCTTTGATGAATTTGATTGGCTGTGAAATTCAACCACGTGGAACATGTGACAGCTTTCAAAAAAGGTTATGTTCTTTGTTTATTAAATTTTTTACTGTCAACAACAATTATAACCTTGAATTATAATTTAATGATACAATAGAATATATAGTGTATAAACAAATAAGAAAATGACTGACAATGAAGAAATATTTAATTTTATTATACAGTCATTTTAAATAGTTTATAATTTAAAAATTAGTTTTTTTTTTATCTCTTCTTGTAAGGTGAGATCATTCGTCTGGGATTTATTTTGGAATAATTTCATATTTGTCGACATTTTATACCTATATTATTCAAATTTATTTATTACCCCCACTTTTTTTGATTAAAATATGGACATTTTAATTACCAGAGTAATATAAGATTCAGATGTTAGACATGATGTTAGTCACACTGTTTAACAAGTAGAAAAACATATATATTTGTTAAAACCTCAAGATCACAAATAACAACGAAAATTTGATATTGTTTTTAGAACAATTTATATATACAGGATTTATTTTTCTCCTATTCGTAATGTATCGTTCTTTGAAAATCCAGTTTATGAATAAAAAGTAAGTAATTTTAATTTTTTAATTTTATCTTTTGCTATTTAAATTTAAATCAGAGAATTACTATAAGTATGAAACAATCTTTAAAATTCATTTAAAAAGGAGTTAAAATTTTTCTTAATATAAGTATCTATTGAAAACAAATTTAATTTATCAGATAAGTTGAATTTTAATTTTTCAATAGCAAATAAACGTCGACATGTGTTAATCAAACATATATTACAACATTGCCTTCTATTGCATACACTGATATTTTTAATTTTTTTTCATTTCTTTTTATTACATTTAATAATATTTCCTTAACTTTTGAATTATTTAAATTTGAAAAATGAATTATTATTACAAAATAAATTATGATAAATTTATTAATCATTATTTTATTTAATTTCTATTACAGTAACATTTTTTTCTTCTTTCAGATTATTTATACCATTAAAAAATTATCAAGAATATTTTAAACATGCCACAAGTCACAAATCACATTTTCAGGAAAATAAAAATAATTCAAATGCATCATCGGAAAATTTAAACACTAATTATCAAAGGTATTTTATCAGCAGTGCTATTACATTATCCGCTTTTGGAGCCTATTATTTGTACAATTCAGAATTGAAAAAAATATTTGCCTTAGAACAAAAAACATGTGGATTGAGAAGAAATGATTTACGTACGTATACAGCTGAAGAGGTGGGAAAACATGACAATAAAGAAACAGGTATTTGGATATCGTTTAAAGAAGGAATTTATGATATCACCGATTTTGTCGATAAACATCCAGGGGGGCCGAAAAAAATTATGATGGCCGCTGGAAGTTCAATTGAACCATTTTGGAATATATTTGCTAATCATCATCAAAATGATATTTATCAATTACTTGAATCAATGAGAATTGGCAATCTTTCAATAGATGATATTAATTCTGAAGAAAATAAATCTAATGATCCATATGCATGTGAGCCAAAAAGGCATAAAGCTTTGAAAATTAATGGTCATAAGCCATTTTGCGCTGAACCACCATCTTCATTGCTTATCGAAAGTTTTGAAACTCCAGCGTTAGTTTTTTTTTAAGTCTTAAAAATTATTTTTCTATTTATCTGTTTATTTTTTAAATTTATTATATTTTAAATAAATTACTCTTTTGTATTTTTTAAAAACTAATTTAAATATTTAACTTGATTCTAGAGAATTATTCTATGTAAGAAATCATTTGCCAGTTCCGGAAATTGATATTAAAGATTATTCACTAGAATTGGCAATCGAAGAGACGACAAAAAAAGTATTTAATTTAAATGAATTGAAAAAATATCCAAAGTATAGTGTAACAAGTGCAATAATGTGCGGTGGTAATCGTAGATCAGAAATGGCACAGGTAGAAACGAAAATTTTTATAATAATTGCGGAAATAGATTTCAAAAAAAAAAAATTTCTTTATTGCAGGAAAAGCCATTAAAGGGACTTAGTTGGAATGTTGGTGCAATTGGAAATGCCACGTGGTCAGGAGCAAGACTTTGTGATATTTTAGAAGATTTGAAAATTGATGAAGAAAAATACAATCATGTTCAGGTGTGTTAAAAAAAATTAGGTATCTTTAAAAAATTAAAATATTTCGAATTTATTTTTCATGAATAATTTCAGTTCGAAGGATTGGATTATGATCCATCTGGTTCGCCATATGGTTCAAGTATTCCCATTGGCAAAGCTTTTGATCCAAGATCAGATGTGATTTTAGCTTATGAAATGAATGGTGAACCAATTTCTCTTGATCATGGTTATCCAGTTCGAGTAATTGTTCCCGGTGTTGTTGGCGCAAGAAATGTTAAATGGCTAGGTTGAAAAATTTACAAGTTAAAAATATCAATAAATTGTGATTTTTCTAATTAAAATTAATATTTTTATTATTGTAATTTTAATATCTTTTGATAGGAAAAATTATAATTTCAAAAGACGAAAGTCCTGCACAATGGCAGCAAGGTGATTACAAGGGATTCTCACCTTCAACAAATTGGGATAATGTTGATTTTTCAAAAGCTCCAGCAATTCAAGAAATGCCCGTGACATCAGCTATTTGTGTTCCGGAATCAGGAGATAAAGTCACCGTCAAAGATGGAAAAATTTCAGTTAAAGGTATAATTATAAAAAAAAAAAATAACCAAATTCGTCAAAAATTTGATAAAATTGTAAAAAAAAAGGATAAAAATTAATAAATAATTATTAATTATTTAATAATTTGATAAAATTTCAAGGATACGCATGGTCTGGTGGTGGAAAAAAAATTATCAGAGTCGATATCACAGCGGATAGAGGTGAAAGTTGGTACACAGCTGATTTAGTGGCAGAAGACACAAATGCAAAACCAGGACGATATTATAGTTGGAGTTTATGGAGTTTAGAATTACCAATAGATGTAAAACAAAAGGAAATAGAAATCTGGTCGAAAGCTGTCGATTCTTCGTACAATGTTCAACCGGAAAGTTTTAAAAATATTTGGAATCTCCGAGGTTTTCTCTGCAATGCCTATCATAGAGTAAGAGTACAAATATAGAAAATTTCTCAATACAAAAAAGACTGATAAATATTAGTATATTTATTTTTTAGTTAAATTTTTAGATTCAATTTTTTTTTCAATTGAAACGAATTAGAGAAAATTTCTATTTAATCGAAAGAAATTAATTTTGTTATTAATTTAATTGAAATTTATTCAATAAATTAGTTTTTTTTTTTAAAACAAAGTATAAGAAATATAAATAACTAATTTTGGTGATAAATTTCTTAAACGGCGTGTTTACAAATTTTTTGATGATCTATTGTCTTGTTAAAAAAATCAAATAAATTGTCCAAACTCACATCATTACGTGTGGAATTATTTAAATCGTGTAATTCAAAGAGTGGATTAGAATTTGTCGCCAATTTACCAGCGACAATAACATAAGGAAAACCACATTTTCGGGAATAAATTAAACGTTGACCAATTGTTAATTGTATTCTATCATCGATTATAAAATCGGTATTTGTTTGAGATAAAATATCACATATTTTTTCCATATATTGTAATGCCGATTCTTCTTTACTGTTTTCCTGGAAAAAAGAGAAAAGAAAATATCCCCTTAATAATTCAATGAAATAAATTTCTGTAAATTTAAATAATTAATTTAAATCACAAGATTTAGTATTTATAAATTTAAAAAAAAAAAATTCATACTAACTTTTGGTGGAATTATGCAAACAGTATAAGGTGCTAATGAAATTGGCCATCGAAGTTCTTGTTCTGTAGATAAAACTTCAGCTGCTGATGCTATTAATCGAGTTATTCCGATTCCATAACAACCCATTGATAATGGTTCAATATTATGATTTTCTTTGTAAATTGCTTTTAATGGTTCAGAATATTTTGTTCCTAAGAAAAATGTGTGTCCAATCTGGAATTGAAAAAAAAAACAAATAAATTTTAAATTTCAATTAAAACTTATTTTTAAATTTTCAAACTACCTCTGCTGTATTAATTTCAGAAAAAGAATTTTTACACGTTGGACATGTATTTTCATCGGTGGAATTTTTATTAATATGATAATCACACTGTGAACATGACAATACAATGTCTTCTCCAACTTCCGAGGGATAATGATATTCATGTGATAAGGATCCACCAATTAATCCAGCAGATCCAATAGCTGTAAAAAATTAATTCCCCTTAGAACGAATTTTTATAAATGAAATTACTTAAATTAGTTTAATTAACAATTATATAATTAAATATTTTTCACCTTTTTTATATTGAATTCCAATTTTATTGAATATATTTTCGTAGGCTTGATTAACAATTTCATAAGTTTCTAATGCTTGTTCTGGTCCAGTATCAAATGTATATAAATCTTTCATTATAAATTCTCTACTCCTCAAAAAACCTTGACGAGGTTTCATTTCATCTCTCCATTTACTTGATATTTGATATAATCTTAAAGGTAGTGTTTTTGGTGAAAGTGGTCCAACATTCGATATAAGATCAGTTATTGTTTCTTCATGTGTCTAAAATACATTTATCATTAAATTGAAATGTTTAAAAAAAAAAAATACGAATTATAAATTTTACAAAAGTTAATTTACAGGACTTAAAACATAACCAGCATTATATCTATCTTCAAGTATGAATAATTCACGACCAGCTTCTTCAAGTCGATTAGTTTTTTTCCACAATTTTCTCGCTGCTAAAGCCGGAAGAAGAATTTTTTGTGCATCAATTTTTGATAATTCAATATCAACAATTGCTGTTAATTTTTCCAATATACGATAACCCAAAGGTAAAAGTGCATACATTCCTGTATTACATTTACTTATTATTCCAGTATCAATCATGTGCTAAAATTTTGATTAATAAAAGAAAATAATTTATCAAATTTTGAAAAAAATTGATAAAAATAAGTTTAGAAAAATATTTAAAAATAACAGCAAAAAACATTGTTTATAGGTTATAATAATTGTCACAATACTCACTTTATAGCTTTTAGAAATTTCTGTTTTTGTTATTGATGCATTTTTATGTGGGATATTTAATGGTTGAAATAGTTTTGAAACTCTGTGATAATTATTGAAGAAATTTTTGGACATTTTTGGAAAAAAAATATTTAAATATATATATATGTATGAATGTAAACAATCAATAGCAGACGACAAAATATCAGCTGTTCATTGATGCGCGTGACGTATCTGCGCATTGCCAACATGTCAAAAAAAATTTTAAGACCAATGTTTTTAGCAAATCTTTCTTATCTGTCAAAGATTGATAAACGTTTTTAAGGTTATTTTCAGTCAATTTATTATAATTACAATGTGTATTCCTCCTACACACGACATTTTATGTCATTAATGAAGATGAGTGGAAAGTTTTCTTAGTATTGTAAATTCAATAATAAAAAATAATCCATGGATTCAACCACGCCAGATTCTTGTAATTAACTGTAGATTAAAAAGAAAAAAAATGTCAAATACTTTCTAACGAGATGGAAGACAAAAATCAGGTACTTAATAACGAAGAAAACAATTTGGGAAAAAATTATCAATTAACTGAGGATTTGGATAACAATAAAGGTATGTAACGTCAAAGTAATATCATTTTTATTGTTGTCATTATTGTTTCTAGAATTTCTACGACGAAATCCAGATGTTCAAAAATGACTTATTTTTCTTGTTTGTACTTCATTTTATTGATTGTGTCTAATTATTTTCTCAATAATAACACTTGAACTTTGTTATCATATCTTTATAGATTGCAAAAAAGTTGTTTTAATTGTCCGATTAACGTTTGTTTTTCTCCGTTAGAAAAAGAAAAATATTTTTTAAATATAATTTAAATTTTCAGAAATCGATAGTCAAACGGAATTAAATGCAAATCACCAAGATGAGGAACTTCCTTCCGATGATGAAGAGAATGAAACAATATTTACAAAGACAAATACAAATCTTTTAAATTCCCTTTTTGAAGAGTCGAGAAATTTTACCATAGACACTGAATCGTCAAATAATTTTGAAATTTCAAATTCCAAAAAATTATTTTCATTAAATTTACAAAATGATGATGAAGAAAAATCTATTTCTGACGAAATAAACAATGATTCAACTAAAGTTGTTAATATTTCGTCAAATAGTTCATCGCCTGTTAAAACAGTTTGTATAATTGAGAAAAATTCCGATAACACATTTGAAGAATCAGATAAAAATCAATTAGTTTCAAATTTAAAAAATGAATATAAAAAATTGAATACACTAAAAAATTATCGACCAACATTATCAGATGATAGTAAACTTGTTAAAATTTCATTACCCTCAAATCCAATAAATTTAATGCAATCAAACGCTCAATTTCTCAATAAAAGTCGAAATTTTTTTAATTTTATCAGTGAAAAATCATCAAACATTATGGAAAAAACTTTATTACCACATAATATTACAAATCGTTATAATTCACTTTTAAAATTGACAGATTCTAATAGTGTCAAGAAACAAATAGAAGAAACAAGTTCTGAATCATCATCATCATCGTCAGTTGATCTTATCTCAAGTTCCGAGATAGATTTATCAAAAATATCAAAAACAACAGATGAACAAATTTCATCAAATAGTATTTATTTTAAAGATGAATCAAATATTGATTTTTCCAATAATGAAATAATTGAAAGAAAAGAAGAAAATTCTTATTTAAATGATAATTTTGAAAAAAGTAATTTGAATAAAAAAATGAATCATTCTCCATTGGAATCAGAAGAAAATAGTCCAAGACAAATTTCAGAAGAAGATTCCGAAAGTTCTTATCGTGATGATTCAATTGATTCGGCTATTTCAAAAAGTCCAAATAATGAATTATATAATCATCCAACGTATTTAGCACTTTTGAGAGATTATGCGGCGATGAAAAAAGAAAATGAAAAATTAATTACCAAATTGTCAAAAAATGAGGAAAAAAATCAAAATTCCGAATCTGAAAAGAATGAAGAATTTATAACCATGGAAAGAACAATTGATCGTTTAACAAATGAATTAAAAAATGCTTTAGCTAATCTTGAATCAACAAATAAAGAATTCAGTATTGCTAATAAGGAACGAGAGTGTATGGTCATGAAATATGCAGTCAGCGAAAAGCAATTGATTGACGTTCAAAGGTATATTATAATTTAAATAAATTTTCTTTTATTAAATTCTAATTTAATAATTATTTTCAGAGCCAGAGATTTAGCTGAGAGAAAATTAAAAGAAATTTCACGTGAACACGAATTACTGCAAAGTAAATTGAGACAATCACAAGGTGAACGTTCGAGAATTTGCAATATTTTAGATAATAAATGCGCCGAATTAGTGGAATTACAAAAACAAATTGATCGTTTAAAAGAAGATATAAATATGAAAGAAGTAAAATTAAAATGGACACAAAATAAACTCAAAACAGAAATTGATCTTCAAAAGGAAATACAACAAAAATTATTAATTGCAACGGTATGTTTTTTTTTAATTTTTCTTTAATTTAGAAAACTTTATAAATAATTCTTTTTTTTACAGGCAAAAATAAATGAAGTAAAAGAAGAAAGTGAATTGATTAAAAAAGAAACACAGGAGACAATGAGAAAATTTCAATTGTCTGAAGAAAATAAAGCAGTTAGTTTGGATCAACAATTAAAGGAACAACAGGCTCAATTAATTTTAGAAAGACACGTGACAGAGGATAAAGAAAATATACGACTTCATTTACAAAAAGAAGTCGAATCTTTAAAGCATCGTCAACAAATTTTAATTGAAGAAAATAGTAATCTCAGTTTGAAATTACAGGATTTTGAAAATGATCGATCGTCCTATGATAGTAGTTTGAGTAATTTAAAATCAATAGCCGATCAACGACAAAATGAAATTGCGGAATTATCATCAAAAGTAGAAGAATTAGAAACTTTCAAAATTCAATTGCAGCAGTGAGTGTCAAAAATTTTCTTTTGTAAAAAAATTTTTAATTAAATTTTTAAAACTTTTTTTTTTGTTTTCAGAAAAGATCAATGTTTATTGTCAATCGAAACGAAAATCAAATATTATGAGGAAACAAATAAAGAACTTCAAATTGATATGCAATCGTGTAGACAACGTGAAGGACAAATGCTTGAGTTTACTCAGAAATTAACTGATAAAAATGTACAACTTCAATCGGAATTAATTGCCAATGAGGCGAAAAATAAATCTTTGGAAAAAGAACAGGGTCCATTACATGAACGTATCGTTGAACTTGTAAATAAAGTGAAATTATTGGAGGAGAGTCTCGCTGCTGAACAAAAAAAACGTTTAGAAGATTGTGAAATACTTGCAAAACACGTCGCTGAACAGACACAATTTTCACAAATTATTTCACAAAAACTCGAAGACAGTGAGGGTGAAAATACAGTTTTAAAAAGGAAACATCAATTATCGTTGAAAGAAATGACCAGAGAATTACAACATTGTAGAAAACGATTGGAAATGTTTGAGACAGCATCTCCTGGCAGTTCTTTGGATCCAACTTCGAGAACTGGTTCCAGTACATCTTTAAATACAGGTCCGTGCAAAAAAAAAATAAAATGTTTTTTAAATTTTCAGTTTCTAAAATCCTTTTTTTTTAAATTGAAAACAAAATTACAATATGAAAATAATTTCAATTAATTTAAAACAAGTTTCCTTTTTGAAAAGAAAATAAGAATTAAAATAGTTAAATAATATTAAATTATCTAATTTTTATTTGATTTTGCAAATATAGGAGAAACAATAAACGGTGCCTTGTCAGATAATAGCAATAGTGCTGATAATTCAATTCAATCAGTAGATAGACAATCGTTAATAGAGAAGATAATAAAAATGCAAAAGATAAATGTGAAAAAAGCAGAGAAAATAGACTTTTTGGAAGAACATGTGCGATCATTGGTCGCTGAATTGCAAAAGAAAACAAAAATTATACAAAACTATATTCTAGTTGAAAATTTCGATGCCATGAGTACTAATGAGAGAGATAGAAATAAGGTAAAATAAAATCAAATTTAATTATAATCAAAAACTAAATGTCAGTAAATACATTTTTCCTTATTAACAGACATAATTAACAAAATTTTGAAAATAAAAAAGTAGATATTAATAATAATAATTTGGCAAAATTTTTTGGTATTACATAAATAATAAATTTACATTTTTAATTATTTTCACGCAAGCGTATCAAGAGTAAAAGGAATGCAGTAAGTTAATAATTTTATTGAAAAAAAAAAAAATTATTATTCATTTTCTACAAAGAAGAATTTTAATTATTTTTTACAAAAAAATTAAAATTTTAATGAATTATAATGTTTTGCCTAATTAAATTAATAAAAGGGGAAAAAAATTTCATTAACAGGCAGAATTAGCAAAATACGGTGGAATAATGGCTTCGGTTTACAATCACAAAGTATCAGACGATCATATGACACTGGAACTCTCCCTCGAGATAAATCAGAAATTGCAGTCAGTATTAGAAGACACATTACTCAAAAATATCACATTAAAAGTAAGTGATAAAATTATAAATAATTTTTATTTTATTTATCTTTATTATTTATTTTTATTATCTCTATTTTTTAATAATAGAAAATAATATAATTTAAATAAATATAAATAATATAAAAAAAAAATTAAAAACAATTTTATAATTAAAATTAATTTTTTTTTTTATTTTCAAGGACAATATCGACACACTGGGAGAAGAAATTGCAAAGCTGACTATGCAAATTCAACAGAAACAAAGTGCAAAGTAAAGATGAATAGTATTTCAAGAACTTACAATTTACCAGGTAAAGTATTATTGTCAAAGGTGCTTTGATATTGTACTTAACAAGAAAGACATTTAGAAAAAAGAAAAGAAAAGACTTTTGAAAAGAAAGTATTTTTAAAAAAGAAACAATTTTTAGAAATGAGAAAGAATTTAAACAAAAGGTATGTATGTGTGTGTAAGACTGGAATTTCATAATTAACGAGCGGAGAACAAGAATTTTTTTTTTTTTTAAAAACAATAATGAAAAAAAATTTTCATAAGAAACAAAGAATTGTCTATTTTTATCTATTTTATTTTCGCATTTTAAAGATTATTAATATTTTATTTTAAATTTTTATTTATGTTTCTTGCCATTTCTAGTCAAATTGTTAAACTTACATTTTCATATAATATTTCAGAAATAGCATATCATTTTATATTTTCCTAATGTATAAATAATCTCAGTTTTTATTTTTAATTAGATTTAGATTATGGAATATATTTAAGTCAATTTTAAATGGGAATTCCTTAATTTTAAGTTTAAAAAAAGAAACTTTAAAAAATATTTCAATTTTTAAAAAAAGCTTCCATTTAATTTCAAATTGTCAAAATAATTTGAAAAAAAAAAATATTTGTACATATTGTATCCCCAAAAGCGCATTGGCGTCTAAAAAATGTTTAATTACTATTTGTTATAAAAAAAAACAAATCTCTATGTATGAAAGTAAATGAAAAATATAAGCATGTGTTATTCTTAAATTGTGTTTAAAAATTTTAATCTTACCAAGAAACATAAGAAATTAAAAGCAAAATTTTATTCACAAAAATTGTTGGCATCTTTTTTATTTTGAAATTTCATTAATAATATAAGAATAGAAAAGATAAATTAATTTTTTTTTTTTTTTTGATTACTGCATGAAATTTATATTTTTGAATGAGAACCTCGACAGGTCTTTTAATTTTAACTACTGAAGAGGTGTAATTTCTCTCTAGAATCAACCCTTCTTTTGCATAGTTGCACAGTATACGTTGGTGCTATTAAACCATGGTGTATCAAAGCCCCTGAAGCTCGCAGGACCCTAAAACTCGCTCCTCTCTAGAATCCCCTTTGGATGATGAGAAGCCTGGATCCCGAGAGCGCGCAGCCTCTCTCTCTTTGTCTTTAAAGCTGATGTACTCTTATCAAATATATTTTCCCATCGTTCGCGAACTCAATTTAAAGCAGATATTCTCTTAACGTAAATTCATCGTTGAGATATGAACATATCGGTTTAAAGTCGATTTATTTTCGGATGGTATTTTCTCCTCTCTACAATTTTATTCGCCCTTTCAAATAAATTCACCCTCGCTCTTGCCCGCGCAGCTCTCCCTCTTTTAATTTCACTTGTTTATCTTTTTTTTTTTTTTTTGTTTTTTTGTTTTACCCTTCGCGAAAGCGAAATTCTCTACAACCAAACCATGTAATGTTGAAAGTCTAAAAAATATTTGAGAAAAGTTTTCTATTTCTTTTTAATTTTCTAAATGTAAATTTTTTTTTTTTTAATCTTTAGCTCTGCATTTTTTTTTTTAGAAAATAATTTCGATTATTTGATTGTAGAATACTTTTTTTTAAATTCCAATTATTTTGCATAAGAGAAAAAGAATATTTTTCACAAGGATAAGAGAAAAAAAGGATCAATAAACATCATTGCTAATTATATTTATTAACTCCTTAAAAAGGACAATTTTTCGCAGAGAAAAATGTTTGTAGGTTTTTTTTTTTTTTTTTTAAATTAGTTATAACAAAGATGAATTAGTAGAATATTTAAGTGCAGGCTTTCTATTAATTATTATTAATATATTTAGTAGATAGAATAATGTTGAAAATCTCTGGTATAGATTGGTAACAAGTGTTTTCTTCAGCAAAAATGTAGAAAACAAATAATTGACATAATTTCCTTTTTTTTTGTTGTTGTCAAAAAATGCTGTTATTAAAGAGCCGATCTTTAAAAAAAAAAAAAAAAAAAGAAGCTAGAAAATCAAATAATTTCACTCATTAAATATTTATCCTCACATTTTCGAATCTCTTAGTTACCTAGAAATAAAATTCAATTTTCTAATATGAAAAACAATTTTCATTGAGCCAATTTAAAAATTTTCGAGAAAAAAAAATATATAAGCGAACAAAAGGAGGGAAAAAAAATTCAAAAATCAAATTAATATGAAAAGAACATATAATTTTCTTTAATAATATGTAGCAGTAATAATAGCGATTAATAATAATAATAATAATAATCATAATAATAATAATAATAATAATAATAATAATAACATGAATCGTTTGGCATCGTATGGTTGCTTTACATCGTTACTTTGTGGTGTATTGAATCGTTATTATATATGAATTACCAGTCGCCATGTGTGCACTGACCATTTTTTTTTTTTTGTATTATTATTTATATATTAGAAAAGCGGGTTATTCCACTTTTTGCCGGCAGTAGAGACCAAATTGTTAATAATAATTTAAAAAAAAAGTGATTTCTAAGCAATAGCCGTACAAATATCAAATCGCAAATAATTAAACGACAACAATAAACGGATAATATAATAGAAATTAAATAATAGCATACAACTAGAATTAAAATCGGACTCATATATATATGTATAATCATTAACGCATACCAATGGCAATTTAATATCTAGTAATATTTAAAAAAAAAAAAAGAAAAAAAAAATTCGTCAACGGAATTAAATAACCAATAATCGCAAACATAAAATAAGATACGCGAACCAGAATTTTCTGGTACATTTTCTCACAAATTTTTTTTTTTCGAATTAGAAGCACCAATGTTAAATTATAATAATTTTGTCGTCGAATATACAATTTTTTTTTTTTTTTCTTTCAATAAAATCACATATTACAAAAATGGTTTCTTTTTGTTAGATTAGGGGAACAATATTTTTGAAAAATAACGAAGAGATGTTTATCGCACGCTACCATGATTCAATTGCCATTTTTTTTTGAACTCTCAGAGAAAAAGAGAGAGTATATATATATAATATATATATAACATAAAATCACGGCGATCACAAAAGTTACTTTGAAATTTATTTTTTAAAAGGCTTGTCCACCCTACTCTAATTTAAATGTACACGTGCATATTATCTTTTCCCGTTTTGCAAACACGATAAGTTTACATTTAATCTAGAAAGCGGAATTTGGGTTTGCGACTATAGTGGAACAAGAATTTCTTTTGGTACTGTTCGCTCATCGAGTCCTCGATTTTATCTTTAATCTCCAACATTCTTTACACCTTCTCTCATTCTTTTTCGATTTTTTCTTTCTTTCTTTAATTACATTAATAGAAAATAATTCTCATTATTTATTGTTCAACATCAATTTAATAAAGAGAATTAATTAATAATTATTTGTGTAATTATTTTTTTGAAAAATTTGAGAAGATATTTTTTTTACAGAACATATTTTCTAGAAATATTTACAATTTCGTTAAACAGAAGATCGTTAATAGGCTCGAGGAATCGATTTAAGAATTTCTGTTTTTCTTTCTTTGTCGACATCGGATGCACATTACATCAATCGATAGGTACGTCAAATGGTACAACTTATAAGATAGTTATATATTTTTTTTTTCTTCTTAATCTATCAAGGGACGGAGCGTTGGACAGATTAAAAGGTCTCCAAATTAAAAATTGCACCTTTTAAAAGAATTTAACCCTCGAGAATCTGAGATTTTAATTGGTTTGATTTTCTCTATCACAGCATCCAGCGCTTTTCTTTTCTTTTTTAATTGGTTTTAATTTAAAAAATAAATCCAATAAAATCTCAAAATTTTCAAAAATCCAAATATCAACTATTTACGAATTTTACTAATTTTTTTTTTTTTTTTTTAGTATTTAACTAATTTTTCATAGATCGTACAAATATTTTTATAATGATTATCACAAAAATTCATACATCGAGAGAAATAAATTTGGAGTTATAAAATTCGATCTTTTCGATCGAACGCTCGTCCCTATCGCTACTTACAGGACTACAGTTTCAAACGAACTTCATTGCGACACAACGACTTTTTTTTTTTTTTTTATTTTTATTTAAATCTAAAGTACAAAACGTTAACACAATTAACACAAAGTTCAACGATTGACAACGTTGAACATTATCCTGATTTCAAAAAAGAAACGATATGTGTTCTTATAAGCTACGATAAACACACTTCTTTTCTTTTACTACTTTTTGACGTCTTCCGAGTAAGATTTGTTTTTCAAAACATTTTTCAAAAAACTAATTAATCAATTTTGAAAAGTAATTTCAAAGAAATTATAGAAAAAAGAGAAGCGAAATTGAGCAAAAGCAGACAATTTTTTTTTTTTATTAGCACAGCTTCTCACTCGATTTTCTTTTTCGATAACTAAATACTTATAAATCTTTACCTATGTTAGGAAATTTTTCCTTCTTGTATTTTAAACATGAGTGCCTGCAAATACGCATCTTAAATCGTTAATGTCCTCTGAATACGTTTCCTCGGAATGTTTTTTTTTTTATTTTTTATTTTATTTTATTTTTCTTGGCAATCGGTTAGTATAGTAAAGGCACGCAATGAATGGAAGGAGAGTCAAAGAGGTACCAAAAGCGATCTTTTTTTTTTTATTCTTTCCGCGAGTTCCTTTTTTTCATTATATTATTATTTTTTTGAAACCAGAGGTGGTTCTTTTTTTTTTTAAATCTGTCGCCACAAGCGTTCAGAATAATCTATATTCTCAAAAGAATGAATTAATTTTTAAAAACATTTTCCAATTGCTCAATTTGGATCAATTTCGAATATTTGAAGAGAATTCGAATTTTTTCAAGCAACATCAATATGTTTTATCATACAATTTTTAAATTTTAAATTTCCTTTTTTTTTTTTTATTTTCTATTCGATTAGAGCGAAATTATTTTGAAGAGAAACTTGGTCAGCAATGTAAAATAAAATCGAATACGAAAAAAATAAGCACATAATTCTATACGACATTTGAATATGTAAGGAGAATTCTAAAAAGACAGTATTTCAACGAGATTTAGCTATCATTCTAATTAGTAAAGAACGACCCCTGAAAAAAGCCATTTTCAAAATGTACCATACAGGAGAATTTTTTTTTTTTTTTTCTTTATCTCATTTAGAATTCCTAACGAAGCACTAAAACGCGGCACACATACTTGCGGAATTATTTTCTTTTTTTTATATCTTTTAAGCGTTCATTTCATTAACTTCCACTAAACATCTTTCCAATATTGCAAGTAACGTAGGTATTATTTTGATATTTTTTTTTTCATCTACCATATGTTTTTAGTTTTTTTTTACTCTCTTTTTTATCTTTTACGAGATGCGCTTATAAAAAAATATTAATCGTCTCATTTTTCTTCTGTTAGAGGTAGATTACGCAGGAAACAGAAGCTGTTATCGTATATTCTTTCAATTTGTCTAGTTATTTTTTTGTGTTTTATATTCTTTCGTGAACTCGGACGACATTGATTTCGCGATTTGCGATTTTACTCCCCCCCCCCCAGCAAAAAAAGGATCTTTAGACAAAATCAAAAAAAAAAATTATCATCTATTTTTTTTTTTTGGGGAGGGAGTAATGAAAACGTGAAAGCTAAAACAATTTTTTTAAACACCAAACGAAACAGTAAACAAAGAACAAAAAAAAACTTGTTTCTCTCTTTTTGAAAGAATAGACAACCGAATTAAAATCATTCTTCCTATCTAGAGCACCTAAACATACCTAGGAAACTTAAAGATTAAAACAATCACCTGGCCTATTTTGAAAAAAAAAATAAAACACATACATCCATTCGATTTTTGGGGAAAGTCCACTCTGATATTTCATACATACATATTTGCTTTCTTACTTTTAAGAAAACCCTAACCGCTAGTTTTGGTTACAAGTCCTCCAATTGCATATTTACATTGACATTCACAAGATGAAACAAATTAAAAAATCAAACATATATTTATATACGATAAATATATATATAATTCGTTACAATTACATAGAAGTAAATTTTTTCTGTAAAAAAGATAATTGAATGCACACAGACGCGACTGGTTGCACGTATTTTTATCGCGCTTAACGATTCCATACAATTTTTATCGAATATTTCCAAATTCGAAAAAAAATCAAATCTTTTCTATTAAACAGGAATTATAACGAAAAAAAAAGAATTCTCAAATTCGTGCAACCAGCAATTATTTTCACGCCTTCCCTTTTTTTTAAACCCATATTAATGCAAAAAAAAAAAAGTTAGTTTTTTTACGAGCGATGCGAAATGCGTGACAAATATTAAAACCTAAACACTATTGATAAAAAGAAAATCAAACAGAAAAAAAATATATATATATATAATAATTAATAATAAACAGGTAAAGAAATTTCGTACATATTTTGAATTTTTTGTACGATTATATATATATATATACCTAACAAACACTCATCTTTGATTGCAAACAAATGTCAAGATGCCTTCGTTGTCCCCTCTTTGGCAGAAGCTAACAAAGACGACTTTGGAATATTATTATTTATTATATATCCAAGAGAAATCGTCATCACACGCTTCCGATTATCTGGTGTAATGATCACGTTAGAGGTTCTCTATTTTATATATATATATAATATGTATGTATGTATATTGTGTTTTGAAAGAGGATCAGAGGCCAATTATCGGCATGGATTTGAACAAACCAGTAACGTGATGATTGGAAGTTGGGCCAGGACGAGTGTTGTTCTCGAGCCTGAGAATTGACGCTAATGCGCCTGTGCATCATGACGTCAATCACTGCTTGAACTTCCATTGTTTAAATATTCCCCGGCATCGCCACGACAGATTGGACACGTTCGATTGGACTGGAATAGAAAAAAATTTATTCATTATATACTTTATATTTTTGAGACAAAAAATTAAATTAAAAAACCACATCGACTTCAAATTTAATTATTAATAATAAATTATTATTTTTAAAGTTTTATATTTTAAAAATAAATTAGTTTGCATTTAATAGTTCAAAAATTGAAAAAAATTAAATGATAAATAAATTTTACAAATTCTAAAAATAAAAGAATTTGAAAGAAAAATTTTAAACAGAAACAGTGATAAAAAAAAAGATAAAATACAATTTGAGAAAGGAAAATAGAAAATTTAAAGAAATGCCAAAGGAAATTTAAAAGAAAAATCGAGTATTTTTGAAATTCATAAAATGAAAAGAATATTTTTAAGAAAAATTGAGAATTTTAGGATTTGGAAAAAATAAAAATAATAAATTCGGGAAAAAATGTTTTAAAAAACAAAAAGTTTAGGAAAAATAAAAGAAAATAGAAAAATTAAATTGAAAGAGAAATAAATAATTTTAGGAATTTCAATTGAGAGAATTTGAAGAATAAAAAAATATGAGAATTTTATACAAAATATAAAGAGAAATTAAATTTAAAAAAAAAATGTACAGTGAGGAAAAAATCGAAAATTTTATAAATTTCAATAATAAAAAAAAAAATTAATTTTTAATTTAAATTTTGCGCTTACCTTGAGCCATTTGTCGATGCACTTGACGTGAAATTCATGCGAGCAAGGCAAAGCGCGAAGCGATTGTGAAACTTCAAAATCGCACATACAAACAACACAATTTGTTTGATCGCCCTCGTGTGTATCGGCATCAAATTTATAAGATGGTAATTGATCAACTTCAGTGCGCGACAAACCTCTGGCTTTGGCTTCACCGAGTCTCTCGGCAAGTGACCATAGTGTCTCATAATTTTCAATTTCTAATGCGTCAGCCGTTGAAAGATCCGCCTGACTATACGGCGACAATGGTGGATTACTGAACATTGTTCTGTGAAAAAAAAAAATTAAAATAATTAAAATAGACATTCAAAATTTGTTTATAAATTTTTGAAATATGGAAAATAAAATTGAAATTTATGAAAAAAAAAAAATTTCTAACGTACAGGAAATGAAGCAAAAGTCCTGGGAATGGTGAATGTGGTAAAGCAGACTGTCTTCGCCAGCTATTTCTATGCCTGGATCTACGGACATTATTTGTTGAGCGTGCTCTTGCGTGTATCATTTCTAATTGATTTCCACGGACATCAGAAAGGAAAAACGAGGTTGGTGACGTAACGTGTGTTATCGTTTGTGGATTATACGGTTGTGTTATCGGGAGTGGCGGTGGTACCGCGTTACCGCCTCTATGAGAACTTAATATCTCCAAATCCACTTCTCTCTGTAAATAAATTAAAAATTTGAAATTAATCAAAAATAAACTATTTTATTAAGTTTTGATGTTTTTAATAAACTTTTTATCGCGTATAGATATATTTGAAAATAAAAGTTTTGTTAAAAAATTCAACTTACAGGCTGAGTTAATTGATGATGAGCAGTGTAATGCGTCGGATGAACCGTCGGTGGTGGTGGATGCGGATGATGAAGTGCAGTAACTGGCCCTGGAGCTGGGAATCCTCGTATCTCTCGAGGTCCAACGAGAGATCCTACTAAACCATGACTCGAATGTCCTGGATGTGTTGGATGTACTGAATGCGTTGGATGTCCAGGATGAGCTGGATGTCCGGGATGTGCTGGATGTCCAGGATGCGCTGGATGTCCAGGGTGTCCAGGATGCGTTGGATGATTAGTATGCGGCGGATGAGCATGATGTCCAGGAGGAGCCGAATAATGACTATGATGATGCGGATGTGCCACCTGAATTTTAAATATATATATATTTTTTAGTTAAAAATTTAATTAAGGAGGACAAATTTTTCAAAGAAATATTGAAATTATTTTAAATAATTGAATTTCAAACAATTTTCTTATATTTCAGGCAATAATTAAATTTTACTGAAATTGAAAATAATTTATCAAAAAAATTTTTAAATAACATTTTTCAAAAAAATATTGGAATTTTCTATGAGTTACAATAATTATTTTTGAAAATAATTCAACTTCGAATGATTTTTACAATTAAAATTTTCGGTAATTTTTGTTGCTGATGAATTTATTAGAAATTATACACAATAATTGAACATTAAAAGCTTTTAATTGAAAAATATTTTCAGATAATTGAATTTTCGAAGAATATTATAAAAATCATTAAAAATAATTTAAATTTTGAAAGAGTTACTGCTGAAATTTTTTTGAAATACTTTAATTTCAAACGATTTTGTTAAATTTTACTGAATTAAAAATAATCTATCGAATATAAATTTTGATTAACATTTTTTAAAAGTAATTTGAATTTTCAAAGATTTACAATTAAAATTTTTGAAAATAATTAAACTTCAAGTGATTTTTAATTGTAATATTCTGTAATTTTAGTCGCTGAAGAATTTTTTTTTAGAAATTACAGGCAAAAAATTGAACTTTAAAAGTTTTTAATTGAAAAATATTTCAAGATTATTGAATTTTCGAAGAATATTATAAAAATCATTAAAAAATAATTGAATTTCGAAAGAGTTATCATCGTTGAAATTATTAAATTCCAGAAAGTTTTAGATGGAAATTTTTATTAAATTTTAGGTTTTAAATTGAAATTTTTAGTAATAAATAAAAAAAAAATAGTTGAATAATATAATTTGTGAAGAATTTCATTAAAACAATTGAAAATAATTAATTTAGAGAATAATATTAGTTGAAAATTTATAGTAGTCTTATTAAAAATAAGTAAAAAAAAAGTCGGATAAATTCTAAAAAAAGTCCCAATTCGAGACCAGTAATGTATAAAGTAAAAAAAAAAAAAATATCCTCACCTGACAAGAATGTGCGAACGCGTGTGGTCCAGCGGGTGCATAATATCCGTGAAGTTGACAAGGTAGCCGATAACCAGCGGTTTGTGGATGCCATAGTGTTTCACCGCTTACAGCGACACCCAAACCGGAAACACCAACTTGGCCAACTTCAACGACAACGGGTCCACTTGTACCTTGTGCAGGATGATGCGACGAACCACTTGGATGATGGGCATGCGATGGATGAGCATGATGTATACTATGTTGAGGATCATGAAGACTATGATGGGGATTGTGAATATTGTGATGATGATTATTGTGAAGTCCCGGATGAACATTATGGGAAGAAGGCAAATGAGGAGTGTGTACACCCTGAAGAAATGGGCACGTTGGTGTATATGTTTCAGGAAAACGTTGATAACGATTTCTTATTGGTGGACTACCACGTGCTGTCATATGACTACGTGATGTTCGTCGTTGTTGTGGAGGTGGTGCCAATTCCCATGGTTGTGTTGGTGCATGTATCGGTGCACTCGCTACGGGTGCCGTTGATTCTTGTACTTCAATTCCAGAAACTGTGCCATTGCGAGAAATTCTACGTCGTTTTCGCGATGGCGATTCACTCTGAAAAATTTCATTAAATTAATAATATGATTTTACTAAAAAAATTTTTCTTTTAATTTTTCTTCTTTAAAATTAAAATTTACCTTTCTACCATCGTCTTGACTAGGTGGTCTATAAAATCCTGGCTGGGGTGGAAGTTGAAGTTGCACAGGATTCACGGGAATTTGACTCGTACCTAGAAAAAATAATTTCGTAAATTTTGTAAACAAAAAAAAAACTTGAAAGAAAGGAAAAAAGTTTAATTTGATTTTCTATGTAAATAAATTTTCAAGTGTTAAATATAAAGAATTAAAAAGAAAATTTGTAAAAGATCACAATTCAAGTGTATTTATAGAAAAAAAAATATAAGTTTAACGTTTCATAAAAAGGGTTTTTCATGAATATCAAAAGTATTATAATAAGCTGAATACCTTGTGCACTTCTGCGATACTCCATATCTACACCGTTGGCAGTCAAACCGGGGCTTATGTTGAGTACTGGACCACGCATTGTATTCTCCTGTATAAAAGAACATTTTCATCGGTTATTTCACATTTTGAACAAATCTTACATAAGATATATATATAACTCTTAAAGGCTTTTATATTTAAAATTAGAATTAAAAAAATACAATAGTTTTATATAATTATCATTTGACTATTTATATAATAAATGAAAATTTCGTTTAGAAATTTGTCCAATTTAAATTTATTACATAAAATATATATATATTCTGAAAATAAATTTGAATTATCTAAAAATTGTGTTGCGTAAGGAAAAAATTTTTAATCACCGGTGTGCAGATATTGATGTGTAAAAGAGGCGCAGTGTCTGGCGGAGCGACAGTTTCCTGAGAAAAATTTGGTAAAGAATGCCTCGTTTGAGAATTGTGCTGAGGTGTTGTTTTACACCCCGCACTGGGTCCACCAATTCCCGTGCGAAATGGAACTTCTTTCACAACAGGATCTGACGAGGTGCCAACTCCAGGACAGTCCCTGAAATCAAAAAAAAAAGAATAATTCAAAATTGTGCGGAAAAATATTTTTTTTTTTAAATATTAGGAAATTAACCTTAAGAAAAGTAAAACAAAAGAATATCGAAGGAAAAAGAAATCATTCAAATCAAAATGGGAAAATTAAAATATTGAATTTTTCCCCTAGAGTAACCCAATATAGTAATAGCGGAGTACCTAATACCTAATAGTATGGCTTCCTGATTGGAAAGCACTAATGAACGCAAAGTATCGTTTCCCATTAAAACGAAATCAATATTTTAACTATGCCGCTCTCTCGAAATTATGTCGTCGCGATATTTCAACGAATTTTCTAATCTCAAGTGTGAAATAGTTCAAAATTCTCATAGAAAAAAAAAATAATAAAGAAAATTCGATTTGAACTATTTTCTTTTAGAGAATATTTCGAATTGCTAGATTTTTATTATCTTTTTTTCTTCAGTCGATTTTCAAGCGCAAAAAGAAAGAAACTTTTTTTTTTTTCTCAATCGCTATAAGTTTTCGCACGGTTATAAATAACAATTAATTGTAAACCCCTAAAAAAATTCTTTGGAGATGAAAAATGAGAATAGAAGAATATTATTGTTGATGACTTGAATACATATAGAAACAGCGGAATGGCAACGGAGGGGTTTATGATTAAGCTTGTCGATACGGGTACTCCCGGTGCCGTTCATTACGTTGCCCATGAGGGTAATGCGCCAGTTGGATCCTGGTTATGGGGGTGCCAGCTTCCAATACATTTACATGAAGCAACTGCAACTCACAGAGAGCAGATTGTCTCTCTCTCTCTCTCTTCCTCTACTCTCAAAATAAAAATTCCAATATCCTAATCTTCAAATAATGATTTTAATCAAAAGTAAATCCAAAATTATATCGATAAAATTATTATTTAATTAAATTTCTCCTTAATTAAGAAAATTCATTTTTATTCAATAATTTTCAAATTTTATATTAAATTAAATAATAAAAATTATTGAGAAAAAAAAAAATTCTTCGGCAAAGAGGGGAATTTTTTGGATTTCGAAATTGATTAAAAAATCAGTCGTGGGACCCTGGTAGGACTCTGTTTAGAGAAAATACTACGGACCTGATGTTTTCCCAGGGCCGTTCGTTCTCTCTTGCTCTCTTTTTTTTTCTCTCCCCCACTCTCTTTCTCTCTTTTTACTCGATTTGTTTTCAGGGCCCGTATTTTTGCCCCTTGACTATCTCTCTTCCTCTGATAGTGATAGTAGATAATTCTCCTTTACTTTTTTTTGTTCCTCTCTTTTTCAACGCTCCTAACCAACATTTCAGTTTCTCTCTTTCTCTACTTGTTTCTCTTTCCTATATATTATACGAATATCGAGCCTCCAACCTCGTGTGACTGAGCGTTTCGCTTTCGATTCGGTAGAAGAGGCCAAACGTAGCAAGTTGCACGCATTTTGGGTTTCCTAAAAAAAAAAGGCAAAAAAAAAAAAAAGAAACACCATCGGGATCTTGCCACACAGAGTACCCACAAAGAAATAATGATGTCGATAACGTTGTTCTTTTATCCTCTCTCTCTCTCTGCGGTTTTTCGTCGAATTACAAACACGCTTTTCAAGCTGTTGCCTTTCTCTCGCATAAATAAAAATACAGGGGTTGTTGAATTTATATACAGACCTGCGAGAGAAAAAAAAATTTTCATTAATAAAAATTCTTCATTTTAAAAATAAAATAAAATTTTCCTCCAAAAAGAAAAAAAAATTTTTTTTTTGGAGTATGTTGAAACAAATTTTCTATTTGGAAAATATTTGTTACGTTCTATCAACTTGAAATATAATTTCCCTCTCTTGCAATGAAAATACGAAAAAAAGGAGTATAGCGGTTGCGCAGCATTTGAATTATTTCGACATATATATCGAGTATAGAGAGAAAGTGAAAGAAAAAGAGAATTCAAAAAAAAAAAAAAAAACTAAAAAACGGGACAAAAAGCGAATAGATGTCAGAAACTTGACCCAGAACAAACTATAAACGGATCATTGCGCTTTGCATCTGGTATCGTTTCAAAGAATCGAGAAATGAAAATCGTACCAAGAAAGCGAATACTTGAGAATAATAGACGATGTCCCGACTTTGCATCACAGCAGGAACTTCCGGTTTTTATTTTTCAGAAAAATATAATTTCGCCTCTATAAAATTTAATCCAATCGAAAGTTTTATATTTGAAAATAATAATTAGAAAATTTTTTTTTTCCTGGCAGGTAAAACTCTTCCTTTTTTTTTCTTCATTATTTTGTCATTAATTATGTAATTTTAATTGATGTTTCACACATGTCGGATAATTTTCTCGCATATGTATATATATATATATATATAAAAAAAATTCATTCCTTTTGCAGATCAAGATGGCACAATGATAATCGTTTAGGACAGCTGTAGCACCTGAATGGCATACACACAAGAGGGTGGTTGTACCTTCAATACATGTAACTTGTATTTACAAGCCATATTCTTCATTGAGAGGTTTCACTTTAAGTGCCTACAACAGTTCATAAAATATAAAATTATTACCCAGAAAATAAATTCAAACGTGAATTATAACCTGTTTTAGCTATAATAAACAAAATATAATTTCAAATGAGAGGAGAAAAATTATATTTAATTCTTTATTTATTATGAAATAAAATTTTAAGTCGCCATCCATAAATTATTACACTTTTTTTTTTTTGTCAATATTTTAAACATCGTAACAAAATCGATCATTTATATAAAATTATTACGTAATCTTTTTTTTTTTTTTTTTAATCAATTTTGACTGTAATATTTATTATTAATTTAAAATTTATATCAAAATTAGTCAAATTGTAATAATTTAACAACTAATTCGTTACGTGAGTAACCCCCTTTTACTTTAAATAGACATTTTCATGTAACCCTCAATCCCCAAAAGTTGTTTTATAATTTTCGAAAGTAATTATAAATTCAAAGGTTTGTCTTTCTATAATTATTCGAAATTCATTATTATATTTATTGTAAATTTAATTTTTCTAATTTACTGTAATAAAAATTTATAAAATATTAAAGCTTTGGTATTTCGATTTCTAATTTTTTTTTTTTTTAAACCTATTCAATAGGCGATTTTCCTGAGACGGTGAAATTCAGTTGAAAACAAGGACCACGTGTTAAGGTACGTAATTTACAAGTTTCGAGTCACCTTGTATAAAACAGCTGGCACTGGGGGAAGAGAGAAGAAACCCGTTTACCTTTAATCTTGCTGACTCGAGCCACGAGTGCAAAGTAGAAATATAAAACCTAAAAGTCTCGACGAGAAACATAGCGGGATCTGGATTTTTGATTTTCCAGGCCATGTCATTTATCTGTTACTTCATTCGGTTAAATTGTATAAATATTGCAATTCCTTTTTTTTCAATCGGAAAAAAAAATTTATTTATTAATTTTTTTCTACAATTTCAAAAATTATTTTCCCACTATTAAAAATGAAAGTTGAGAAAAAAATTTTCTGCCAAACGATTTTTTATTTTTTTTTATATATTTATTTCAAAATATAATTATATGAGATGCAGTAAAAAAAAAATTATTTCCATAAGGCATAATCTTTTTTTTTTTTAGAAAAAAAAAGAGAGAGACAATTTTACAGTTGAAAGTCGTCATCAATAAAATGGCATGCTTTAAAATTCTAAATGCCCCCAAGAAGTATAGTGGATGAGGAAAACATGATAGTTTGTGCCAAAAATTTTTCAAGAGAGCCAAGAAGCCAATTCTCCAAGGGGCCAAAGCTCAATAAATGGTCACCATTTATTGGGCATATAAAAAAGGAAAAAGAAAATTCAAATAAAAATAAATTTATGAAAATTATGACAGGGAAAATTTCACAAAAAGATTTTTCTTTTTTCTCGTTTCTATATAACAATAAAATAATAATCAAATATATAATAAAAAAAAATTTGTTGAAATACAATACATATTTCAAAGAAAAGCTTTAATATTCTTGAAAAATTTCCAATAATTACAAAAATGTCCCCACTTAAATGCAATAAATCTAATTTGTACCTGTAAATTTTGAAATTTTTCTTAAATTCATTCAATTCAAAACAAATAGTATTTAAATTAAAATATTTAAATTTAAAGAAAATTTATAATATCCTTTTTGAGGATTATATTTTGCCCTTTCACTAATATCTGTGACGGGTTAGTTCTCCGCCCTCCAAAAATTTCCCTCCATTAACAAAAAGATAATATTCAACATCTACCTAAGAATATCCTTCGTATTAGCGTAATGACGAATCCTCAAATATTAACAACTGAGTGTGCAGAAAGGAAAGGATAAAGAGACTTTAAGGTGGGAAGAGATTTTCATCGGGCCATATAAACACACCCATAGAGAGAATAATATTACCGAAACGTTTCATATTATTAAACTCTTAAATATATATATATGAATGTATGTATGAAAAATCTTAATCTTTTTTCTATTTGGGAATCCTTCCCCTAAAAATTTTTAAGGGACCATATAAGAACGGTTCAAAATAAGCCTGAAGATTTAAATCTTCAAGATGAGCAAGAGAGAGAGAGAGAGGGGAGACACTCCCCAAATAAAATAATCCATATACCTGGACTGCAATTTCGTGGGTCAGTTCCAACAAAAATTTTTCACATAAGGATTTTATATTTTTAATTCGTCCCCATAAAAATATTATTTACAATATTTTATGTTATTCTATATGTTGTAAATACATTATTCGAAAATCATTTTCAAATTTTCCTACACAAGACGACAAAATTTCTCTTAGGATAAAAAATTATTTTTCATAAATTCGAAATTTCCAAATGAACCAAATTTATTTACTATTTTGAATTAGAAAAAAAAAAGTAATTTTATTCTTCTATTGCAGTAGTAATTAATATATATTATTTTTAAATTAAAAAAAATTATTAAATAATTAATTTTTAATGAAAAAAAACCTGCCTTTTAGAATTTCTCTTTTTGGATAAAAATTA